TTCTTCAATAAGAGTCACGATGAGTCGTTTTGTCTTTGTCCAAATGAAGTTTCATCTCCCATAAAAACCGCTCGAGGTTCATGGATGCTGAAGACCCAAGCATAATTGACTTGAAGGGACCAAGTTACCATCTGCCAACTGCGCATCGCAGAGGTGATTGGGCTAAAGACCCCAGTCAACTCCATGTTGTCGCAGATAGAACAACATGAAGTTAAAGTCGTTAACCATGAGCCCTCGAGATGACTGACCACTTTACCAAATCCTGTGAAACAATAGGGCGGCAGAACACTTCGCTGCATAAATGTCCCTGAAGTGGAAAAAAAGTCTTTTCTCATTTACTCACAAGAGACTCACGTCTCGCATTGTGCAACAGAAGCACCTGATCTGAAATCGTATCCATCATGATTGCAGCAACTTAAGGGGCAAGAGCGGAGTCATCCCCGGAGAACGAGTGGGTTCAATCGGCATCGACATCCGATCGACAAACGTGTGGTCCCAAAAGCTTAGCCATCACTTTTTACTCCTCACCACCCATGCTGGGCCAATACAGCAGGCTAACCCCGTTCTTGGCATCTGGGCCGCCAAGCTAACTGACAACTTGAATGCTCCGTGGCCCGGGCCTTTGGGCCAGAGAACCCGCTGAATGTACTTGAAACTAAGCCTCATTTTGTGTTGTTTCACCACGGACCTAGGCCGACAGGGGCAGCCCAAGAAGAAACGAACAATTCTAACGAGCGCCTCGCATTTTCGAGAAAGAGTTGGACGCGCAAGTCACATTTGAGTTTTTTGAGGATTCGTCATGCCATGATCGCGAGATCTGTGCTGCACGCGCGTCGAACGCTTTCCTGCTGAATTGGGGCAATCATTGTGGCGAAGTGAGTTAGGTAGAATAATTGAAATCCACAAATGAGATGGAAGTTATATTCGATGGAATAATATGTACGAAGAATATTGTAAGGTGCCGGAGTATGTTCAATGGGGCTCTGCCTCTCCAAATGCCAGCCCGATAACCCAATCCTGATTGAGAGCCCTTGTGAGCTTTTGTTTGTTTTACATGTAAGAAGCGTCGTAGTAACCAGCACTGGCGTAGCTCGAGCCGAGGATGCTGGAGATGGCGACAGCGGAGCTGAGCTTCTTGGAGAAGGTGGCGCGGGATCCCTGGGAGCCGATGCCAGTGTCGCTGTACTCGCCGAACAAGACGTCGCCAGTGCGGGCGTCGCTGGTGCTCCAGACAGACCAGCCCTTGGAGTTGATGATGCCAGTCATGGTGGTCTTCTGGTAGACGACCTGAGCGTACGCACCCCAAGGACGGCCGAGGTAGAAAGCTCCATCGGGAACAGTGGCACCGGAGGCAGCGGCAACGGTGCAGCTGTTGAAGACGTATTCGGACTTGGCAGAAGAGCTAGCGGCGCCGTTGGCTGCGAAATGTTAGACATGCATAATCAGTATCATGAGTTGGTAGCTAAGTCTTACCAGTGAAGTAGCCAAGTTTGGCAGAGACGGCACGGAGATCACACTTCTCGAACCAAGCCATGGACTTCTGGCCGAAAATGACATCAGTAGCACCCTGAATGAGGCACTTGGAGTACAGCTGGTTGCCCTGCTGGGTGAGGATAGTGTCCTGGAATCCGGTGAACTGGCATCCGTAGAAACCGCTGTCGGCGTAGGAGCTCAGGGCGATGGCCTGGCTACCCTGACCATAGGCATTGACGACGTTGACGTTGTACAACTTGAAGTTCTTCGCCTTAACGCGTAGGGTGCCGGTCTCGTCATCCGTCAGGCCATCAGCTTGGCTCTTCTTGGCGGTGATGGTGACCTTGTTGCCAGAGTAGCTTGACGTGTCGGCGGTGTAGCCGTAGATGGTAAGCTGAGCCGTGCGGGCAGGTACCAGGACCTGCTCGCTGTAAGTGCCCTGGTCGATAAAGATGCACTGCTTGCTGGAAGAGGTCGTTGAGAGGGAGTCGACGGCCTTCTGGATGGTGCTGAACTGGCCGTTGCTGGGGGACTTCTTGACAACAACGCAGCCCGAGGGGGCGGAGGTGCGGCTGGCGGCCAGCGCCGCCGTAACGAAGGTGAGGACGGTGAAAAAGGACTTCATATTGGGCAAAAAACAAAAGAATGTAAGTGTTCGTCGGTTCGTCTCAAGTCTGATCCGAACTTGGAGAATGATCTACCGGTCACATTGATCGAGGCTTGGCGTCCTTTATGTATTTCTCCTTTCAGGGTCCACAAGGCTCTCGTGTGGATGGACGCGAAAGCGGTAGCGACGGCATCGTTCCAACTTCTAGCGTTCGTCCTTCATGTTGGAATCATGGATGAGGAGGCCGCGGAACGCTTGCTGGGTGTGCCTAGGCTTCATTGGCGGGGGCGGTCGACGGCACGCACGAGACAAGCTCGTAGATTAAACCCGATAGAACAACCAATCCCGAGCTCTGGAAGTTTAACTTAGAGAGCACGCCAGCTGGGGGAGACCCCGGCACGGCAACTCACGGCACCAAGGGCTCATATTTCTGCAACCGAGCCGTTCTCGAGAAGTCGATTTCTCGTTGGCGGATTAAATTGCCCATGTGGTACCATTGCGCTGGTGTCGCCCGACAATTTGTTCGAGGTGGATCGGCACGGAGATTGCGGGGTGGCTAGACTGGCAGTCGATCACAAAGACGCTTAGCTGCCACAAGGGGAATTCGGGCCTGGGCCGTTCCTGGGAGAGCTCGCCTGCAAAGAACCACAATGCAGGGGTTCGGATAAGTCGGCGAGTCAGACCCAACGAGCCTCGTAGCATTCTCATATCGAGCGCAAGGAAAAGGAGTGCGGGTGGATCGTCTGATGCGCACTTCCACGAAACATCTTGCTGAGAGCAAGCTAGGGTATGCTTGACAGGTCTTCATCCGAGTTTCTCCTGCCTCGCAAGTGAACGTTTGTTTCGTCAGCACCATGTTGCACATTGGAGTACATACGCCAGTGCCGAATTGAGGCTGTGTCGGAGGCTTCCCCCGCGTCTTGAGACTTAGATGAGGAAAACAGTAGTTGGGACGAATACCTTAATTCAATAGCGCCAAATACGATGCAACCCTCCTGTTCTGTTCCCGTTCGGATCTATGTCCACGATTCCACGAATAATAATAAGAGGAGCCTATGCGAGAACCAGGCATTGGAGTCTGGACATCATGTTGTTACGAGGGTAAATGTTTTACATTAAGGAGCAAACGCCCATCCACTTACTCTGGACCAGAGATTGGACTTGAACTTGTGAACATTCTGATACGCTGCGAGCTGTCGATTCATACATGAAGTCTTCAAAAATAGATTGAAGAATGGCGTGAGCGCAATGTCTGCGCCTGTTGCCTGGGTCTCCCAGACTCAAGTTCTTCATCTTTGATCAAAGCCCCTTGTCCATACTTACCCCATGAACCTTTCACTCGCAAGACCAAGCTGAGGCTTTTCAACCTTTCCTGACTTAGGCACAGATTGCAGCAGCCTGAGACTTCAGGTCCCTTCACTAAAGAGCAGGGGAGCATTGTATCAAACTCCTTTTGTGAAAAGGAGACGCCTGGTCGAGTAAAAATCTACGCAACACCAAGAAAAGTTTGGAAATTTTAAAATTGCAAGACTCGACAATTCAACGAAAGTTTCGCCTTTGGTTGAAAGAACCTTCAGTGCCTTAGCTAACTCAAACAAGGGTGTTGCGGGCCGAAGGAAGTTGGCGATCTCTTGGCATCGGACTTCCCTGTTCAGCAGTTCTTGGCATGTTGTCGAGATGGACCAAGCTCGATGCACAGCGAGGCAACCACCAAAGCATTCAACATCTTCTCAGCAATTTATATCCTGACTAAAGTTCGTCCTTCCGCGAATGGAGCAAAATTTGTTGTGGCGAAGGGAGTTAGTGATAAATGCGAAGTTCTACAGGCTCATCGTGTCATTACTCAGGTAAAGTGTGTTGTGTGTACTTCGATGCAGACATCACACGTGTTCTATATCTAATTGCGATCCCCTTGTCTCCCTCATAGATGAAAAATGAACGCTCGCTATGTACCAACGTAAAAGTCAGATCCGATGGTTATTGTAAGTTTCTCAAGGCTATCAAAAGATAGAAATCTCTTCCCACCCTTGTATGCTCTGTGGGCTGCTTGAAAAGGACTCATGTTGTCCTTCAAAAGGCGACAAGTCCGGAACGTATTCACACCCGAGGACCTCTTCGTGAACATATAAGGCGTCCTCGGGTGTTCTCATGAAGAATCTCACTTTGAAGTTGCCGCCCATGTCACCCCCAGTGATAGAGCTGTCCCAAAGCGTGCTCTTCTCCGGAACAAAATGTCTGATTCTCACTTCGTCGCGTGGGAGCCCAAGACACGATTCCGGCCCCATGTACTGGAGAAAGCCAAATGAGTCCAGGCCCACGTTATGCTCAAGCTCAATGAGCCGTCGGGCGATACAAAATAACTCGCCCTTATCCCACACCGCTTCTCGGGGTGATCCAAGTGTCGACAGTAGTCGAAGAGCCTCAAGACGTACATCCAGCGCGCGGCATTTCGTTGCGATAAAGAATAATGAGGGCGTGTATCCCGCTTCAAACAGAAAATGTGTCGGTTGGCAGTTGACTTGCGACTCAGCAAACTTAGTGGTTTGTTCGGTGATCTGCCGGAATCGTTCCAAGTGCTGGTCAAAGCCCGCCTCATTTGCTGAAAAGGCCATGTCGGTCCAAATATGAGACAGCTCGTATTTTAAGAGTGCGTGAACTCTTGGCCCGCCTCTTATTCGGGTGCTTGGGGATTTTGACCTCACGTCCAAATCCTCCCATAACCCGCGCCATTGGTTTAGTGATGATTGAATTCCCCTTTGCCGCTCCAGTAATTCTCTCAGCGGTGTCTGATGTCGCAACGCGCCTACTCGATACTCGTCCCCTAGCCGTATAAGCTGTATCGTTTGGTTATAAAGGTCGTCTATCGTGGCTTGTGCGTGCGCGAAGCTGTCGAAAGAAGCTGGCACCGGACACCTGCAAATCATCGCACCGGCATTGTTGAAGTCGCTCGTTCCTGGGAACGATGGAAGCATATTAAGCCGTCGAAATATCGGTAGTAAGTGATCCCGTACAACCGGTTTTGAGCACGAACTTTCCAGCATCGCAAGGCCGTGATTGCAATGTCTAACGGCAGCTTCCGTATTGGATTGTAACAACTCGATACAGACAAAAAGTAGACAAACCACCAGCACTAGCCCGTTGTTGTCGTTTTGAAGTGAGTTGAGTTCGAAAATTGCGGCGTTGTAATGGCTCAGTGCCACTCCGTCTAGATGGGTATTAGTGCCGCCATCCATGTTACCGTATAATAACCCGATGGCGATGACCGAGTGTTTAACAGCAGGCTCGCGGTTCACGAACTGCACGACCAGATGGGTCCAGTAATAAGGGTCGGTCGGGCCGGCGATAAAGGGTGCGACATGTTCGCAGTAGTACTGTAACGCCCTGGCTTCTTCACCGTTGGTGGATGAGTCGATCTGGAGTGTTTGAGGCCGTTGCCATCGAAGCACCGATGCTGGTTCAACTGCATATCCGTCGCACTTTCGACCTGTGCTGGTACAGCGGTTGCAGAAAGGCTTGCCCTCGTCACACTTGATCTTGCGTATCCTGCATACATGTAATTAGCACAAAAGACATTGGTGGACATACGCCAGTTGCTCATGATACGACTCACTTGCAAGTCAAGCACCCAGTCCGCACCTTGCGACTTCCCTTCCTAGCCATTGGTTCAAGAAGTTTGTGGATGTGCGCCAACGACGGTTGAGTCCGAACGAGCCTTTAGGGTCTGATGTGTGAGCGATTGGTGACCTCGCAACCTCCTTTTGCCTTTCTGGGCGCGAAGAACCAGTGGAGTCTGCACGATTACGATTCTCCAAGTTCCTCGATGTCTAGATATAAAAATGACAGCCGGAGATTGCGGTATCGCCAGCACGTCCAGACCTCTCCGGAGCGGTGTCTACGCTGGTTCGCCCATCTTAACCAATCGAAATCGTAGCTCAGCATTCGCCTAGGAAAACATCAGCGCAGCCCTGTCGTTCATGTGGAGGGCATTTTGCAGAACACCACCCTCCGCCCGCATAAGCCCTCCGAAGGGGCAGAGACATTCCGTTGGGGGCGGTGGGGTTGACAAGGGATATATCCGACAGAGCCAATCAGTTTTGCCTTCACTGGCGGGGCCGTTGCATTTCTGGAGGCAGGTTTCCTCGAAGTGCATACACTAGCTCGCCGCGATCAACTCTTGGGTGGTACTCGATCTTAGATACCTGACTTAGAGTTAGCGGCGCCACAGAAATGAGGGCGGTCAGTGGCTGAATAAACGATCTTTACCGTTGCACATCACGTATTGGGCCGCATACAACCAACTGAATGAAACGACCGTACGCACATGTCCGTAGGCCAAGGACTTGAAGAACCTGGTAGAAGACCGATTCCGCTTGATAACCCATAATTACACGCGTATGTTTGCCTGGCAAGGTCCACTCGGTCCATATCGCCAATGCTGCTTTTTCACTCGTCACGACGCCAAGATTCTGAACGCTACCTAGTACTTACCTTGCAGAGGAATAACACCATCTCTGTGGTTCATCCCACCCGGCTTGCACCCTGTCGTTGAAGGAACCCATGCGCCTGCCAACGACCATAAGCCACATGGTTTAGAGAGCCCATATGGCGCGCCCAGTGAAGCAAGAGTGCACGTAGTTTGGCGTGAAATTCCATCATCCGACATGACGGGTGCATCAACGGTGCAATCCCTACCGGGCTGGATTCGCACCTCATGCGCGTGTTCCACTGTCAGCCGTTAAACCATGCAACCTCGGCACCTCCATCGGGATCTCAGCCACTCCCATTCGACTGATCAGCCCCTTCCTTCTCGCTGATTAGTAGAAATAAACGCAGCATGCACAGCACCTCGATAAAACCGGGCTCAATGGGACTCCGCAGGTTGCGGAATAGGTTTTAGGCAGCTTCGACCATGGAAGTCTGGTAGAATCCAGAATCATATCCCGTGATTGCTAGGGCTGGCCAGTAGGGTGGCTTTTCCGGATCAGTCATACAATCTAAATAAATCTTGCATATGACTAAGGTTAATAACCATGCTTCGCTGTTCAAAAACGCATGATGTCGTTTCGCTCTCGCTTCATTTTTGGGAGGCGCGACCGACAAAAGGACCCGGCATCATAAGCGAGATCCTCTGAGGTCAAGTGTGTAACTACACTTGTAGGCAGAGTATCAGAAATTGGACAGCAACTGCAAAATGGATGCCATTGAGAAATAGTTTCACGCATGTTCGAGACTTCTAGGATTTTTTGGGGTCCGTAACTGCTCAAGAAACAAATAGCAAAACCACTGCAACAGTTGTCCAATCATCGGGTGACCCGATCCTCATCGGTTTAGTTGCTCTAGAGTGTCAGACAGTGCACACCAACTCTAGCCGCAGACCGCTTAAAGACGGGAACGCCATTGCTACATGCGTATGGCATTGATGCGGAAGCCGAAGCGGGCAGCCTTTAAGTCCCCCTAGGGCTGGAACGACTTCAGTATCCTTGGCCGGCCGTTCAGTCACAACTCGGCCGAGATGTCCACGGCAGTCTGTATGGTGTGGCTAAAAGGCCCAGAAGGCGTTCGGGGTGACTTGCGGTCTCATCCCGTTGGAAGTCCACAGGTCCATAAGAGGAATCTGCCCTGGAGAACGCTAACCGCCGCAACCATGCGCCCCCGACTTGTAGTCAACCTTGCCGCATATAACCCTCTCTCGCTTGCGGGTTTAATGGCATTTCGTGTGGTGAGAGCTTTATTCTACTTCCGAGAAAGAAGGCCAATGGCATTACCGACCGAGTCCTGTGGGCCTGCGGCTTCCACAGCCGAAGGAATACGAGTACCGCCGAGTTCCTGTAGCGCTATGCGTAGGGCTGTCCCGCATCCTCCGCGTCCTTGACTACATGTAGGGTGCCTGCTAGGCTAAGTTAGTAAAGTATGTTCAAGGGTCAAAGTGATGCCACTGCACGACGGCAACTGACAAGGGATCAGCCAGGCCTGATTGGCCGTCTTTACGGATTCCATTCCTTCGAATGTGCCCATAGGCGCCATTGGGTGGCTTTGCGGCCCCCATCTCACACTTTAATCCTTTCCCAAGCCTAAACCGTCGAAAGAGGGACTGGACTCAACCGCGCCACGTTTTCTCTTGAACTATTGGTCTTTCCCTAGCAAGACATCAGCCCTATGACAGTAAAACTCCCGTGTTGGGGCTTTGTCATCTCATGTAAACTTGCGGCTACCTGTGACATTGCTGTCAAAATGCTTAACACGATTAACGTTATTTGGGTAGCGCATGATGACGAAATATGACGGCTAGGATGAGCAGACTTCCATCAGAAGCCACTCTCAGGAGATGATGCTGACGTGAGGCGGAGAATCTGTTCCTGCAAGGTGGGCTGGGCATACGTCTGTCCCTGCCGCTCTTGAACACGAGACAGGTTGACAGCATCCGGATATTTCCACCAAATGATTCTAACACTCTCGTGGCACTATCGAATCAACGAATTATGGCTAAATTACCGAGTATCGCCCCAAATACCGGCTGCACCGGCCTCGGCGATTCTTGACCCCACTGTTCGGCCCCGGTCCGGGTTCACCGGATGACTAAAGGCTCCGGTGTACAGGTGCAATAACATCAGCCCCGGCCAGTTAGAGAGCCGGATCCCCGCATCCATATTCCTTCATCCTGATCAACACCTTACCAACGCACTTATCGGCCAACATTTCATTTGCACTGCAAGCCGCCCAATGTCTCCTAGCAATCTTAGACTCGAGCCAGCAACCGTGGAAGATGTCCCGGCATTGACTGAGGTCTGGTTCGCCGCTTTCACAGACCCCGAGCTGAGGCGTCTCTGGCCGGACACGCCAGGCGTGCGCAAGTGGTGGGACGACGCAAACCATCACGACATCCTCAACAAGCCTTTTCAGCGCTACATCAAAGTGATTGACCCCGAAAACTTAGACGCCAATGGACGACCGCGAATAGCTGCCTACGCGAAATGGGACCTATCAATGCCGGAGGATCGTGGGCGACGATATCCACCCTGGGCTGACGATATGCCCGGTGAGGTCTGCGATGTCTTTTTCCAGAGAGAAGAAAATGAAAGGCACCGTGTCATGGGAGATGAAAAACATTGCTGTATGTGATTTTTGCCAGGAAGACTACTGCGCATCCATCCATCTGATGCTTCCCCTAGATTTAGACACAGTCGCAACGCACCCGGACTATCAGAGACGTGGCTGCGGATCCATGCTGGTTCAGTGGGGCTGTAAGCTTGCCGACGAGAACAAGGTTGGAGCGTATGTGGATGCAAGTAAAGACGGCGCGCCATTGTACGAGAAATGTGGCTTTGTGGACGAGAGCGAGCCAGGCTCGGGCGATATCGCATCCATGGCTCGGCGTCAAAATAGCATGAGTGATCAGCGGAGTCATTAACAGCCGTCCAATAGCACTATGAGGACTGGAACGATTCCCCTTGGATGAAGTACAGATCCACGCTCAATTTTGGGAGTATGGAACCAACCATCTCTTGGCCATCGGGCTTTCACTGCGACAAGCTCTCAGTTGAAATGCAGCATTGCAATAACCAGGGAAGAAACATGTCATCTGGGAGGAACTTCCTTCGATGGCTTCTGTTTATTTCTCTTTGATAGTCTAGAATTTTCAGAGAACAGAGACGTCCACAGCCATATCTCGGTGTAATTGGTCGACACAGCTAGAAACATTGAAGTCATTCCATGCTCATGGCACTCACTTCCCATTGGGCTGTCGAACGGCCGCGATAGCCAATTTCCAGCCTTCCCCTGCCGCCAAGAAAAATCAGGCATCATTGCGGGGTGATTTGCGGTGCTCGCCTCGCATTGGTGCCCGCTATCATCCAACTGCTTGTGACTGTGTGGCACAGGTAGACCCGAGGTTTACGCAGGCGAAGAGATTACGGCTGGGATGCTACCCATCTTCCCAACACACACGCATAATTGCGAACACTCTTACTTCATTGAAGAACGGTCACACTCATCATGGATCGTCCTAAACAGCTTTCGAATCCTACGGAATATTCCGTAGGCTTCATTACTGCGCTTGCCAACGAACTTACAGCTGTAGAAGCGATGCTCGACGAAGAACATGGGAACCCCTTAAACTTCGTCCAGCATGAAAGAGACGATAATTGCTACACATGGGGCCGCATGGGTGTTCATAACGTTGTCATCGCCTCATTGCCCGAGGGAAGATACGGCCTTGTTTCTGCAGCGACTACCGCATACAGTCTGCTTAGCTCTTTACCGCATCTTCGGATAGGTCTTATGGTCGGCATTGGCGCTGGAATCCCCAAGCTCCAGAAGAATATCGATATACGCCTTGGGGACGTCGTTGTTAGTCAGCCAACTGACCAAAGCTCGGGAGTCTTTCAGTATGACTTAGGAAAGAAGCGACAAGACGGTACTTTTCAGCACGTTGGATCTCTTGCTCCACCTCCTACGGTCCTTCTCACAGGGTTAAAAAAGCTCAAAGCTAAGCGGCGTCGGAAAGGCTCTGAACTTCCCTATATTCTCGAACAAATGCTTCGTCGCTCCCCGAGATTGGCGGAGCCGGACGATGACGATCCTGCCTTTGTATACCAAGGCTCGCACAACGACCGCCTCTTCGAATCGTCTGTTCCACACGTGGAGATGTCCGCGGAGACCAATACGGCTGCAGGATTAAGCAAACCTATTCAGAGTCCATCGGTCGAGAATAGGAATGCCGAGGAAGCCGGACTGGAAACTGGCAATTGCGTTTTCTGTGACCGCGCAGGCGAAGTGACCCGAAAAGAACGACGCTCCACCGATCCGGTAGTTCATTATGGTATAATCGCTTCGGGAAATTCGGTCATAAAGAATAGTCTATGCCGCGATGAAATATCAAGGCAAATCGATGAAAAATGCATCTGCTTCGAGATGGAAGCAGCCGGACTGATGAACACTTTCCCCTGTCTAGTTATTCGGGGGATTTGCGACTACGCAGACGGTCACAAGAATAATCGATGGCAAAACTACGCAGCAGCAACAGCAGCAGCATTTTCAAAGGAGCTTCTTCAGGTCATCGACGCCGTGGATGTCGCGAAGTCTCCGAATTTGAAACAGGTCGTTGATGAAAGTTAGTGAAGATCAATTTATCAGGTAGATGCTTCATGTCTAACATTTGTCATAGTGCTGGAGAACATATCGCAGCTTACATCAAACGCCAAAGAAGCAAATCAAGGTGTTCAACATCTAAACAACAAGAAGCTTTCACAGAACATCAAGGACTGGCTTTCTCCTTGCGATGTGTGGGAAACCCACAACTCTACATTGGAACATCGCCAAGACGGCACGGGGAAATGGTTTCTCGACAGCGAAACGTATGCATCCTGGAAGGAAAGCTCAAAATTCTCTGTTTGGGTTCACGGCAAGCCTGGCTGCGGCAAAACCACCCTTTGTTCAACTATCATCGACGACTTGCTCCATGGCTCAATGCACCAAAGCCATCCGCTCGTCTTCTTTAATTTCGCCGTTACTGACAATCGCCGAAAGTCGCTTGACGGTGCAATCAGGTCGCTCATAGGTCAATTGTGCAGCCAAAGTGAGGACGCTAGGACAGAATTGAAGTCACTGTTTCACAGTCACAAAGACGGCGCAAGGCAGCCTAGCCTAGCACACGGTCTCTTTGCAAGGCTTTTGAGAGCATGGTTCGGTGCACTGCAGAAATTTGGATGGTACTTGATGCACTTGATGAATGCGAGGCAGGGATGGGCTTAAAAGGTCAAGGGGTAATGCCTTGGGTAAAGGGCCTACTTGAATCTCCACTATCCATCCGTCTCCTTCTCACATGTCGCGGGGAACACAAGACTCGATTTTACTTGGAGGATTCGACCAATAGTCGAATGACTTTGGGTGGTGAGCTGGTTGGAAAGGATATACGTACGTATGTCCACGAAACACTCAGTACGCGCGGAACCTTCGAACGATGGCGTCGGAAGGGCTATGAGAGTATTCAGAAAGAGATCGAGGACAACTTGGTGGCAAAGGCTAACGGCGTGTAAGGCAGGCCCCATCTATATTTTGATCTGTACCGCTGACACTGAATTGGAGTTTTCGATGGGTTGCTTTGCAACTTGACGCTCTCCAACACTGCCAGGACCCTGCTACTCTACGGAGAGAGCTAAATGCTCTGCCGGATGATCTAGCAAATACGTACGCAGCGATTCTTAAAAGAATCCCGAAACGCTCGGAAGAACAGTCCATACGACTTTTGCAATTTCTTGCCTTTTCCGAGCGACCACTTTGAGTCAAAGAAGCTGTTGATCTACTGGCGGTAGAGCTTAAGGAGAAGCCTGGGTTCAACCCTAACAACAGAATGCCGATACCGGAGGAGATCACGGGATATTGCTCCGGCTTGGTAGTCATCGGCTATACTAACGAACACCGGGGAGATATGGAGATCCAGCTCGCGCATGCTACCGTGAAGGAATACCTAATTTCTGATCGGTTGTCGCAAGATGTTTCTGCCCATTTTGCGACATCGTTAGCGAAGGCCGCTACCTCGATCACAGAAGTCTGTCTTGCATATTTGTCAGAAGTGAAGCTCGTCTCGCCCACATATATCAAAGACTTGAACTTTTACAAAGACAAAGACGCAGTTTACTACCTTGAACCCGCGCCGCCCTGGTATCACTACAAACCTTTTCGCGGGGTTGCATTAAACATCTTCACCAAGATGAGATATCCGTTTGCACAGTACGCTGCAGACTACTGGATGAGACACGCCTTTCACGCCAACACCTCACAGGTCGAAACCCAGGTTAAGAAGTTCATCGACTGCGAGATTTTTCATATACTCTGCGAACCCTCCGCAGGGAATTCTTCAGCGCTATATCGCATGGCACAAAAAGGACTTACCTGGGCGATTGAGCTACTGCTGGACAAAGATGCCATTCTCTTGAGTGCCCGAGAAGATGAAAGTCTCCTCGCGGCAGCTATACAGCATCACCACGATGATACTTTCCACGTCCTCCTAGCGAGAGGTGCAAAGGTAGACAGAACTGCCGTTGTGTGTGCATCGTCCAGAGGGGACGAAGAGCTTTTCCGACCTCTGATTCGGAAGATCACTGCTGCCAACGATTGGGAGTGGTGGAGCGAGGCAGTCAAGGCTGCCTGTGCAGAAGGCCATGTCAAAATCCTGCAAATGATTCTTCAGAAGTGTGAGGAGGCTAATATCACGCGCTGCATCGAAGGCGAGTGGATATACGACGCATTCAAAGGCGGCCATAACGCTGTAGTAAGGGCACTTCTTGATGGTTCCTCGTATGCGACTTTTACCGCCCAGGATTGGAGGTCTGCAAGTTACAACGGCCTCTATGGGTTGGTGGAGATCTTGCTTGCGAAGGATACTGATACCGACGCTGCGGGCCGCAAAACGCAAGCTTTGTCTATTGCGACTGAGAAGGGGCATGTCGAAATTGTCAAGCTACTTTTAAAAAGTGGCGTAGGGACTGGAAAGTCGGTTTTTTCCGCGGCCACCGAGAGCCGCGAAGAAATTCTGAAGTTACTTCTCGAAAGTGGCGGAAGCCCCAACACGACTCATGGGATCGAGACTGCTCTTCAAACTGCAAGCTACAGAGGACATAAGGACATTGTTCAAATACTCCTCGGGTTTGGTGCAAGTGACAAGGACCTCTTTGGTCCTTTCGGAACCGCGTTTCAAAGTGCTGTAAGAGGCGGCAATTTGAAGATTGCAGAATTGCTGGTAGAATACGGCGAGGCAAGGAGCGGGTTCAACATAAGAGGCGTGTCAGAAAAGAGGCTAATAGAAGGCCAACTCGCTAGATTACGAAGGAAAAGGCAAAGAACAAACCCCTAGATACGTGGTCTCAGGACCCGAAGGGACACTAAGATCAGCAGATAGCCAGGGAATCGGAGTACTCTGCATGCCAAGCTTTCTGACTATTTGCACTTTGTTATCTGCTTATAGTCTTTCCGACAGTGGACGGGGTCCAAATCTTGCTAAAAGACCAGAACTATGTGGCCTAAGGGCCCAAAAAGACTGATATTAGTTATCAAAATAGCAGGGTGCGGTAGCGATGCATAATGAAGGCAACAGCATAAGAAATTTGGGTTCCTCAAGTGAAGCTATCACAAGCTTTAAAAAAATGCGATTGCATCGTTTTGTTACCGTCTCTCCTATTGTACAAAAGGAGGTTCTTTGCGGTGGCATATGACTATCCCAGTGGTCACAATGACGAGTCTTCTTGCAGGCGGTTTCTTCTTTTCCAGGCATGTCATCATTTTCTCCACTGCTTGAACAATGAGAAGGTTCGTGAGCAGAAGGACTATCTACCTTATGGAGCACCAAACAGCAACCTTTCCACAAGATGACAATTCCTTCGTCTGAATACGGAGCATTGTGGAGTTTAGCAATATCAACGACTACGGGGTTTCGTGCCTCTTCCTCGCGTCTCGCGTCTCGCGAGAAGTCATCGCCTGACTTGCACCGAGGGTAGCCGCCTGTCTCCACCCCAATGACCGGGGCTTCCGGGAATGTCTCGGACATTGAAGCTTTGAATACAACCAGAGCTAGAGTTCTCCCGCTCAAAGTTGAGCTTCCTATCCCTTGAGTCCAGCTATGACTATGAGACAGACCGAGTTCTGTTTTGTAATCTTCAGTTCCCTTCTCAAGTCTTGTGGACAACTTCACAAGATGAGAATTTGTGGGCGTCACGAATACGTCATATATGGAACCCTGACCAGGTTGTCACAGAGACTATCGCAGTAGCAACACTACACACCAAAGTTCCAAGAGGGGTCGCGGCGTGTACAGAAATCCACCCCGCGGTGGAAATTTTGGAAATGCTAGTAATCGATGGGGTTTCCTTGGGCCACACCCACTGTAAGGAACCTGTCACAAGCAGTGGGATTGAAGCCAAGGAATTGCCGTCGCCGTTTACGAGTTGCTCAAAGTAAACGCCGACACCGGTACAAAAGTCCATATATTCTCACGCACTATCTTCAGTCCCTGTTGGAACCCCTTCCAGCACTCATCACATTTTACCATACAGAGCCCCACATCAGTCAATCACCATGTCAGATCTCACAGCACTGCCCAAAGGCTCGCTCATCCTCGTCACCGGAGCGAACGGATACATTGGAGCGCATGTCATCGATAACCTACTGAAGCTAGGCTATCATGTTCGCGGTACGGTTCGCGCTGAAAAGCCGTGGCTGAGGGAGCTGTTCGGTAAGTATGGTGAGGGTGTCTTTGAACAGGTCGTCGTGCCGCATCTGGAGGATGAGGAAGCCCTCGGTCATGCCATGGCTGGCACTGCCGGTGTCGTGCTTGTCGTAAGAATTTCACCACAAATTACCTTCATCTACTTACATAGACCTCAGGCTTCAGATCTTTCTTTGAGCAACGACCCTCAGAAGGTTATTCCCTTCGTTGTGAAGGCCACAGAGACTGCACTTTCAGCTGCGGCCAAGCATGATAGCATCAAGCGGGTCGTTCTCACTTCGTCTGCCTTTGCAGCCTCTACTCCCGAGGCGAATGAGACTGGTGTCGTTGTTGATGAGAAGACTTATAATGAGCGTGCGATCAAGGCAGCCTGGGATCCGAACACTCCTGCCAACCGTATGCCTTTCATGGTCTATGCAGCTTCCAAGGCAGAGGGTGAGAAAGCTGCCTGGAAGTGGGTTGAGGAGCACAAGCCAGGCTACGTCTTCAACACCATCCTTCCGAACTTCACCGTCAGTCCTCTACACCACTGCAAACTCGCCGAAAGGTCTGGTAGCTGACGTTAATAGACTGGAGAAATCATGCATCCCCAAATGTCTGGTTCAACCATGAAAATGGCCGCCGACGTGCTAACAGGCAACCACGCCCCCCTGAAGGCCTTCATGCCTCGTAAGTGATGGCTTGCCGTGGCGTTTCGAACCTGCACGCTGACAAACCTCAGAACCCTACGTTGACGCCGGTGATGTTGCGCGTCTTCACATCGTCGCTTTGCTCGCCGAGTCTGTCAAGTCCAAGAGGATCTTCGCCGCCGCTCGCCCGGTCAACGTGTCTGATTTCATTGACGTCCTGCGTGAGCTCAGACCAGACAACAAGCTGATCCCGGAAAAGTACGCGAACGATGGGCATGACCTGACTCAGGTGCTACCGCTGGCTGAGGCCGAGAAGCTGTTGCAGACGTACTTTGGACAGAAGGGCTGGACGCCATTGAAGGAGAGCGTCGAGGCGGGAATTCGCAATTTCTGAAAGGCTTCTTAGTTGTCTGTCTGCACATGAAATTGCACATGAACCAATTGACCGCAGTCCGTTGAAAGTTCACGATCTACAAGTTGAGCCTAGATGAGTTCTAGTAGTTTTCTATGAACCTACTGCGTCAGAGCTTAGCCCGCAGAGACTCCATCCAGTTGTGAGCCAAAGCTTTCTTCTCATTAACACTCAACCCGTCGATACCTCCTCCCTTTGCTCGTTCCAACTGCAGCCATGTATCGGACTCAACAGCCATCCAACTAGCCATCACTTCAGCGCAAGTCTTGGGGTCTTCCATGGCGAGGAAATGACCCAGTTCAGGTAAAACCTTGACGTCAACGCGTCTCCTCTCTCCGGGCTGTTTTGCGTAATGCAGAGCGCAGGTTCGGGTCTGCCAGTAATCCCTGATATCATTATCGCTTGGAGTGTCTCTGCCGCCGCAAAGAAAGAAGGTGCTGCAGGTAATGTGAACCAGCATGTGGAACATGTCGACAAGGCCGGTTTGATAGACAAGTTCTGGCTCTTTTGTGTTATCGCCGTGGATGAAGGTTGGCTTGAGGTAGTTGATGAGCTCGTGATACTGTTCCGTAACCAGTGGCACTGACTTTGTATTGCTTGGTCCCTTGGACGCGGTGTTATCGTTGTTCTTGATGGCGAATTCCATGAATAGGTCGATGACTTTGGGGTCCCAGGTGCTGAACATCTTTCTGACAGACTTCTCAGCTGCCTCCCGATTCGGCCAATGGGTTCTTCGCCTAAGGGTCATATAATCAAAGCCGAGCCCATCGAGACCCACCTCCGGTGGGCTGATTGCAGGATCCAACAGTATCATTGACGAGAATATACGGCGGCTGATGACAGACATTGTAGCTCTGTCAACCCTTTAGCCTCAAATCAATCGCGTAGGAGCCTGTGTTCGATGACTTACATATGACAGCCTCCCATACTATGCCCTACCCCAATGATGGGCTGCTTCATCTGGTTCCGGAAGTGTGTGATTAGCTGAAGTAGGTCTTCAGAATGGTTTTGCCACGAGACTTGATGCAACCGTGTTAATCTATGGTGCTTGTTATGATGACGGGGAGCAACCCACGATCCGAAAATTGCCAGGCCTCATTTAATGAGAGACTCTTGCCCTGGAAGGCGGAATCTGCCATCCAAATTGAGTGGATACCAATTCCCCGAGCGCTTAGTCGATGTTCCAGATGACACCACATGGGCTCATAGAGTTCCTGGTGCTTTTAGCATCGAGCTTCTGAGTCGAGCGGTCGTACGTATGATGTGTTCACCTTTGGAAATCCATTCGCATGTGCAGCAACAATCGTGACAGCTACCCGGTGAGCTGATGAGACCGTTCGCGGCGAGTACTGCTTGACTGCTAATCGGACGAACGCAGGTCCGACCTCGTTGGCTTTCGGGAGTCTCGGGCATGAGATGGCATGCTCACGAACATGAAAGACTGTCGAGGCCATCTTGAACGACTTTTTGAGGAATTTCCCTGTCGCCTGTGTCTGCCTTCAAGCTGAAGATGTTTCTTCTGGTCAGATTATAAGAGCCCAGGTATGGAAGGTCATCATGCTTTGGCCGAAACCTTGAAACGACGCGCGGGGTTGACTCGCGGGCCTTTCAGGCTCTTCGGGCATTTTCTTTCCAAGAGACGCGACAACTCAATCTATTTTGATCATCACAATCGTTATTGTTCTCACTCAATCATCGCTCTTGGTTACATTTAGTATCTATCTCTCTATTTTAAATCATCTTTAAATTCCATCCTCACGTCTCCCGCACAATATCATGGTCATATTCCGGGTTCACCCAGTCCGGCTCGCCGCATCGCTGCCTAATAGACCCGCCGAACCAGTGCAGTGCCGCCAGCGCGGGGATGGAGAAGAATATCGTGATAATACCGTGTCCCGCAAACGTCCAGGAGTATCCCACGCCATCGACCCACGGCGCGATGAAGAAGGGGTCGACGAAAGCGCTGAAGTTAAGCAGGACGGCGTAGAAGGTGATGACCGCCATGCTCTGGAGCGGGTACGCGTCGACGACGTATGAGCAGATTGCGGTGTTGCCCATCTGGATTCCTGCGCCGACTTTGAAGACAGAAAATGTTAGCAACATGCACATGTAGCTTCTTCGAAACTGCGGTGACTTACACAAGGCAAAGGCGACCTGACCGACCATCCAGTGATACCCCTTGTCGATGCTGACGCCCCAGATGATGAGGCCGATGGCTGTCAGGAGGGCGGCGGGGTACGCGAGCCAGAGACGCATCTCGGCCGTCTTGATGCCGTCGTTGCGCTTGGCGAGCTTGATGACAAGCCAGTCGCTGAGCTTGCCGGAGAAGAAAATCTCGGAGATGAGGGTTCCGACAATGAGACCGATGAAAAAGAGACTAGACGACAATGTGTTAGATATGCATTAATGAGTGACAAGGACCTGCAACAGAAAATAACTTACCCCTGAGTCTGCGGAGAGTAGTCTACATACGCCACGGGAATCATCGTGATGACGGACAACACCCACCAATACCACCCGAAGCAGTACACGCCGGTCGAGATGGGGACGACGGGGAACTTGAACAGCTTTCCGAAGCGGATGATCGAGTCCCACGACTTGGGGTGCTTCATCGCAGGCACGGGCTTGACGTTGATGAACGCCAGCTTCTTCGTCCTCTGGATCTCGACCGCATCGGCGCCCATGGTGCCGGTCTCCAAAGCTTTCTCATCCACCACACCCGTCGCCGGCACGAGCCCCTTTGTCTTGGAGAGCATGTAGTCGCGCGGGTAGAGCGTCTCGGGCAGGAAGGCCAGCTCCGCGGCCAGGATGACGGCGAAGAAGATGGCCGTCAGCCACTGGATCCAGTAGTGGTCGACAAGATCAATAAAACCGCCGATGAGCGGCCCGGCGAGTAGGCCGAGGTCGATGGCCAGCACCCACAGGCCGACCTTCTGCCCGCGCTCGTGCTCGAAGAACATGTCGTTGATGATGGCGAGGCCGACGGTCGCGGCGGGGCTGACGCCGAGGCCCTGGAAGAGGCGCGCGGCCATGTAGCCGCCGTAGGTACTGGCCTTCGCGGCGCCGATGGTGGATGCAAAGGCGACGAGGGTGCCGAGGATGAAGATGGGCCGGCGGCCGATGATGTCGGCGGGCGAGGACCAGATCAGGGGCCCGATGGCGAGGCCGAGGGCGGGGATGGCGACGGTCCAGTTGACCATCTCGAGGGTGAGGGAGTATTGCTCCTGGAGCTCGGGGAAGGAGGGCACCGTTGTTGTTGTGATGTAGGTGAACATGAAATAGCTGTGAGATTGGGTCGTATTAGCTCTGTCGCGAACCGGCCAATGTCTCAGGCGTGAGGAACTTACAGAGCCATCACAATAGCGAGGATGCTGTTCTTCTGGAAGGCGGACCAATTCAATGGGTCGAGAGGGTCATCTTGGACGGGCTGTGGGTGGACGCTGAAGCCGTCCTTTGTGATTGTGACCTCCTGCGTCGCTTTGCCGACTCCGTGCTCCCCGGATGGCGGAGGGATCGTCTTCTCCTTTTCGGTGATGTAGTCGGCCATCTCGAGTCGCCTTTGCCTTCAAGAATGGTTTCAAACAATGCGAAGATGCGATTGAGCGACTGGAAGAAACCAAAAAGCCAAGTCGCCGGAAAAAGGGGTATCTCAGAATCACACAAAGTCACCGCAAGCAGCTCGCGAACTTTGAATCCAAATAACCGGGACAGCGACAGACATATATCAATTCACATGCAACTTTCTTATCTGGATGATCCTCACTGCATGGTAAGCCAGTAAGGACAACCTCCGACACCTTCACCCCAGCTCATCCCGTCCTCCCACGCGAAAGGGAGATGTGCGCAAAAACAGACAAGCTTTTTCCTGCATTGCGAGCTGCCCAATGACTGCCCCAGACGCCTGTTAGTAAATCCGTTTGAATAAGCCTGTCCGAACATCCTACTGGACAAAAATGGCTCTGGATGATGGCAATTGTGCCTCTTGAGTGGTCGCAGAGCTGCCGTAGATAAGGCAACCCGGGAGGGGAAGGGATTGTTGTTGTTCCCGGGGGAGACAAGGGGGGACCCGCCAAGAGATAAGGACCGTCGCATCTGCAGCACAGCAGCCCATCATAGTCTTATCTGCTGCCTTCAAAAGCTGGGACTACCGTTGGAAAGAAGAGTGATGACGACCAAGACGTGCAGAGCCTGATAAGATGCCGCTGCACCCCCGGGAAGCATGTTGCAGATGCATTTGGTTGCCTCGAAGCAGAAAGGCTGCTACACGTCCTGCAGATTTGCGGGGCTTGGATGAGATTCTGGAAATGCCCTCAGCTTTTGCTTGCATGAGGCCAACACTTAGGACTGATAGTTACAGCAAAAATAGACACAGGATGAGATGATCTAGCACTTATGTTTAATCGTCAAATTTACACATTTAGGAAGAAGGCGTTTGATGGCTTATCGTGGCGTGTTGTTTGGTGATGGTCCAATCTCCACGCATGGCTTGGGCGAAGGTTTCGGATGGGATGATCACCCTCGTGGCACGGTCGCGCGCCGTTTTGGAGGCTTGAACAACGTTTACTACTGTTTCTCAGCTTAGATGTGAAAGAATCATGTTTCACAGACCTTCATCGACGTCTGCAGATTCTGCATGTCCCCAGATCCACGAGAGCGGTTCGGTTCGATGACGACCTCGAAGGGTGACACAGAGATGATCATGTCTTCTATCCAGGCACCAAATGCCGTGCCACACCTCGCTTGTATCAATCCCAGCATTCCAGAGAACTAATCCAAGATCTGCCGCCCCCCCCCCCGCGATTGGTCTCCCGCGGTCGAAGACTTGATCAATACCAATGTCTAAAAGACATGCAACCTCTTTCATGCCGGGCGATAAGCGAGGATCGCGTGGGAGAGCCAATGATGAGTGCAGGAGATTTTGATACGATACCGAGCAACAGCCACATAGGCATCCTATTCATGTGTGGCTTTACGGCTTGATAAGTAGCTGTGGCTGGTGAGGCTAAGAGCGAACGCCATGTGTGGCTTGCGTCGGTGCGGAGGGGAGTCCCGTCAAACGTCGTAGTATATATCCATGCCAACTCAATTGGAAAAGTCAAGCTTCCTCCTTTGCCGTGTTGAATCATATAACGGGGGAAGCCATTAAGTGCATGGGGCAACTCATGACTCCCGGCGGTCGGCAAAGCCGGACGGAGAAACGACCCGAGTCATGGGGTTCGGACGACGGAATGCTGCCGGTGCTTGTAACGGCTTTGATTTCGTTGGCTACGGGATCCTTTCAACACTTTCCCCTCGTGCACGGATCGAAACGGGATGGGAAATAAGGGCGTTACGGCTTGATTGCTGCCAAGCGAAGGATAATCCGAAGATGCTGGCGAATATTCAACCTACCTAAGTACTGTTCTCTCACCTATTATCCTGTCTTACTAAGGGGAGTCTACGCTCACGTTTCGGTAGTGATATGATGCCAACTATTGTTGTGGAGCAGCTTGGAGGATCAGCGACTGCGGGATGGTCACGCAAAGTCTCCGAACAGTGTCACAATTGCAGGATCACATCATCGAAAAGATCACAGAAAGGTGAAGTAATGTCAGGACGACCAATCTATTCAGCCCACCCCTTCCCATTCATCTAGATACATCTCACCCGGCACCGCCGCAGTGAGAGAGAAGGACGGCTTGAAGCCGTATTTTTCCACAGTTCCACATTGCTGTCCAAAAAAGCTTCCCAACAGGTGTTGTCTATATGTACATTTGAAAAAAGCCAACAAACCATTGTTTGTCTCATACCGCCGTGTCTAAGTCTGCCTCAGAGAGAGCAAATTTAGTTGCGGACGACGTTGTGCTGGCGAGCCATGCGGCGCGCGAGGCGGCGGCGGCGCTTCTCCTCGCAAGAAGGCTTGGCGGTGGGCTGGGCAGCGGCGGCAGAGGTGGCAGCCGGGGCAGAGGAGACGGCCTCAGCGGCAGCGGAGGTGGTGGCAGCCGCGGGGGCGGAGGTAACAGCAGCCGGGGCGGAGGAAGCGGCGGCGGCAGCGGAGGTGGTGGCGGCAGGGGCAGCAGAGGAAACAGCGCCGGTGGAGCCGCCGGAGGAAGAGCCGTCGGTGGCGAACTTGGAGTCGAGCTCAGGGCCGGGGATGACGTAGGACTTGAGGGAGTTGTAGATGGAGATGAGGATGCCGGCGTCGGTGGCCTTGTAGAGGGCAGTGCCGAGGGTGCCGGCGGGGGCCTCGGAGCCGGAGCCGGTGATCTCGATGTTGAAGCACTGGGGGTAGTTCTGGGCGCCGTTCTCCTGGCCGGCGGAGTGCAGGGCGATGATCTCGTGGCGCCAGACGTACTTGCCAGGCTTGACGTCCTCGGGAATCTTGATGGACCAGGTGTTGTTGTTGGCGATGAGCTCGTCGCTGGCCCACTGGTTGTTGCCGGCATCCTCGAGACCCTTCTGGCCGATCTTGAAGAACTCGAGGGTGGCCTTGTCGACGGTAGCGCAGTCGTCACCGCAGGGGGCGAGGTAGTCGATGACGGGGCCCTTGTGAGACTCGGGCCAGGTGTTCCAGAAGAACTTGACGGTGGCGCCGGCGGCGGCGGTGGCGGTCAGAGCGGCGTTCTTGGCGCCCTTGTGGCAGATGATGTCGCCGGAGGCGTAGGAGGAGGGGTCAACGAAGCCGTTGTCGGTGTTGGTCGCGGACCATCCGTAGACCTCGGGGGGGCTGGCCATGTAGGGGTAGGAGGTGACGTCGTAGCCCTGGAACTCCTTACCGTCGACGGTGAAGTAGTTGACGTGGCCGTGGCCGAGGACGGAGGCGGCGCCGGCGAGGGCGGAGACAACGGCGGAGGTCTTGAAGGAAGGCATCTTGGTGGTTGTGTTTGGTTGGCTGGGGTTTCCAAAAGTTGGGATGGTTGATGTGGAGTGAGTGAGTGGAAAGACTTCAAGTCGAACAGTGAACTTCAGTCAATGAAGTGAGTGAATGATTTTCAAAAATGAAAGAAAGGTGCTGTAAAAGCAGGGAAAGAGTGTGGGAATGGAAAGCAGCGGATGAGCCTGATGGGTGAGGAGGAGAAGGAGAGAAGCGAATGTTGAGGGCGACGACACGGGAGACTTATATCTCGAGATGAGGAAGAGGGAACCACAGAAACCACAATCCACAGGCGCCAATACCTAGCGTCTGCCTGCCTACCCTCCCCGTTCGTAGGTCGTCGTCGTTGTCGTCCGTGGGACCGGCCGCCTGCGTAAGCGTGGCTGCAGGACAATTTCGAGCGGGACCATCAGGAGACGGCGCCATCGCTCATCCCATGTCGACATACATGCTGGCAGGACACCACCGCGGCCCCATCTCCGTCCATCAATGATCACGGAGGTTGGCTCCCCTCCCAGGGGAGTGCCATGGCTTCCAAGGAGCCCCTGCGCAAATCCAGGTGGTCCAGCGGCGCAAGGCGGTGGGCAGAGTGACAGGCACAGTTTTCGTCTCTCCTTGGTGTGCAGTGAGGAGCCGTGGTGATGCAGTGGGTTGGTGTAAAGAATGTCTCGAAGCGGGGTTCGTCGTTGAAAGCCAGGAGACGGGAGCCCCTGCATTTCCAGAACGACAAGGAGGGGGAGGTAGTGGGGTTGGGATGAACGGGGCCGGGATCTGGGATCGTAGCTACGGCCGAGACGAGGCCATGGCGGCTGGAAAGATGCCCATAGGCCACAGGGCGGGAAAACAAGCGGGGACACTGGCCATGCTGGGCAGCTATCGCGAAATCAAGCCGTTTCAGCGTAAATGAAAGGTGGTGACGACCTGGGTAGCATCCCGACGTGCAGGGTTTAGGTCGCAGTCCAGCCCGGTAGTGTAGGCACGCCGAGGAGATACCTACATACTAGCCGGGCCCAGCTTTAAGGCGGCCCAGAATGGTGAGATGCTACGCGGCAGGCGGACTTGTCGTTCGCTTCGGCGGCGCACGGCAATGGCGCGGTGGTGGCTTGGAGTTGCAGCGTAAAAAGGGGGGAGGTAAGGCGGAGGGAAAATCATAGTTGCAACGGTTATGGTGATCAGGCCCTCGATAATCTAGGCGACGATGGCCGGACTCAGAGACCGATGCACGGCAGGTTGAAGCGGACTGTACACCAAGAAAGAGAAAGAGGCGGACTCAGAGCATGGCTTCCCGGATCAACAATAACAAACAACGGCCAAGCAAGCGGAGGCCACTATGAGCAGAGGAGATGAAGTGATATTGGCAGCGGAAGGCTGAGCTGGGATGAGAAAGGTGAATGCGGCCAAGGATGACTGCAGTTTGGGCGGTTCATCTCAGCGCTTCAGCGGCCTCTCAGTCCATGTTTGCTTCTGTCTGATGCTGCTGCTCCTGCATGTCAGCACACGCCGCACTGCCATGGAAAACTCGTACAGGGCGGTGCCCGGTTTGGCAGCGGGATGATTGACGCCTGGATGCCTGCAGAGTGCAGCCTGACTGATGGATGACTGGGAGGATTCACTGAGCCCTGCCAAGTTGGCCACCCACCTGTATGTGTGCCTGGTCTAGATGGTTCCAGTGAAGCCGATATCCGATTTGACTGGAGAACTTTTGCAGGATTTTGACACGACTGGGAAGGGGACGAGTGACGAGTCCGAGAAGGCGGGCGGGTACATTGCCAATAAAAGGGAGCAAACCAGAAGAAGCAAACGCCGGGTGGAGAGACGCCACGTCTGTGGTTCGTGAGATGAACTGAGGGGACTGCTCCTCCGTCCGGATGAGGATGTGCTGACAGTGTTGTATTTTTTCATTTCCTTGGGGCTTTTCTGGGCCTTGTTTGCCCAGGCTGAAAGGATCACGGCAGCGCTTGGCGTTCGCTCAATGCCCCCAAATCCAAGAGCGTCTGTTCTCGAAGCAGCGGATCTGGCCAAGAGGCTCGATGCGGAAGCCGTTGGTGCTATGATGGAGAGCCAGAGCCAGAGCCAGAGCCCTGGCTGAGCAATACCGGCTGCCGTCTTGGCCTGATGGGTTCGACCATGGTTGAGGAGATTCAATGGAGACGCTGGTTACTTGGTAGGCGGGATGAAGATGGAGTCGAAGGGGGGCGAACTCGTGGCATCGATGCCTCACTTGCTGTGCCTCAATGAAGATGCAGGTGTCCGTACGTATTCGTACGAGCTGCCAGGTTCGGGATGCTGATGCGGACGGTGGCCTGGCGCTATTGCTTAGCCTCGGAAGGGGAGCTGTAGGTTAATCTATCCGCAACTCTGTGTGGCAGCGGTCTCGATCGTTGCTGCACGGGGTTCAAGGGCTAAGCAGAGACTTGTGCGTGATTTGTGCCGCTCTCTGCAGAGAAAGTGGTGGTGGTGGTGGTGGTGACTGTTCTCTTTCATCATGTTCAGAGTGTGGTTCGGGGGTAAAGCTGACGGGACCCATCCTTGGGGGCAGAAATTTTGGGGATCGCCCAGCAGCCGCAACTCTGTGCCTGCCCGGACCAACACCTTCTTTCCGCGCTGCAATCTGCCCTGAGTTCAGCTATGGAAGATTCATCGGACCGTGGGTTAGGGGGGATGTCATCCCTGAACCCATGGATGATGGCCTCTGGGCTTCCCTGACGATGCCTGCCCTGTGGCCGTTCCTTTGGGTCGTCATGTCCGCTGTGGAGAGAGGCAGGGGAAGAACTGTTCAGGGGTATCCGTAAGGAAGAGTCCAAATGCAGGGGGACACCTCACCGACATGCCCACATCCCAAGGCGCTGAATGCTCTGAGAGAGGCAGAGAGCGCAGGCAAGCAGCCCCTGACCCAGATTTTGCACGCCCTGAAACCGACTCCTCCACCCTCGGGGACCCTCAACTCATCAACTCTTGGCAGCGAACACCTCCTGGGCCAATCTATCTCGCAATCTATTCCGCCTGCACGGCATCGCCATCTTTTTCCTTGCCTCTCTCAGGACGGCAATTGAGACGCACAGCAGCCTGATGGAGCAAATTTGCAGTTCCCTCAGGTTATGGTGCGGGAACCAGGGCTCCCAGCCGTGACCTCCCACATTGTCCCGAGCTTTTTACCCTTTCAGGCCTTTTCTGGTGTTTTCCATGAGTCCACCATTGAGAATCCTTGAGAGTAGCTTACAAGGGGGAGCAAGCACACAACATGATTGATCTGTAGAGTGCTGTGAAGTTGTACGTACACAGGCACAGTACAGAGTACACAGGGGGAAAGCCTTGTTTACCGATGACGTTGCGGTCAGTTGAACCGGCTCCCACGTCGGGAGCCACTTACCGCATTCGAGACCCCTCGACGCGTCTGGTCTTCTGTCGCATTTTCGTACCGCTTTCCGGCCTGTTCGTAACGTGACGATGGGGGTCCCTTTCTTGTGAACACACACACAGACATCGTTGCCTTTCCAGAATCAACTCACCAACTCGTTGCCGTACCACCGGAGCCGAATCACGGGACTCTTCCCGTCTTACATCCCCAATTGAACCCGTCCCATAATTAATCTCATCCGTCATGCCGCCCAAGAAAGCTGCTGCCGCAACGCCGCTGGCCTAGGCCGACGCGAATCGCGTAAGGGCGCCCAACAGTGCTGCTGATGCCGCAAAGGTACGCAACCGCGAATATCTCTTTGCATCTTACCTGCATCAATCAAAATCATCATCAGATCATTATAGAAATTTAGCATGTAACCCAGCGGTTATGCAAGTCTGCACGCCTCAGCGGCTAAGCAAGCCGTCTTACTCACTCATACACCTAGAAATGAGACGCGTCTAGAACCCGCGAAGCGCCCAGTGACATCATCGCACACCACGACTAACATCGTGAACCACTCCCCTCACAGCCAGCTCCCCAGTCCCGCAAGCGCAAGTCCGACGCCGTCGACGACGCCTGCGACGCGCCCGCGCCCAAGAAGGCCACCACCACGAAGAAGAAGAAGGACGACGACCCCCTCCCCGACCTCTCCGGCATCGCCCTCCCGGGCGACGACGACATGTCCGTCCCCATCTACGACAGCTGCCAGACCGTCCGCACCAAGATCAACGCGCACCTGCGCAAGCCGGGCGTCACCAAGGCGGCCTTCCTGCGCGCCTGCGTGAAAGCCGCGTACGGCGCCGACTCGGAGCACAAGATCGCGGGCAACCTGCTAACCAACTTCCTGGCCAAGAAGGGCCCCACCGCGGGCAACACGAGCAGCGTCTTCTACGCGGCGTACGTGTTCTTCGAGAAGCTGCGAATCCGCGACGGCAAGCCGAAGAACAAGACCCGCGAGGAGATGGAGGCGCGCTGGGGCCCGGAGGGGTTTGATAGGGAGCATGATTCTAGTCGCGGGTACTTCTGCGCGGCGGGCACGGCGCCGGTGGTGGATAAGTATGGCAGGGTGAGCATTGTGCCGACTGGTGGCGGCCGCGGGCGGGCAAGGGGTGGGTGGATGTAAGGGATTCTCTGTCCGTGTATGAATATTTGTTAGTTTTGGTCGGATTTGCTTCTTGGCTGTGTGTTTTTAGTAGGTTTAGACTTTTAGGTACGAATAGGTCACTCTACAGCGGTTTACTACTACCCAGTACCTGCTTTTCAGTGTACTAGTGATGGTGAGGTGTTATACATGAAGGCTCAATCCTCTCATATGCTAGCAACTTGCTTAGAGATTTGTACTTAGGTAGTCAGATATTGCTTCACTGTATGCGCCCGTTCATATCTCAAAGGTTTACAAGCTTCTGTTGCAACAACATGTTTCTACGGTCCATCCAATAGCTTACGCGCCGTGAGTAGGGATTTCCATACAATTTGTCCCTTGTCTAGACTACGGCAGACATTTCATGCCATCATCGCGCCAACTCGCATCTTCGATTCTTTTTACGAACATCAAGACCTCTCATCCGAACTGTGGACACCCATTCACCTTTGTGCATGCGGCCCAGCAACCCGGGCCCACGGCCCCCCTCCCCTCCCCACCAGCACGATATGACTCGATACCGGGATCCATTCGACCTGTTTTTTCCCTTCCCGGGATGGAAGAACACTCGGCTTCTGACCGCTATATCTGCGACGGAGGCCGGGGTGGGCAAGCGAGGCCTGCTGGAAGGTATCGGGCCATCGGCACGGATTGGTGGTGCAGTGTGGTCGGCTTCCCCCGATCACTTCTGCGGTGTTGCTGTTCCTGTGCGTGCATGCGCTGCCCCTTGTTTACGTCGTCTGCCCGCTACATGACACAAAAGCTTGGCCTCCGCATCTGCCCCTTCACCCCACCGCCGATTTCTTGGTGATCGCGGGTGAAAATTACCCAGGACGTGCAGGAAATGCGTGTTCGGGATAGTTTACACGAAAACAGCTAGAAGCTTCTCGCGGTGCGTGTCCGCGGAGGACGGCAACGGGAAGCCGATTTTACTAATTAAGAGGCGCCTGTCGGATTCAGGTGGTCGCGGTGATGTTTCAATATAAGTGACTGGAGGAAATGGGAACATCTCCCGCGCCCCCTGCGGTAAGCGCCCGGTCCTGCGGCGATAGATTGATTGCCTTCGGGATGTTCTGTCTTTCGCTGAATCGAACGGTGAAACAATTCTTTGACCCAGTCTCACAGCCTGTTCAACATTCGTAGGCGTGTCGGTGGCTTCATGTCGGAATACCCAATGTGGGTAAGCGGCATGAGTTGCTCAGTCGTGGTGCGAGTCTTAATCGATTCACGACAATCGCCGAATGGACCGATTGGGCAGGAAACATGCGGTGGCAGGGTCTTTTAGTTTTCGTAGCCAGCGCCGCTGGTTCCTCAAGAACGAGCCTGCTGACATGAAGCTTGTTGTCTGCAGCCACAATGACAGACACGAGACGAGCACAACGGCAACACGCATTGCATACCCGATGCACTCCGGAATCGCAGACCACAACGTTGAGCTAAGCTTTGCCCACGGTACGCGATAACCTTCAATAGAGTAAGAAGCTTTCAGACTACTGATTATGCATGATCAGAACGGTCCACGAAGGTTATTTCTTGGCGGGCCTTCTGCAAGTCAATATTCCACCATACTATTGCCTTCTAGCGATTGCGCAATGTCGGTCGAATAGGGGGATTGGGGAGCAAAGAAGGCCATAAACTTATCGCGGCCGGCAAAGTCGGCATCACGGCCTCACGGGGCACTGCCTGGCGGTAATTTCGGCAGCCGGAAGCCGGCAACAACGGTCCCCGCCGAGGTGGCGGTTGAGAGTGGGCTGGGAGACGTAGTAATGCGAGTGAGCGCTTTGGACAAATGACAAACATGGTTTGTGTGAGAACTTGATTAAGAGTTGAAGTCCGAGAAGCTCGGTACGATACGAGAACTGGAGCAATCATGCAATTACTGTTGCTCCGACTTCTGCAAGTTGACCAGGTTCTGCGTGGCCGTCTGCGTCTTGTGGAACCGCCATGGCTTGATCTTGCGCTCGAACAACTCGTCCAGCTCGGCGGCAGAACGTCTAAGACGCAGTCATCAGCATGTGACTTTCAACTTCAGGATTTGAGAACTTAGGTCAAACTTACCCAGCTGTGTCCGGAATGAGCAGCCACATGCCGATGGTGAAGGGCAGCCCGACCCCGGCGTAGAACCAGCCCGTCTTATACCCCCAGTTCCACTTGTCGGCGTTGACCATGTACGGGACCAGCACGTTCATCACGATGCCGATGACGCAGCTGCAGGCGGCGCCGAAGCCGGCCGTGTACGGGCGGAGTCTCTGGGATGAGATCTCACCGATGAAGCCCCTCCCGGCCGCGCCGCTGGCCGTCATGCCGATGTCTAGTGGGGTCGAATCCGGTGTCAGCACAAAAAAGCTTAGACTGAATTCGAATATCAAGATCTCCGGGACACTCACTCCAGAAGCAGGCGAACAGCACAAAAACATATGTCGTCGCGTTAGTCTCCCTGACGACACCCATGATGCCGATGACCACGCACGACAACCAACAAACCGTGATGCCCCCGCAACCGATCCACCGCCTCCCCAGCCGATCAGCCGAGAAGATTGTGACGATAATAGTGACGATGTTGATCGACGAAGTGATGGCCTTGATCAGGAATGGGTCCTGCAGCCCGGCCTGTTGGAAAAAGTACGTCCCAAACGTCGCAAAGAGGATCAGCCCGATGAACTGCTGTGACATGTTGGTCCACAGCGAGACCAGCGTTCTGATGCCGTCGGTGCCCCGGAAGATCGCATGCCACTTCTCCCTTCTCTGCGCCGCCGCCACGGCCCGTTCGTGCTCGAGTGTCATGAGGAGGGCCTGGTACTGCTGTTCGAGATTGAAACCCTCGACGCCGCGGTTTAACCAGACGAGACACTTCTTCGCACGCTCTTCATGACCGCTTGTGACGCACCACGCAGGGGACTCGGGCAGAAATACGAAAATGAGAAGCATCAGCCCAATCTGCGCCCACTGCGTGTAAATCGGCTTCAGATAGTTATACGCATCCTTCTTATTCAGACTCTGCAGCGCTACATGCGCGCAGAAGGTACCTACGGTCCGCCACAAGGAGTAACACATCAACAACCCGCCCCGAATTCGGACGGGCGCAACCTCGACGATGTAGATGGGCATCGTCGACTGCAGACACCCGACACCTATGCCCGCGAGCAGCTTGCCGACGAGCCAGACGGGCCAGCTGCGCGCGAGGCTCTCGGCGAGGACGAGCCAGAGGGTGTACATGGCGGCTTTGCGGCCGAGACGGGAGGATATGAAGGGGATCGTGGTCATGCCGAGGACCTGGCCGACGGACATGATGGAGCTCCAGCCGGAGAGGATCGGGGCGTCGAGGTAGGGCTTGCCGGTGGGGTCGGTGAGGGTGGCGAATTGGCGGACGAAGCCTTTGTTGGCGACGATGCCAGCGTTCATTCTTGTTACGTTGGATGTTAGCGGGTTGAAGTTTGGGTGTGGTGCGGGTGAAAAGGGGAGCTTGCCCGATTTGATAGCCATCGGTGGCTGCGCTGAAGGCCGCGGCGAAGCATGAGATGGTTGCGACTTTGAAGAGTTTTGCAGTCTCCCAGATGGTCAGCGACTCGTAGCCGGAGACGGTTTGGCCTCGAAGGGCGGCGTCGACGGCAGCATCTCCCTTCTTGAAGCCGTTATCCGTTGGGTCTTCGATGTAGTCCACCGCATCTGTCGGTTTCTCCGTGTTCGGGCGGGAGGACGTCATGTCGAACGACAATATTTCAAGAAGTACCTGCAGATGCGCTATGGAATCCTCCGGATTCTGTGGAAGCTGACTTGGTGATATTTATGTCTGTCTTGGACGATGCTCGTCGGCCTGCCTTAGTGCGAAACCGCCGAAATGCGCCGAGGAGGCGTGCGTCCGGGCCGTCATGGAAGTTCATTCTGATCAGCTGTTCCGGCTTGGTGGTGCCAAATCGTCCGACATTTGCTTGTTTACGAGAGAGCCTTGACGTCGGTCCTGTGGCCACTATCCCCGGATTCTTTCCAACCCCGAGGCTATACCATGGGCGATCTGGGGGTGGGGACCCCGCAAGCGACTAGAGTATGGGGAACATATGGGCTGTTGGCTAGACTCTATCGAGGGGGAATGTGCCAACCAAAAGGATTTCGTTATTGAGGGGTCTGTCTACAATCATGCCCGGCCTCTACTTGTTGGCAAGGGGGCAGTCTCTACATCGAGGTTAACAAAGCACCACACACAGATACTCCACTTGCCGGAAGGAACATACGCCTCTCGCGTACGCCGTATCCCGTACACAGACGCTTCTCATTGGCCCTCGGCCTCGACTTAGACCCCGAACGTTGGTGGTATAACTAACAAGCTACTTATATGTGATGACGGTGAAACTTTCCCAACAGAATTAGTTTGGGAAAGTAACTGATAGCCTCGCATTGTTGGCATGGAGGTCTGGCGTGTCAGAAAGCTCCTTTCGGTAGACATTTGGCCGAAGCCTCGTGAGCGATGCGAGGAAGAGGCGCAAAGAAAAAGATAAAAATCAAAAACAATAGAGACGCTAAAGAACAACTTGTACCGTAGGTTGCTCTGGAGGCAGGCTGGGTACGGTTAGACGGAGAATCACAATACTCTCCTGTGAGTTCGTTCAAAACTGTCACGTTAGAAGATGCATGGTGAGCAATACAAAGTGACGACGAGGCGGGCGAGGAGGTAAAAGAATATCAGTTTCGTGATTCTGGAACAGGGAACATCGATATAAGAGTCACATATGACTGGTATGATGAAGTGTATTGATGAATGCGTACGTATTTACAAGATTCCACCTATGATAGGAGATTGGAAGAGTCATCTACGATCGAAGAATCGCGGAAACCGATTTCATGTTCCATTTGCAGGCTGCTTGTATTCCACACCATCAATAGTCGTAGTCAAAGTGCCGTTAGCGTTGAACACGTTGAGCTCTGCATCAATGATCAAATGAAACTCGCCGGGTCCCGTCGACTTGGTCGCATTCACAACACCTGTCTGAACAATGTCAGATACCCAGTCAACCTGGTTGGCCCAGAAGTTCGGCAGCAAAATCTTGACCGTCACGTCCTCGTGTCCGTTCAGGATGTGATCGCCGTCGTCTGAGAAGTTCGTGTAGTTGACCGCCACGCTGCCCAAGCCGCTCACGCTGTTCGCATCCGGGGTGATGCTCACATCAGCAACGCCGGAGACTTTGCCTTTGAGGGTATAGTTTCCAGGGGGCACTGTGAACTGTGCTGGAACAGTTGAGCCTGGTGGGAAAGGGGTGGCCCAGGGAATCTCGTCGGGGACCTTGTACACCGGCGCAGGCGTGGTGGCCTCGCGGCCGGTGCGGTGGGCCAGCATGATGCGGTACTCTCGTCCGCCCTGTGCAGTGGACTCGGGGCAGGGCAGGGGGTTCTCCCCGCCACATGACGGGGACACGACGAGGGCCTGCCAGTAGACGATCTTGGTGCCGTGGAGTGAGAAAGCCGGGTCAGCTCTGCCATTCCAGTTGGGATCGTTGATGGCGCCATTGCTGCCGTCACCTGCAGCGTTGACCTGCTGACCGTAGTAATCCCCGCGATCGCCATAGCGGTCGATCAGAATGGGCTGGAAGAAGCGGCGTGGGCCATTGTTGCGCGTGGACGATGCAACCGTCACTGCGACGAGGTCAATGAGGGGAGGAACGCCGCGCATGCCCGACATCCACATCTGGCGATTAGAACCGCGGGTGTCCATTGCGATGAACCAGTCATTGTCGGCTGAGAAGGCCATGGGGTCGGCGTACTCGGGGTGGCTGGTCAGTCTTCGGACAGCGCCCGTCTCGAGGTGCACCGCGAAAAGGTCGATGTTTGTCGACTCGCGCGGGTTGGCGATGTAAGTGACCTCCTCGCCGTTACCGCTGAAACCGCGGAGCTCGCCGACGTTGATGGAGTCATCATGGATAGTCAGCTCGGTTCCGTTGACAGTGTAAGGTTCGAAGCGAGTTGGGTCGACGAGGAGGTTTACGTCTACCAAGTCGTATCGCGGAGCAAGGGGTTCGCCAACAGTGGGTGCGGCGTTGAACTCAAGGCGACCAAAGTAGGCGAACTGTCCGCCGTCATTGGTGAAAGAGCTCCAGCCCATGTGGGCATCGTCCGGATGCAGACGGAGTTCGCGTGGGCTCCCACCCTTACCTGACCCATCGGCCGCGGTGTTCCAGTGAATCGGGTAAATATGGGTGTTGTTAGGGGTGCAAGTATTGCTTTGAAGGAGTTCACCCCCGCAGTCGAGAATGTTGTGACCCCAGAGTGCCTTGGTGCCGCTACGAAAGACATGAGGATAGTCTCGTTGAGCATCCAGAGAAATGGCGTTGGCTGTAGGTATACCGCAACTGATGCACTTCCAGGGATCGCCGTTGGTGAAGTTTGTGCCGTCGGTCTTGATGACGATGAGCTGCTCGCCAGTGTAGATGCTTCCAGTGGCGGCCCCGACAAATTCCACGTTGGCGATGATATGGTTGCCGTCAGGAGTAAAATCTCCAGCTTGGAACTCGCCTACCGCCTTGGCAATGCAGCCAGTGCCATGAGGGTTGATGTCGGTTGTGCAGGCACCTTCATCCGCGGTAGGTGCAACTGGTGGCAGAGGGAGTTCCAAGATCTGGAATGCTTCGGGTGCAGGAGGCGATGGAATGGACTGCGCAGCGACAAGACAGGCGCTCAATCCCACGACCAGATGTGCCGACAACATGATGGAGTGAGATAGCTGCGACCGCGAGCTTTGTTATGGACTGGACTAGGCGTGTCGGAGCTAGATATCTAGATTTTGCCAACGAACTGTTCTGCTCATACTTATAGGAAGCTAATACTAGTGCTGTTGAAGGTTTTCCTCCATCCGTTTTGAAGATCGACGTCGGGCCCGTCGGAGGCCCCGTATGTGCCGAGGAAAACTGGGGTTACGGTATACGTACGATATACGGGAATACGGTAGATTGAGATCAAGATCTGGCGAAATGAAATGCGGGGAAGTGCAACCTCCTACTAAGATCGCTGATATTTTTGGTGACACGAATGGGATCAAAATTGAATCCGGAAGAAAAAGAAAGTCTCCTTTTGGCGCCCGTGACGATGCAGATCGGTAGGATCAAAGAGTAGGTGGCCTTTCTTGACTTGGGTCAGTACGCAGCCATCAACAACCGAGTGCAACCTGCACGACTACTTCAGCAATAAAAGACTACAACAGAAATAATGCTGCATGTCTGAGTCCAAGGACGACTGGGGACATATCTTAGTTAGGCCAGAGTCCGAATCTAGTACCACCCTGACGGAGTGGCTGTGTCTGGGCTTCCTTAGACCTCTGTTGGCCGGGAATATGATGGGAAACTCCACAATGCTTCTGCTTAACGACGACTGAGAATGTACTATAGAATGATCTAAACTAGGCAACTATATGGAGCGGCTGCTCAAGGGGACAACTCCCCACTATCTTCAGGCATTCGAATCCCCATCGGAACTATCTTCGCCCATGTTCTGGGCACTGTTTTCCTCCTCCCCCTTATCAGGGACAGCTGCGGAGGTTTTCACAGCCACCTTCTCTAGTCTCATAGCTTGCACCCAGTCCTCGGCACCAGAAATAGCAATTTCCGGTTGCTTTTTGTGCTTAATCAAATACCCCTGGACCTCAGCCGGACTGAATTCGCCCGAAGGTATCTTGGCGGCAAACTGCTTCGAAAGTTCCTGAATTCGGGAAGAAGCTTCCCGAGACCTTTGTTCACCATGGCTGGGCTTTTCTCCCGTGACTGTTTTGTTCAATGACGCGAAAACAGTTCGGAAAATTGCTGCTGTAATCTGGGTATCCGCGGTTGTGAAGTGAACAGTCATGTCTACGCGGCCAGGCCTGATAAGCGCTTTGTCTAAGTTCTCGACGTGGTTGGTCGACATGATCAGGATGCGACCTTCCTGACTGCCAACACCGTCTAGCAAGTTCAGAAGTCCAGACAAGGACAGCTTTCCGTTACCAGAAGACTTGCGCTCGTCCTTCCCGGCAGCAGGGTCTCTGGTTGAAGTGAGACCGGCAGCGTCAATGTCCTCAAAGAGGACGATGCAGACCTGCGGGAGTTTGGTAAATAGCGACGCCAAGTTCTCTTCAGATGCGTTTGATGAACTTAGGCTGACGGTGTATATGCGAAGCTTGAAGTGACCCGCAAGAGCAAATGCGAAAGACGACTTTCCGGTACCTGGGGGACCAGCGAACAGGTATCCTCGCCTCCATGGAATGCCACAGTCCGTGTACCACATCCGAGTCTCTGGCGACAAATAGTCTGTGATGTCGTCGGTGATGGACTCTTTCAGACCGGCCTGAGTGACAATTGTCGAAAAGTGTCTTGGCTCCCTTGCCATGCATCGCTGCCATGTGGGCCCAAAGCGTGGCTGCAGGTTTGCGCGGTAGATCATAGTCTTGTCATCGTCCATCCTAAGATACTCCTTGTGAGCCTCGTCAAGGAGATCTTTCAGGATAGCCGGACTGTATCCAAAACACCAGAGACTAATCGTCTCACATTTCACATTCGAGGAACTCGATCGCTGGTTGTCCCTGTACCGCCTGAAGAAAATCGGCCACCCTTTGTACCAGAACAGGTGTGCGCCAAAGCTGGGCGTGTATGCCAGAGGCTTTGGCTGGAATTTATCGTTCCGTGGCGATACAATGCTATCCTCAAGGTCGTCTCTCCACGCCCACGGAGACCATACCGACGAGTTGAGGTCCATGTTGACAATGAAATGCCTTGAGTTGGACCAGAATGGTTGGCTGGCAACCCAGGACATGATCACGTTCTGCGTTCATGTTTAGCAATAAATACTTTTCGAAATGCAAAATGAAATGAGATAAGCTTACGTAAATTTCGTCATCCGGTCGAATCTCTGCAGTAGACATGAAGCAAGTATTTATGATTCTGCGGGCGTGCTCCCCGATGTACGTCCAGGCAAACCCAGTCATTCCCAGAATAAGAATGAAGGGAACATACGAGGACAAGTCGAATCCCAGGTGTCGCTTGAAAAGCTCCACGGCGATGCTGTAACCTGGAAAAAGTGAGTCCATGCCCCATGATTGGCTGTCCATCTCTCTGAACGTCCGAGTGTCCGAAAAGGAGCTGCCTTCCGTGTCAAAGGAGCAAGGTACTTTCTCCATGATTCTGTGTTCTGGCCAGCTCCAAGTGGTAATCTGGTAGCAAAAACACTAAGAAATATTGAGCCGGTACTGGTGAGGTTTCAAAGTGAGAGTTTTATCAAAGCTGAAATAGACGGCTTATGAAGTGTCTCGAGGTGCGGCTGACGGCTTAAATAACCATAGAAGTTTCATACAGTGACCGCGATGCCTGAGAATTCGTAACAGCGATAGCTGCAGGCCGATGTAACTTGTCAGCGGCATTGATGCTTAGTTTGCCAGTGATTCGGAGAGCACGTGAGGTTCTATGAGTCAGCATTAGAAGTGAAAGTACATCGATAAATTCAGTGCGTTACAGCTCGATAATTCACCGAAATTGCCTTGGTCAGGATCAGGCACCAGAATCCACTCCATGCGTGGTTAAAAGAGCTCACGAGGCCCAGAAGTTCACGTCTAAACTCTGAAACTGATGCCTATTTTGCCTGATTGTTGACACACAGCATGCCGGTTTTCGCACTCGTTCAACTGCACGGATATGTTCGGGGCGGTGTCTATGTTGCCTATCAGTCTGACCTGCCTCGATGCGGGCTAGAAACGGCCGCCATGACCCTCCGTTGGGCTCCGTGTCCGGATCGGGACTAAGAAGCGGAGAAGCGGCGTGTTCAATTCATTGATGATTGATAGACCTTTTGGGACATTCTGATAGAAAGATATCTATTGATGTGAACGTGGCTATCGAGCTGATGCAGCATGCATGAATCATGAGATATCCTCTCTGCGTCTTTTGAAAGTGTCTCTCAAGTAAAATGCCGACATCTTCGGCGTTCGCTGCAGTGTGTTGAAATCCGTGTGCACGATGCCAAAGCGTGGGCCGAATCCAGCAGACCATTCTGGCAACAATGTCAGTCACAATTCACTAAAGGCAAAGGGAAATTCTGGATGGAAGAAACTTACCAAAATTGTCCATCAAAGTCCACGCATAATACCCCTCCACACGCACTCCGTCTTCGTAGATCGCGCGTGAGATGGCGTCGAGATAAAGTCCGAAATAACGTTGACGAAATTCATCCTCAACCGCAATGGAAACGTCATCCTCACCCGGACAAGGGCATCCGTTTTCAGTGATAATCACAGGGAGTCGATAGCGGTCCCAAACCCAATTGAGCAGCTTGCGGAAGCCTTCGGGCGCAAGACGCAACCACTGTACACCAGATACCGGTCCTATTTCTACGCCCTGCGCGTTCACCGAAGACTCTTCTATATTGCCGGTCCAATCATCGTCGGCTGGAAGAGTGGTCAAGGCGCGAGCGTACTTGGTTGAGTAGTGATTCATGCCATAGAACGCGTTGGTGGAAGCTGTCTCCCGGAGTAGCTCTTGTTCTTCGGGCGTGAACTCGGGCAGCCGATCGCCAAGATACCGCCTCATGGAGTCTGGATAATCCCGGCCGAGGAACACTGGGTCTCCAAACCAGCCAATGTAGAATTCCATCCGGCGTTGCGCCGCGTCTCTATGAAGCTGACTCTCGGCGTCGAATGGCTCATAGAAATGGCCGTTGAGCACGATGGATATGATACCCTTTTGATCAGACTGGAACTCTTTGGCATAAATCTGAACGACTGAGGCATGGGATATGATAATGGTATGCCCGACTCTCCAAGGCCCCGTCTTAGTATCGGCGCCAGTCGCTGCACACCGACCGGGTGCAAGAACACCGTTGTGGTGGGCGAAGATCGAGATGATGTACGGCTCGTTAAACGTAACCCATTTCTTTACCCTGTCGCCAAAGCGAGCGAAGCAGAGGCGCGCATAATTCTCAAAATCAGCCTTGAATTCGGCCGTATCGAGGAGGCCTCCATAACGATCATAGAGCTCCTGAGGTAGATCCCAGTGATATAGAGTAACCACTGGCTCAATGTTATGGGCTAGAAGTTTGTCGATGAGGTTGTTGTAGAAAGCAATGCCCTTCTCGTTGACGGCGTCATTCCGACCTCCGGATGGTATTATGCGAGTCCAGGCCAGGGAAAAGCGGTAAACGTCCACACCAAGAGCTTCCATAAGGGCCACATCCTCATCTGCACGGTTGTAATGATCGCAGGCAACGTCGGCGTTCTGGCCATTGGTTCGCGATGGCTCCAGATGAGTGTAGGTATCCCAGATGGATCTACCCTTGCCGTCCTGGTTAACAGCACCCTCGACTTGGAAGGCTGCGGTGGCAGTCCCCCAAGTGAATTCGGCAGGCAAGCGAAGCTCTTGGACGGGCAGGTCGTGACCAGTGGTTTGACTATAGGCAACCAGATCCCCGGCCTGGAACATGGCGGCTTCGTTCGCCATTTTTGCCAATTCGATCAACCAACTTGTGAAAACAAATCAAACTATGATGTCCGCGGCGAACTAAAACTTGTCATATGAAGGATTTGCTGCATCAAGTCATGCAGTGAATCTCAACCTGGATTACCAAGTGAAGCGGCATTTATCGCCACTCGCGTCTATTCGGCCCCGACGCTGACCCGAATGATTCTAAGAAATAACTATGACCAGTTTCTTGTTTCCCTTTTACTTCCGAAACGGCACGAATCGGCGGGCGTTAGTCGTTGGGGCGACTTGGCAATTTTGATCATCCCGTTCTGTGTTCCTCAAGGAGTGGCCCCGCATCAATACGATGTACGTATGTACGAATACGGGTGGATACACCTCCTCGGCATTAGCGTGACCACCAACCCCTCTTGTTGTCACCTCTCCGTGTCGGATGGCCAGCCCTTCGTATTGACGCAAGTTCCTGGACGTAGGTCGCTCCAAGCTATCCCGAAGGACTTGAGCGGTATTGCAAAGGGGATATTCACACGGGGATCAATGGTGAGGTCAAGAAGGCGACCTTTGTTAGTAGATACCGACATTTACATACTATACTGCAAGGCAGATTGTGCGCATCGGTATAATCTGAACATCTTCCAAGCATCATTAAGTCAAAGCACCCACTTTCCGGCCACCCCTGCATTCCGGCCACCCAAAAATAATGCCATCACAACAACCACCACTTTATTAATCAACTATCGACTGGGCATCGCTGCTACTATTATACAGCTTTCGGCCTCACTAGGGTAATCAGAGGCGCTGGATTCATCTGTATTATCGACGACATCGCCAGCCTTAATCTGGGCCCGCCGTATGTCGCTGATGGTTGCAAACGTCGTATTTGGGTCGATATGAACAGCCTTCCTCTTCCTAGTGATGCTGTTGTTAACTTGGGCCTGGAGAAGCTGTATTTGATGCTGGGCGGTAGCCAACTCCATGGACTGCTCTTGGAAGCCTTTCTTCACCTTTCTGAAGAGCTGGCGTTATGTGGCGATACTTTGTTCCAGTTGACTATACAGATTTAGTTGGTCCCCAAGGTCCTTCATCTTCCTTGGCGTGGACCACTTAACAGCAGAGGAAGCAGATACCTATTCCTCGTTATCCTGGACTTTCTAGGCATCAAAGGCACCCTTAGCCTTCTTGTTGAGTGGTGTTGACGGTGCTAGTGATGCTAATAATGCCTTGGGTAGTAGTAGGGAGCTTATAAGTGGCTTTGCAGCAGAAACAGGCCACAACCTAGTGTATTTCCAGCCACTCTTTATATTGCTTTCTGTCAGACCAGCAAGCTGAGCCTTCTGATAGCATGATATGAAGTTCCTCTTGCCGATGATAGTTGAATCGTTCCACTGGGTGAGGTAACCAAGCTCCTTACGATAGGCTGCCTTCACAGGGCTGAAGACTGCCTGATCAAGTGGCTGGAGCACATGGGAGGTATGTGGCGGTAGGAATAATAGATGGACGTTGTTGGTATAGCATTCCCACATAAAATCCGTTGTCGTATAGCTCCTATGTCCATCTAGGATAAGCAGTCTGGCCTGATCAGGTTGAGAGGGCCTAGTCTGAGGGAGGAAGACTCTTTGCAGCCACTCAATAGCAGTATTATCAGTAGTCCATCCATTCTCTGTTGCTGTAAACTCCTATCCATCGTATAGGCCAAGGTCTAGTGGAAACCACTGCTGTTAGACCTTTTTGCCCTTATATATAACCAGTGGATGCAGTGCCTTGCTAACAGCAGAGATACACTCGATGATAGATACCTAGGCTTGTGATCCAGGCTGCTTTTTCCTAACTGACTTCGTGGCAGCCCTTCCCAGCACCAGCCTATTATCCCCCTTGCCCTCAAGAATGCCAGTCTCATCCATATTATATCGGTTGGCTGGTTTGATGGCTGTAATGCGAGGCATCGCGAGATGTTTGAACTATTGCCTGATAACCTCAGTAGATGCCCTATTAACACGCCTTGAACCAATTGAGCGACTTCTCTGGACCTTAATAGATAGGTTTCTTCGCAGGAATCCATCCATCTATCGCTTGCCTAGGGGTTGGGTATCCCCCATAGCATAGAGGATGCGCTGGGCGAACTCCTTTACTTATTGATAGGTTGGTGGGAGCCTAAGGTCAGCCTGGATTTGCACCCAGCTAGCTAGCTTAGCCTCCTAGGTATGGGATAGCCGCTGGAGGTCCTCAAAGGCAGCTGCTCTGTGTTGGACGCCTTTAATCCGGTCTTGAAGTGTTGATCGTGGTACTCCCCATCGCCTGGAGGCATTGCGGGCCGATATGCTATTTGCCATATCGGCAAGGGCTTGATTGATCTCATTTTCGGTACACTGGACCATTAAGTAATAAAAAAGGTATCCTGAAGAAATGATGGGATTTGGATAAAAATAGGAAATGTTATAGTAGTTAGAAGTAGGGGGTTATCTAGAAAGTGGGTGGCTGGGCGGCATTTTTTGGGTGGCCGGAATGCAGGGGTGGCCGGAAAGTGGGTGCTTTGACTTATATCTTATTTCGTCCTGCCTCTCATTATGGCTATTGTAACCGATGCTCAGTTTGAACACTATCACGCACCGAATAATATTGGGGTTCAAGAGACGACTCCCCGTATCTCTTGGAAAATTCAGAACGCAGCGTCTGAGTTCACCCAGCGATCATACGAAATCGAGCTGTCAGAACATTTAGCGACTATCCAGACACCTCGAGTTACGACAGTCAAAATCGTCTCGGCTCAGCGGTTTCTTGTCCCTTGGCCCTTTTCGAAGCCGTTGCAGTCTCGACAAAAGGTCTCTGTCCGCGTTAGGATCTGGGACCAGGAAGGAAATTGTACCGACTGGAGTGAAGCATGTCATCTTGAGGTTGGTCTCCTCGATCGCGCAGACTGGCACTGCGAGCGCATTGCTGCACCTTGGGGCCCTGGGACGTCCGCGCCGGATCCCGAATAACTGTTCCGCAAAGAGTTCGTTATTGAAGGGCGCGTAGCTCAAGCTCGCCTGTACATCACTGCTCAAGGAGTTTACGAAGCAGAGATCAATGGCCGGAGAGTCGGTGATTATTTCCTGGCTCCTGGTTGGACCTCATACGACGGAAGACTGCAATATCAGACCTACGATGTCACTAATCTACTGAACGTCAGTAGTTCAGAAAACTGCATGGGGGTCAGAGTTGTAGAAGGGTGGTTTTCTGGCAGGATCGGCTTCGAGGGTGGGCATCGCAACATCTGGGGCCCTCATACAGCACTCGTTTCGCAACTCGAGATCACGTTTTCTGATGGTCGCGTTGAGTACATCGGTACCGATGGCTCCTGGCGTGTCACTAGGGGCCCCATTAGGCTTGCTGAGATATACGACGGGGAGAAATATGATGCGACTTTGGAGATCGAGAAATGGTCCGACCCGATAACCACTACAGACTTCGATATGTCCCGCTGGGAGCCTGTTTTTGCGTTGCCATTCTTACCCGAGTCAACCAAATTGGTCGCTGGACTTGGCGAGCCCGTCAGAAGAGTTGAGGTTATCAAGCCTGTGGATCAAATCACCACACCTACGGGGAAAACCATTGTCGATTTTGGCCAGAATCTAGTTGGCTATCTTAAGTTAACGAACATCAGCGGCTCGCGAGGCCATGTTATCAAGCTCTCGCATTCTGAAGTTCTGGAGCACGGAGAACTTGGAACTCGTCCATTGAGGATCTGCAAAGCTGTCGACGAGTACATCCTCAAGGGCAGCGCTGAGGGTGAACAGTATGAGCCGCGATTCACCTTTCACGGTTTCAGATATGCCCAAATTGATGGATGGACCGGCGATCACGATGTCATGACCTCTGTCGAGGCAGTTGTGTGCCATACCGATATGAAACCTGTTGGATTGTTCTCATGTTCCGATGACATGCTCAACAAGCTATATGAGAACATTACCTGGGGCATGCGGGGAAACTTCCTTTCAGTGCCAACTGATTGTCCACAGCGCGATGAGCGGCTCGGCTGGTCTGGCGATCTGGCCTTGTTTGCGCCCACTGCCTCTCTCATTTACGACTGTTTTGGCATGTTGAAGAATTGGCTCATCGACGTCGAGTATGACCAAGGAGTCCTTGGCGGTGTTCCTCCAATGGTGAGCCCTAACGCAACATTGCCGGATCCGATCTGGTGCAGGAGAGTTCCGTGTGCGATATGGCACGACGTGACTATCCTCGGTCCATGGGCACTGTACCAGGAGACTGGCGATGAGACCATCTTGGCGCAGCAGTACAACAGTATGTTGACCTGGATGAGGGTGTTGCCCAGAAACAAGTCCGGAGCGACACACCTATGGGATACTTCCGTCTTCCAGCTTGGGGTATGTTCCTTTGAACGCCAGACTTATGACAACTTGAACCCAAGACTGACCACTTCGCTTAGGATTGGCTTGATCCAGCGGCACCCCCCGACGCACCTTGGAAATCGCCCACTGATGCCAAGATGGTTGCCAACATGTTCCTGATCCAAAGCCTGAATCTCATGGCCCGAATCTCCGCAATCTTGAGACACAAAGACAAACAAGCCGAATTTGAGAAAGAAGCCGACGCCGCGAAGACAGAGTTCCATCTTGAGTACGTTACCCAGAACGGCCGCATCGTATCAGATACGCAAGCAGCATACGCTCTGGCAATTTGTCTTGACATTCTCAATCCCCAACAACGAATCACAGCCGGAGCGAGACTTGTTGAACTTGTAAGGAAGAACAACTTCAAGATTGCCACTGACTTCGCGGGGACCTCATATCTGTGTGAAGCCCTCTTTTCTACAGGTCATACCCAGGTCGCATACAGCATGCTGTTGGAGAAGGAGTGCCCTTCTTGGCTTTATCCCATTACCATGGGTGCAACCACGGTTTGGGAGAGATGGGATTCCATGTTGCCCGACGGGAGCATCAATCCCAGCGAGATGACATCCTTCAACCACTACGACTTTGGAGCCATCGCGAAGTTTCTGTATGAGAGGGTGGCGGGACTCCAAAGGCTTGAACCGGGCTGGACTCGCTGTCGGGTGGCGCCGGTGCTCGGAGCCGAATTCACCCATGCATCGGCTGCCCATCTTTAGTCGTCACGGTACCGTTTCCTGCTCATGGCGTACTTTGAAGGAAAAGGATAAGACAGAGACGCTACAACTCAAGGTTTCAGTCCCACACGGTGTCACGATGGAGGTGGTCCTTCCGGGAATAGAAGGGGAGACAACTGAGGTCGTCGGAGCCGGGGAGTGGAACTTTCGGGTTACGGTCAAAAGAGATTACGAATGGCCCGTTCCGCCTCTAAAGCCCAAGTCATAGCGGATATAGCCGCATATCATCGTTAAGAGAAATGCATAATACCGTAGTTGTGTCCTGGACGTTGAGATAAAGGGTCGCAGCATAATTCAGCACCAGCTCTCGGGCTATCCATAATCTGACCTTTCGATTAAACCATGATAGCTTCCGTTAAGGGGTATCATCTCGTCACCTGCCCGCCCCGTTTTGGAGGAACCACGGGACTCCATCGCATGAATATTGCATTTTGACCTGTCGGAAACTGCCGAGGTCTGAAGCTTCCTTGGCGTTCAAGCAGTTTGGCGAACAGGCTCCAAGGGCATAAATGCTGAAAAGTTCTGTCGGCCCCTTATAGTAGGTAACTCGCGATTTCGCCTGAGCGCATGCACGTCTCCCAACGTCTCATTTATGCAAGCTTGATATCAGAAACCAAATCGTTGACAGAGAAAAATCTGGGAATGCTTTGGCTAGCGATAGGCCCGTTTGATGTCGGAAGGAAAACCAAACGTCAGAAAACGTGGCACTTTGGACAAACGTAAGACTTTGAAAGAGCTCTTAGGTTGACGTTTTGATGATTACGGTTCGGATTGAATTGACTTTTTCATGCGGATGCGCACCCTCACTCTGACATTGACAGGTCTGATGTTCATTAGGACCAAAGCCAAAACTTTACTGAGAGAGGATTCTTTGAAAGATATGCACTCTTACAGAGACAGTCTTGCCACAACGTCAGATGACATTTACACACGATCTCTGTACGGGAGAGAGTATGGATCTCATAGTATCTGATGGCGAAGTACTCGGCATCGCTGATCTGCTTTTAGGGTCGCCTGTAAGCATAGACGATTGCATTTGAAATGTTCATATTGAAATGTGCTGAGAGAGCGCTGCTCTCGGGATATCAACTACAAAGTCCTCGGAAAATAAAGACAACGTAGACCATCCAAAATCTGTTGTTGCTGGTATCGTGTGTATGTGTGGAAGAGCAAGACCCCGGCTCGCTCTCGTCGCGTAAGTTTTGATACCCCTTTCCCAAAATCCCAGTAAATCATAGTGCGCCCCGTGGAAGAAAAGAAAAAGCATAAGAAACCGAAATCAAGAGACCTATCCGTGCGGATCCCTTTGGTCCACTTCTTCGTCTTGATCTGGGCTTTCTGTCCTGTTTGCACCAGGTTTAACCTTTCGATATTTCCATTTACTGATCGCCCGCTTCGGACTCATCGCCTTCTTGAACTTCGTCCAAGTTCCCTCTCGCTTCGGTCCCGGAGGTAGCTCGTACTCCCCGTCTTCAAATGGGTTCTCATCTCGGAAGGGATCTCCTTCGGGGGACTCGTTCAGTTGTCTGAAGTCCTCGCTGAAGGGGTTGCTGCCGGAATACGAGTAGTCATCATCGTCAAAAGGGCTCGCCGTGCGTCGGCGGAAGGTGGGGCTGCGAAGGGACGGCGTTGCCGACCGCGGGAGCCAGGAAAATCTGCGCTGGGCATCGGGGACGGGAGGTGTGGGTTCTGGTATGATTGTCGTAGTCATCGCGGTGTTGATGGTGTGTCTCCTGGTGTTGGGCGGCTAAGACGGCGAAAGAGTCAGCCTGAGCGCGCAGGAAACGGGTCAGACATTGCTCACAGTCGCGCACATCTGTGCCTCTGAAAAGGCAGCGCTTTTCTCGTCAATATCCATGGCTGTTCCTCTCGTCTTTTCGTCCGGGTCGCAGAGGTAACCGTCCAGCATTTCAGCCTTTCGCGGGTGAGAAGCTTCGTTGTTGCGCTCGGCGACGCGTCTTCACAATCAGAGTGACCGTTTCCGTTCTTTTCTCAGTGCGCCTGGCACGTTTGGATCGTTTTTTTCGCCTCTTATGTCACAGCTGCTCGGCCTTGGTGGAACGAAAGCTGGGGGCGGGGGATCAGGGGCGCGAGCGGGTACGACCAGCCACATATATGTATGCCCGACAAGACGGTTGTTTCACGGATTGACGAGTCATTGATCTCATGTAGGCCTGGTTTCCTGGTTTGTTTGGCATTTTCATTCGATGTCAGGTGCTTTAAACAGCATATTTGATGGGTCTGCATCGCCTTTCTTTCCAAGGGATAGAGAGAGGGGTAAAGCCTGGCCCAACCACTCGTTTCCCCTCACATTGGACATGAGACGCAAAAAAGGGCGGTTGATGCGCTTTGGAACGGGACTGGGCCTTCTGGATCGTGGACCCGTTGTCTCTCGTTCCATGTACTGCATGTGTGATTGGTGGAAGATGGTTCTCGAAGGGTTCAACATCGTAGGAAAATCCATGTTGAAGGCGGTGTTGGCAACGGACGGTGGGCGCGGAAGAGATCCATTTCAGCCGTTGCATCCGGGATGGCCCCCATCGGGACCGGAGGCGATCAGTCAGTCCAAGCGGGGCCGCCCACCCCGACACACATGGGGAACCCGTCTAGAAAGCTTGTGGTGGCGGGCATCTGTCGATCCGTATGCGCTGGCAGATGTGGCTCCCGCGTTCGCATACGTCTTTGCAACTGGGGGAACTGGGGCCATCGTGGCATTTGATTCTGGTTCTTCCAGTCTCTGTCTTTCGAATCTTGTCCCAGGCCCCGTGTTCGCATGAACAACTCTAAACCAGCTCTGCATGTTATCGAAGATGCACAGCCACGTTTTGACCGAAACTCAAGCTCGGATTCCGCCCCTCCATTACGAAACTGACGTCTCTAGAGGATTCGAATATCCAGAAGAGGAAACATGCCTCGACATAAGCATCATGCAAGACGGGTATGTTTGCGATAAGGTCGATCGATCATGCATAGAACGGTAAGACAGGCGTGTCCACCTGCATCTGCCCTATGACTCTAGATGGCAAATCAACTGTCGAATTATGTAGCAACCCCGGCTCTTCCGATCTTGCAGCGCAGTCTGTGCGCTGACTTATCCCACTTCAAGAAGCGGTGGCGAGTGATCACGGGCCTGTTTTTGTACTTGCGGATTCACCACTCAACAACAAACTAGTGGATTTTAGCATGTCGCTTGACTGATCGCTTGCTTTTGGGCATCCATTATGCCCATCTCACAGTCCACTGACCGAGCAACAGCAGGGACATGCAAAAAATTCGACGACGCTCCCCGGTCGTTCCGGAAATTAGCGGCGATCATGGGTCAGCCTCATCCAGGACCCCTTTTTTGTTAAAAGAAAAAAGGCTGCCGAACCCTGGAACCCATCATCACCGAAGCCCTCCTTTCTGTCTTTAGTGATATTCTTCCACACCAACTATCCGATTTCAGAAAGCATGGTTTGCTGAACGACGCGTCCTGGTTCGACGACATCGCAACATCTTCTTTTTCTTGACTCTTCGAACAAGATCTGGGCCGGAGCCTGAAACTTTGGACCAACAGCCAACATGCGATTTTGGAAACAGACAGTGGAGGAGAGTTCGGAGCAGAAGGCATCACAGGGGAATGCTGTCGAGGAAAGTGGAGGACGCGTGGGCGATGTCGAGACCGCCATTGAGGGCCGGCCAAACAGCCACCACGAGAAACAACCCACCCTGCGATTCACGGCTCATCAAGCGTTCTACATTTTTGGACTTGACGGCGTCGGCGCCGCTATCCTGTCTGGAGGCATAAACTTTGGCATCGCCTATGGTGAGTTCAACTCTGCACCTCCAAACCGTTGGAATACCCAACAGCGGAAGTGCAGGCGCTAAAGAGGAAAAAAGCCAGCTAACGATTGACTCGCAGGCATGTACACATTCCAAAACTTGGCAACACATCCTATCCGCCTATTCCAACTGCCCAACACCCTCGCCGGAGATGCAGTGGTCACCATCCTCGTCCAAACTATGATTACGTGGTTCATTGAGCTTATTCTTGTCGAGCACGATCTGAAGAACGGCGCCATCCGTCCCATTGGCTTTTACAGAGAGCCTGTTCGTCCTCTCTGGCGATGGCTCATGCTTTTGGCTCCGATCGAAGATGGTGGGCAAGTTGTTCCGGCACGCTCCAAGAAGTGGCCCGCGTTCCTCGTCGATCAGCTCATTCGCATCGGCCTGATCTTTGTCGTGTCGTTTTTCCTGCTGTGGGCGCCTTCTGTTGGCATCTTGGTCGCCATTGGCAAGCGAGGAACAGGCAGTGACTGGGACTGGCATTTCCAAAAGCAATGGGCGCCGCAAATCTTCAAGGGCGTCCTCGGTGGTCTGCTCGCTCTTTTGACGACGCCCGTCATGGCGTCTTTCTGGCTGGTCAGAGAAGGATGGCGACTCAGGAGAGGGGAGCCCATTATGGAGTGATTCACAGGGTATCCTGAGCAGGGCCCAACAGCAATGGACATAGTCTTTTGGCTTCAACAGGCATGAGCTGTCACCGCAGCCGTACCCCGCAGAACCACACCGCCGGCTCTTGATGATTTACCCGGCATGGATATTGATGAAGGCGCCGATACATGGATGGAAGATGCGGGACATGATGCGTCGGGTTCGGTCTTAACACCGCGGGTGCGGGGCTGCAGAGGCCTCCTTTGTTTTTGGTGGAATTACTCAGGTTATGGGCGACTCAACGACATGGTTTTGCCGGCACGGTCCGGTCAATGAGTGGACGACACGATGGATTATGCGCAATTCGAATTGAGAACGATATACCCGCGATGCTTATACGTCAATCAGCTACACGAAAACAGACTCAAAAAGGCTGTGCTTTTGTTATCATACCTGTTGCATTACGTTAGAAAGCCGATTTTAATCTCTAGTACAATAATATTGCCACTTTTTTATTTGCAAAATGACGGAGTCTTGTACACAGCGCATGATAGTAGCGAAAAGCCATGTAAATTAAGGGCTGGAAAACCTACCGACCTTATGCTTTGGCTTGGCTGAGGAATCGCGATTATGACACCAGCATATGGCAAGCGGACCTTTTCCACATGTGTTCTACTCTAATTATGTTGAGCAAGTTTCGAGGCCACCCAGTAGGGGCTTTCACAGTAGGGAAGAAACAGTCAAAGCACCTCGGTCAGTGTCCAGTCCAGTAGCTTCGCAGTATATGTAAGTACCCAAGCGTCCGGAATAACTGCCCGGTTCTACCCTTATTATAAAGGAATTTCCATGTAGCAGTTACACAAGCGAGAATTCCAGAAGTTGTAAGCAAAACGCATGGATGATTCTTCAGCAACATGTACCCGTCGATAGAGAGATGCTTCCATGATTCACAGGTAACTAAAGGATCTGAATGGCTTCCCGTTTGTCAGTTTCTCTTGAGCGGAAAGAATCGACATCTGTCATTAGAGTAGTACTATTGGTACATCAAAGTGCCGCCTCGCAACATTTGGGATGCGGCGTGGCCTGCTGCATGCGCACTGAACTAGATTAGGAGACTGTTCTTCCCTGCATTCATGATCACATGGAATATCCTCTTTCCATCTCTGGGACAGGAATTCGGCACTTCTGCTCACAATATCGGACCTCCACGAAGTCTCGTGCATTCTCCTCAGTCTCCCTCCAATGCCTCGACGGTGGGCCGCCATCACTGAGCAAAGGCCAATGACAACCAGTGGCCAGCATAGGATATTGTTCGCCGGAGACTCGGATGGGAGACGGCTGAGCTCCACGACAAACCGCCTTACAAGAAGCTGAATTTCCAGAGAGCGATGGCTGAGTGTTGGCGTAAGAAGTAGCTTGATATGCGCAAGACAGGCGAGCCGGTACAGCTCTGAAGTTGTGTCTTCGTGTGTTTTTGCGGCACCGGGTTCCGCGTCGGTTGATAAGCTCAGAAGTTGGCTTTCAAACTTTCGAAGCTCGAAGGCAACAGGGTAAGGAACTGCCGAGACTAAGGAAGCGTCTTTGATGAGAACAGATACCTTAAGAATGGTTGAAAAGATTTCGCGGCATCGATTTACTAGCAAAGTTCCGTGGAACCCGTTGCCCCAAACAGTGGGTGAGTTGAAAATATGAGATGCCAAGTCGAGTTTAAGCTCTCGGCCGTGAGAGAATGATATCAAGGCAGCAAAGTAGCAAAATATCTCAATAGTGATTGCTCGCAAAGGAGAATCTGTCTTCGCGTCATGGCAACTGCCAGAACACAGAGCTGCCACTGCATTGACATGGGGTATGAGCCTATCACTATGAGTGTAGTTGACAGCCTACGCGGGGTTAGTGATTTTGGTTGCTAATTTACTATCCGCAAGCTGAGTCTCACCTCATGAACACAGAGGAGGATGATTGCAAGTACTACGTCGTCTCTCGGAGAGGCTTCATGGCCGTCGCTAGGATGCGATGAAACGGCAGTATTTTCAGACCGATCATTCTGCTTACTCAGAGCTGCGTTGATTCCAGCCACCGCCTGGCCGTAGAAGCCATGCGTAAGGCCCAGCAAGTTGGAGCTCGCCGGCTCATACTTGCACATGTCGCCCGCAGCCAACGCCAGGATGCAATTAAGAACGACGGGATTCCGAATCGCAACTGGGATGATGAGTCCCAAATAGTCTTCGCTTCTTTCGCCACCACTCGCCGAGAGCCAACGGGGACTCTCTGCGCGGAAATGCGACATCAGTCGGTCTTGCACAGATGCCGGTGGGAGGGCGAACACGGTGATCAGAGAGCGCATCTCTGACTGGACCGCAAAGTCTTTGTTGAATGCATGGCGGCGGCGAGCGATCTGCTGGCTACAACGTTTGGGAGGCTGCCAGTTGCAGGAGAGCCCTCGTTTCATGCATGATGTACAGCGTGGGTGGGTTTCGTCACATTTTCTCTTGCGTTGGCGACATTGCTGGCAGCCGGTCTTTGACCGTTGACTTGGCTTAGCAGGTACTTGTGACGGGCTTTCTGAATTTGGAATCGACGTCTGGTGGTTGCTCATGCTAACGAATTGGTTGCGTTGGACTTCTGACCCGGAGAAGTTGTGTCGCACTGATGAGACTGGAAACTCGGTGGGCCCTCGTTGGCAGTCTATGAGAGCCGGGGTCCACAGGGCGTAGGGGCTGGTCTATTGAGAGACGCCAGAAAAAGAAGTCAGAGATTTGGACTTGCGTGATTGATGCGGCCAGTAATTGTGGACGCAGCCGAGATCGGCTGGCTAGGTTGAAGCAGTAAGTTAGGTAGGAATACAAATTTGCGTTGTTTACGGAAAACGCTCCTCACAGGCTTCGGATAAAGCGAAAGGAAAGTTGTCGCGTTAGCCCGGTACGTACCGGCGCATAGTTAAAGCTGAAAAGGGATTAGCTTCAGGGCCACAGTCTCCCCTGCTGCAGTTGTAAGTGTTCTGTGAGGTCTTCACATGAAGCTTAAGAACTAAGTCTTTCCCCAATCTTTTCAAATAGGTGTTCCTCTCAATTTCCAGTTTTTTGAGGGCTTCTTGCGGGTTTTCTTTCCAACGGATAATTCAATTTTACCATGGTCCCCAACGTTGACGAGGCGGATAACCTCGCCCGCATGGAGCGGGGCGAGCTGTACTATGCTTTCACCCCCAATCTTGTGGCAGCCAGACGACGCTGTGGCGAAGCAGTCGGCCGGTTCAACAGGGCAGGCGACTTGACCAGGCGAGAAATAGCACATCATTGGAAAGAGTGAGCGGCTAGCGTCTTCTTTTTTCTTTTACCCTTCCTTCCGTCGAGTGCCTTATTCAATAACGACTGGGCAGGATAACGAATGACGACACCCCTCTCCCTGCCCCTGGCGCATCGACTGAAGAAGATGACCAAGTATTGCAGAATTATCCCTGGATTGAGAGGCCCATCAACATCGATTATGGAACCAACATCAAAGTTGGCGTGAATGTCTTCATCAACTTCAACTGCACGATAATCGATACGTGCCTTGTATCCATTGGGTCCCGAACCATGTTTGGCCCAAACGTCTCCCTCTACAGCGGGACTCACCCACTGGACCCGGACCTGCGGGATGGCACGAATGGCCCAGAATATGGAAAGCCTATCACGATCGGAGATGACTGCTGGCTGGCGGGAAACGTCGTCATCCTTCCCGGAGTGACGATCGGCAATGGCTGTGTAGTGGGAGCAGGAAGCGTGGTTACTAAGGTAGGTTTCATTCGAGGAAGAGATTACTGATATTGACGAGGACTGACATTATTCAGGACGTCCCGCCTTACCATGTAGTTGCTGGAAACCCTGCTAGAGTTCTGAGGAAGATTGAGAGAAAACAGAAATAAAATAATTTTGAACTGTTGTCATATCGCTTTCGGACTTTTACGTACATGGTCTTTGGGCGCAGGAGAACGGCGAACTCGCACATTTCGAATCGCGAGAAATAGGCGTCTGGCCGTAACTAGAAGCCAAACCTGTGCTAAAAAACCTGATACTTGTCAAGAAAGAGTGAAGTACGGCACAGATGGGTGTGGTTCACGAACCTGCAGCGTTTCAATGCAGCCCACAGCTACTTCAGAATATGACAAGTTGGCCGGCTTTTGCCAAGCTTGCGGAAATGCAGCTTCGGAAATAATCCCGCATGGAAGATCTAATGAGCGGGGTACATTTACATAAAAGGCTGACCCTGTGCTATTGATCATACATGCATCTTTGTGGCTAACTTACTGCTTCTATATCGCAGTTCATTCGCACTTCTGCCTCGCAACCCCGTACATTGACGTTCTTCACCACAAAGCCTTCTGAAACACAGAGTGTTGAGCTTCAAGGCGTAGCCCAAGATCCAGCGATCACCAACGATGATACCTCCGCTCAATCCTTGCCCCCCGCAGATAAAGGCACGCTTGCCTGGAAGTTCCTGTTTGGTTCCTTCATTGTCGAGGCGGTGTTATGGGGTACGTGACTTTCAGTCATTCAAATGGGTCGTTCTGCTCACGTATCTGCGAAGGATTTCCGCTGTCATACGGCGTGTTCCAGGACTACTACACCAAACATCCAAGTTTCCAGCAAGACTCCAATATCGCCGTGATCGGCACCGTAGCGACGAGCGTCTACTTCCTCGGCGGCCCGATGGCAACACCTCTGGTGGCGCGCTTTCAGGCGTGGCAGCGACACATGATTGTCGTCGGCTTGCTGGGCTGCTGCGTTTCACTCGCTGTCGCATCGTTCATGTCATCAGTGCCCGGCTTGATTGCCACGCAGGGCGTCCTCTACGGCTTCGCGTTTACCCTGCTGTACTACCCCGTCCTGCGCATGCTGAATGAGTGGTTTGTCCATCGACGGGGGTTTGCTTTCGGTATCATGTCGACTGGCGCTGGATGCAGTGGTGTGGGCCTTCCCTTTCTTCTGGAGTGACTGCTGGCGAAGTACGGCTACCAGACAACGCTCCGGGCAATGGCGGTTGTCCAATTCGTCACCATCTTGCCTGTGATACCGCTCCTCAAGGGGCGCTTGCCAGTTTCCAGGCAAGGCACCCTCCGCAAAGACGACTTTGGGTTCTTCAAGAAGCCGCTGTTCTACTGCTTCGCGTTCGTTAATCTCCTCGAGGCCCTGGGGTATTACATCCCATCTCTGCGGCCCTCATGGCGGGTAGGGTGAATAAGAATGAATACGGACTTGGCCACTTCCAGCCGTTGATTCTTTTCCTGGGGTCGACGATGTTGTGTTCGTCACTGGGAGCTTTGGCCTGGCCGCTGTGTCGCAGAGGTGATGGCCGTTGATTCTTCGAGGAGTGGTCTGATGATTGGGAGATTGTTTATGGCACGGAAAAAAAATCCATTGTTATCCCTAGCCTATTAGTAGATGTACTAGCAATAAACAATCCCAACTTCATTCTGCATTGGTGTTGATTGACGGCTGTCGGTTGTCAAAAGCCGAGTGCACGCCCAACACCTATTAAAACGAAAAAGAACGAGAAACTGAGAGAAAAAAAAGACAAAAAGAAAATGGTCCGTGAGGGGTTTAAACCCTCTGAGTTGCCTCATGCCTGAATCGAACAGGCGATCTCCTCATTACTAGTGAGGCGCTATACCACTTAGCCAATGAGGCTTCTGGGGCGTTGGACGCTGGTTGCTGATCAACAATAGCACCAATGGGAATATGATCCCACTCAATCAGCGAAGTGCGTGAGATGAGGGCTCGCTGTCCCACTTGGTTTTGGTTCGAAGATGGGGCTAGCGTTCTAGTGCTGTGGTCGGGGACGAATCTCAAGATGATCCACCGCCATTCCATTACGGATATCAGCATGTCCTTTCAGAAATGGGGGGAATCTCGTGATATTAGTCACATTAGGTTTGGATAGTTCTGAGAAGGTCGGGAATCAGACCTTGTAGTAGACCGTAAAGTTTCATTGGGTGCACGCATGGGCTTCTCACACATACAACTTCAAACCAGAAACCAAGAGGTTCATTGACAGGCGCGAAAACAACTGCCGGGCCACATTGTATCGTACCAGCTATTAAGCAAAAATCAAAGAATTGCAAAACAACAGAAAAAAAACGTTCCTCGTGGTGCTCCTGTCGTCAGTCAAACCCTTTGTTTGTAAGAATCTGGAACCCCTGCATGTGAGATGAACCAACGGCACCGATTGAGTGGAAGACGGCCGTGCCATTCCCGCAGATCTCCCCGCATTCTCAGCGGTCGGATTCCCGCCACTAGCGGTTTTGCTTCGACGGGACTGGCGGAAATCACGACCTGACCGTCTCCACGCTGGCGGGAATCGGGATTGGAATCAGAGTACATAATAGCAGTGTTTTGGCCGTGGGCTGCGAATCGAGGATGATTTCCAAAGTTTTCGACATTCATAGCGAGTTTTGCGTGGGTGCATGCTTCTGAACGTTTTCATCATGTCTTTTGAATGAAGCTGTACGTTTTATGCCCATGTCTTTTGAGGAAACCCGCCTGGCAATACATCATTTCCGACGCAAGCGACCTTGGGCCGAAGGGTACCACCGAGATCTTTCCATGTCATCATATTTAATACCGCCCCATGGACTGCGTCGACTTTGATAATCCTCTCGGCTGTATTCTCACGAGGACTGGGCAGATCAGGTGCTAGCCTCCACGAGGACGTGGATTTATCTGTAATTCGACTCTGGCCTCAGCATTCGGCAGGAATCGGCGTCGTCAGGCGGCTGCACAGGAAGGAAACCGGCTTTCTGCTATATTTCTTCGGCAGCCTACGAAGGACCACCTCAGTAGGTCAAATACAAGTTCCCGCAGATCCAAGATGATGTGCGGTGTCATTGGGGAGACCTGTGTGCTACACGTCATGAAGATTCAGTTCTTTCCAGATGTGCTTTATAAGTAGCTAACTTACAATTTACTCAGAGGTCAGGTTTTCGTCCGAGACAATTCTCATTCAACTGTTCGTCCAGCCTCTTGATGGCCTGATGCCCTCGGCTTTCGGTCGATCCTCAACATGGGCGCAAGCTGATGCGATGCATTCATACTAGAGTTGCAACCTCGAGCAAGAAAGAAGGCAGCAGACTGATGTATCAAGGGCTTGGGGAGAACAACACATGATCACATGCCTCGATAACCTCTTGCTTCGGCCGAAAGTTTGCATCCAGGTTCGTTGTTTTTGGTCACAAAGGTCGCAACGAGGGCCAATTATAGAAGTTCGAAGACAACACCGTGGCCAAGAACAGCAGGCAGAACGGTGGAGTGGCGTCATATCTGGAGAGAAGACGCTGAAACTTGCAGCTGTATCGCTCTAGACATGCGGCCAGGTTGCATCGATCCGGAGCGCGACACGGGGTGGTTCACTAGTTTTCCGCGTGGCAAGACGAGAGATTGTAAGGTTGCGGGAGCATCCGTCTGGGGTCAGGAACACGGCCCTTCGGAGACGACGGAGACGATGCGGAATCAGCGTTTTGAGACATGCAGAGGCTTTCGTCTGCTGCTGCATGAGGTCAGTCGAACTTGAGCGAGTTTCCTCATCGATGCATCCTGGAGCAGGCCTGGTATGACAGGAACGAGACGATCGGCGGGCATTTCGGACGAACCAGGATAGTCTACTGGCGCGGCGCAACCCTCCACCAGCGAAAATTAGGCTTCAGGACCCCTCATTTCGACAGTCTCCTGGAGGACTCGGGGGTGGGCTCAGAGCTTGATTGGGCGGAGGTGTGTCCAAGACTGGCAGAGTCGCATTCACCCATACCGAGTTTATCAAACTGGACCAACGATGGACGGGCCATGAATCCGGAGAGTTATGCGGGCGCGGTATTGCAGGTACGGGGAGCGTGACATTGAACCACTGGATGTGCAGTTTAGGACCAGGAGCTTTTGGGGAGGGGGACACTCGTGGAGGGCATCGGCCAGAAGAAAGCCTTCGGCTCGTCGCTCCGCAAATCCATCGGGGATCCACTCGTGGGCTAACCGGATCCGGCTAGACAGAACCTCCGTACGGCCCAGGCATGCGGAGAAGACCCATATATGAGGGGCGTCCACCGTTAGCCGAGCCACTGGGGATGCTCCAATGGGGGTTGAAAAGCGGGGGAAAGAGGCCGTACCGGGCCAGTGCCAATTTGCCCGCTGCAGGAGTGGCCTGGCCTGCACCTGCTTGGGGGGGGAGGAGGGAAAGAGGGAAGGAAGGAGCTAGGAAACGTGCGTGTGACTTGCTGTTTTTGATCGCCTTATTCTGAACGTCGACTCGAACGGCCTTTGCTTGAGGAGCGAACTTCACATCGGACCAGAGACATATCAAGGACGCGGTGGACGCGACTCGACTGGACCATCGATTCGCCATCAGGATCTGGCTCTCTCTCTCTCATCACGAATCTCCTCCGTTTATCCCTTGCGACCACAGCCCAGCCCCCGACGATGAGATACTCGACAGCGTGCTCGGCGTGTCGGTAAGTCGTCAGCCGAATCCTCCCCGGGAATCCTTCTCTTTCTCTCCTCCCCCCTTTCCCGGCCTCATCCGACTTTGGAGATGATCGCATCGCTCACCGACGGCATCGCAGCGCTCGACGGCGCAAATGCGAGGTGCCCATCGGCGGCGGCCAGTGCACCTACTGCGCAACCCAGAACATCGCCTGTTCACGCGCCGGCTCCATCATCCAGCCCAAAGCCGTGCCCGTCAGCCCGCTGTCTATCGCGACGCCGACGACGCCCTCTGTCACCGAGATCATCGTCGCCAGCCCCACTGGCATCACTCCGGTCGCTGCTGTTTCCGACAAGGCTCTATGCTTCGAGCTGGTGGAGCTGTACTTCAAGTACATTCACGACTGTCTCCACTCCCTCTTCCACCGGCCCAGCTTCATGCTGGATCTGCACGAGGGGACTGCTCCTCTGGCGCTTGTCTATGGCATGATGGCGCTGTCAGCAAGGTATGTCATGATCGAGACCGTTTACCCCAGCGAATCCTTACCCAACTACCTAAGGTTCTCCTCAAATCCTATCTTCAATGGCATTGCTCCCATATCGAGGGGAGAGCTCTTTGCCAACGAGTGCAACATGCTGCTCAACCTTCGAGATGTATCTCTCACCAGCATACAGGCATGTGTCTTGCTTGGTGCTTATTCCATTGTAGAGGGAGAGGCAGGCGCAGAAAGCGTCTTCTACTCAGCAGCATGTAGGATAGCCAACTATCTCGACCTCCCAAGCCTGCCCACGCCGGACCCGTTGCAAAGGGAGATTCATATCAGAGGTACATACCGTAACTCGTGCGTACGTTGAGCCTGTTTCGGTTGCTTACACCCGTAGTCTACTGGTCGCTCTGCATGATCGATGTCTGGTCATCAACTGGTGTCAACCTTCCTCGTCTCATGGAACGACGAATGAACGTCCCGTTACCGATGAACGAGTCAACCTTCCTCAACATGACCCGTGCGAACAACAACCACTTCGACTTCATCCTGTCGCCAAACCGGGAAGACTCGCTCATAGCCCAGATGATCAAGCTCAACAGCATCCTGCTAAAGGTCAATGACGCCATCAAGTCACTCACATCAGACTCCGCGGTAACAAACATAGACGAGACTGTCTCAACCCTCGCGCAGGAACTTGAAGCCTGGGAGCTTGAGCTTCCCCCAAATCTCCGTGATACCCCAAGCAACCTGCATTCTTTCGCCGCCCAAGGCCTGGGCCGTATCTTCATCGCTGTGCACACGGGTCACTACCACTACAGTCAGTTGCTCTTCTATCAGTATCTAGATGAGGTCCAGCGCTTTCCCGCCTCCCCGACCGCCCAGATCTTTGCCCGGAAATGCAAAGAGAACGCCGTCTCCATGTCACGCATCATCGACCTCGCCAACACCACGCCTGGCTGTGACGCCAAATTTAACATGCTGGGCCACATCATCGTCATCACATCGTCCATCTTCATCCACACACTGCTTTTCGAGACCGACGAGGCCGAGATCGCCAACGCGCGGGCTACCCTGGAGCGCCACTTCAACACCCTTGTGGCCTTGCGGGTGTACTGGCCCGGGCTCGAGGTGTGCTTCGTCCGCCTCAAGACTTTCCACGAGCTATGTCGCAAGAGCATGAACACGAGCTACCGCATGGACCGCTGGATGCTACGGTTCTTGACCGAGTTTGCTAGGCCAATTGACGAGAAGGAGCGTGATGAGGATGGGAACATGGATTTGGACAGGTGGAGTGTGGGTAATATTGGCATCAGCCCCGAGAATTGGGCATGAGCATGCGGTACCGACACGGAAGAAGAAATCCGGCGCTGGCTCTGAGCATCAGCCTAGCCCAGGACAGTGGGATCTCCGTCACAATGGCAATGGCGATGGCTCTAGGACCGCCGCTGCTGGTGATTGAACCATCGAGGACATCTCGACAGGCCATATAGTTGACCTGTCGACAGGGCTTCGGAACACACATGTCGGAACTCGGATGCATTTTTCTCACCGCATCACCTACTTAGGACCGCAGAAACCGGGGCATCTTTGGGGGAAGATGGGGTCAACCACCTCGTGACCCCCGCGTATCCACTTTGGAGGCGGGGTTGTGTAACTTCCCCAGGTTCCCAGATGCGACATGAAGCGCCGCGCCCGCTCTCTCTGATGTTGCAGTCTGTCGCCCATGACGAGGTACTGAGATGAGCATTCGTGAACCAGCGGATCCAGTCAACTAAGATACTGGACGAAGAGGACGTGGGCAGCCTTTTCAGCTGCCATTTATGAATCCATTTGGGGGCCTTTACATAGCGCGGACCAAACAAGCGGATGGCGTCGAAGCATAAATATGTTGATTAACACATCTGGCTGCAAGCTTTTCTACCTTAGCAAACGCCATGTTGAATACCATGAGCCCTCATCAGGCCGTTTCTTATGCTAGTACACTATCTCTCAAACCACCGAACCCGACTTCGCAGTGACAGTCTGCTGCTCAACTCCATCCTCCTCCTCCACTCCCTTCGCCGCAGCCACCTCCACCTCGAACTTCGGATGCTCCGCAAACCGCCGTACGGGCACGCCCTCGTGGAACATGCGACTAATCTCCTCCAGACTGCGGCCCTTGCACTCGGGCACGCACAGAAACACAAACAGCGCGGAGCACACGGCGATGCTGCCAAAGATGAAGCCGACCTTGCTCTGCAGGCCGGCGTACGGCTTGTTGAGCAGGTACGGCAGCGTGAAGTTGACGAGAAAGTTCATGAAGATGTTGACGAGCGAGGAGGCGCGCTGCGAGCGGTCGCGTAGGCGCAGAGCGGGGATCTCGGTGACGACGACGTAGGTCAGCGGCCCCCAGCCGAGGCCGAAGCCGGAGCCGAAAAGGAGGAGCATGCCGACCATGCCGGATTTGTACGAGGTCGGGATCGGGGTGTGCACGCCCAGGCCGGCCATGGTGAAGAGGGCGGCGGCTTGGATGAAGGAGCCGAGGAGCAGTATTTTCCGATGTGAGAAAGTCAGATATGCAGTCTTGGAGTATCCATCTGCGAAGAGCCATACCGTCGTCCGACTCTGTCTGTCAGGAACAGACACAGGATAATCATGCCGCTCATCAGCGCGGACGAGCCGAGCGTGACGTCGAACGGGTTCAGCGTGCCGAGCGACTGGACCCACACCGCGCCGTACTGGCTCGCGAACGCCTGGCCGGTGGCCTGCTGGAAGAAGGACATGCCGACGGCGATGGCGGTGCGCTTGCGGTTGACGTCTTGGAAGAGCTCGCGGGTGCGGCCCTGCTCGGGCTCGTCAGCGAGGGACTGCTGGATCTTGGCGAACTCGAGGGCGATGGCGGCGTCGGGCATGGTGCCGGCGCGGAGGGCGTGGTGGGCTGTTTTGGCTTCTTCGGTGCGGTCGCGGATGAGGAGCCAGTGGGGGGACTGGGGGGGTGTTAGTTGCGTGGAGTTTGGTGGTGGAGGGGAGGGTGGGAGGCGGACCTCGGGGATGAACCAGATCAGGCAGATTACGATTGTGGGGATGACGTAGAAGAGGCCGAAGGGGATTCTGTAGGCGCGGCTGTCTTGGAACTGGGAGGTGCCGCGGCAGATGGAGTTGATGACGAGGCCGCCGAGCTGTGCTTCGATGTCAGAATCATGTTGCTTCGGACCCCGGGTTTCGACTTACACCGATGGCGAGTTGGTACGTCCCAACTACCATACCTCTCACAGGGGCAGGCACGATTTCAGACTGGTATACCGGGACAACAGAAAACTCGAACCCAACGTAGACATCTTCCCATTCGTCAGCTTCCCAAGACTTTTTTACATATGTTGAAAGGGCACACTTACAGTTCAATATCCGCCCCACCAAAATCTGCTCTTTCCTCGTCGAAGTGACCACAACCGTCGCACTGATCAGCGCGTAGACGCTCATTACAAACATGGTCGTGCGGCGCCCGAAGCGCGCGCTGATTAAGCTGCCGACGACCAGCCCGATGGCGAAGTCGATGTAGTTGAGGCTGTTGAGCAGCGAGAGGAAGTACGTCGGGATCGCGTACGTCTTCGTGACGGGGTTGTACTCGCCGAACTGCCGCTCGAAAGCGTCCATGGCCTGGGTGGAGGTGAAGGCCTGGTTGTCGAAGCCATAGTTGAACTGGGAGAGGGCGATGAGCAGCACGGAGGCGGCGAGGCGGGCGTTGAAGTGCTGTGTTATTGAGGAGATGCCCATTGTGGCGAGGTGGAAGTTGTGACTTTGGGAAGGGGTCTCAACGGCGGCGTGTTAAGAGTGAGGGTCTGGAGGTTGGGGAGGTTATGTGTCGTTGACTCGTTGCGCCCTTTGAAGAGACGCCTCCGGCATGTTCATGCGGGAAACGTATCCCAGACCCCTGGTGTAGGTCGGCAAGCCCATGGAAACATGTCGTGACGATGAATCCGAGGAACACAGGCCAAGGATTTGCTTGCTAATGCCTGAGAAGTTACGCGGTGGAGATGGCAACATCGCGCATCTGGGGTATAGCGTGGCGGAACTCGGCGGGTAAGGGCGAGGAGGTGGTTCATTGCTGCGAGCGAGATCCGGCGAGATGCGGTGGGGGTCCACTTTTGGGGGGTGAACACCATCTTGGCCCCGTCTTGCGTGCTCACTTGCAGACGACTCGATTTTTGTATCTGGATATCTCCGGACAGTGGAAGGTGGTTGCTGCTTATTGGAAAGAGTCCGCGACGGCACCTTAAAAGAAGAGGATTGCTTGATGGGAGCTGCATCGTGGGAGTTTACCCAGCGGTCGAGACTCCTCCGTGTCCGGGCCCCGTGCTCGGATCCGGGTCGAGGTAGCTTGACAAGAACCAGCTGAGCTCGCCGCTCATGTCAAACTGCGACGGCGCAACGTAGTAATCCTGCGCCAACTGATTTTCTGCGAAGCCGGACCACGTCATCGGCCCGTCGGGGCTTGAGTCAATCTGGCCCAGGCCTATCGGGTGTGCCGTCGATGCTTGGTACATATCGCTGGGCGCCTGCATCTGATAGTGATCTCTATCCGCCATGGGCACGTCTCCGTGCAGTGAACGCGTGGAGAGTTGCGGCGAGTCAGAGTGCTGGATCGCGACCTCGTCGACCGTCTTCGCGTTGGCGTCGAAGCTCTGCGAGAGGGGGTGGTACCTGCTCAGCAGCGTGTTGCGCTGGACCTCGCTGCTGATCGGGGCTGCTTCCTCGGGGCTCTCGGGTGCGGTGTGCCGGTTTTTGGTCTCGGTTTCGATCATTCTTTTGACGTCTTGCTGGAGGACGGCGATGATGGGCGCGATGTTGGACATGTCGTCGAGTAGGGCGAGGTTGCTGTTGCATAATGCCTCGACAGTGTCATCGTCCAGTGTGACTGGTGTGTCTGTAATGGGGTCCACTAGGTTATCGTATAAACTGTATCTCCTTGCCGTGAGAAGCGTCTTGGTGCATTGATGAACCATGTTGCCGTACCCTAAGCCAATGGGTAGACGCGTCTGCTTTGAGTGCAGCGCGCCATTAGACCGCAACGCCTGAAGATGTTCCCAGAGACGAGCCATGCGGAGGGCATGGGAAACAGCGAGGGCGCGCCAGGTTGAGACGAACTCTGGAGGCGCTTTGGATGTGAAGGCCGGCGCGGCGGACTCGCGGGCGTGGCCGGGGAGGCAGGTGCGGTAGAGGTCGCAGCAGGTTTGGAGGTACCACGAGTTCAGTGTGATATACGCCGAGAACTCGGGAGTCGTCTAGTGGGAAAACATGTTGAGCTCGCTGGGCTGGATGTGGGAGGGCATGTGGGCGAGGAAGTTTGCGAGCTGGGACTGGAGGGATTTGAGGGTTGTCAGGCCTTTGGCGACTGCGGCGGGGGACGAGTCGGAGCGGCTTTGGAGGACGATTGCTTTTGTTGATCTGTGATTTATTAGATTCTTTGAGTGATACACGGAAGTCATGCAGAGGTGGAAATACCTGAGAACTTCGCATCGGAGGCTGAATAGAATCATGACATAGGCTCTAGCCCCGGCAGCGGCCTTTCGTCATTCAGCTGGAACGACACACATAACCTCGCCGCGGTGCTGATTAGGAGCCACACCTTGCCGAACTGTCTGTACGCGAAATTTTGAAACTTTGACAGAGCCATAAGCTGGATGTTGAGAATCTTGAAAACGTTCAGGTTGGCAAAGATGTAGCCGTCAACTTCCTTTGCCCATTGGATAGATAGTACTCGCGACTCTCGGGATCGTGACACAAAGATTGCCGCCGCGGCACAGACAGAAGTGCAAATTATCGGGGGAAGCTTGCCAGCATAGAACTCTTCCATCATCGACGGCCGGTGGAAGAAGTCGTATCCCAATGGGTAAACGTGGTCAAAGAAGACTTCGAGATGTTGACGGATGACATCTGTGCTCAGCAGCGTCTGCTCAAGGGAGGTGTTGAGCGACGGCGTCTTCATGTACTGCTGCAGCGTCGACTCAGCTTCATATGAAGCACCCTGGCTCAGCGTGCATGTACTGGATGACTCGGGGGACGCAGACTGCTGTGGTTGACCATTCGTATGTCGACTCTTTCGTCGTGACGGCGAGGATGGGTAGACGCAGGTGAGGTTCCGCCGGTTGCAGTGGAAGCACTGAGGGCGGTGACCGGAGCACTTTGCCTTCTGGGCGCGACACTGGGCGCATGCGTTGGCGATGCGCCGGCGTCTGGTCCCGGCCTCGGTGAGGGTCTCCGTGGGCGCCAGTAAGTTGTGGGGATCCCCGGGCTCTGAGGAGACGGCCGACTCCGGGTAGTTGAAGGTGCAGCCGAGTCTCAGATGGCGGCAGTTTTCGCACGGCTCAGGACCGCCAGTACATTTTACCTGGTGAACGGTTCAGTTGATGTTCAAGTTGGCAAGGGATACAATTCAAAGCTTACCTTCCGGCGTTTGTATGTAAGACAACGCGGCCTGGGCGGCCACGTCGCATCGGCGCCCGGCTCCGGGCTCGGCATCTCGTCTCTTCTGCTCGGCGGTCCGATGATGTGGATTGAAGAAGAGTCAGACTGGCAGTTCTTCAGGCGCTGGGCGGGGAGGCAGGACCGCATCTCATCACCAGTCCAGGCCGCACGGGACGCGGAGCCCGGAACAGACCGAGGGTAATATGGTCCGGCATCCCCAGTTTCTCCACCGGGAGGGAACTGACGTGCTCGGGATGCGGGGTCATTCTAAACCAGTTTGGAGCAAGGGTCGCCCACAGTTCGGGCGGGTTTGGCAAATTAGAGGGCCTGAAGAGGCCTGAATTGGCAGAGCACACCATCGCGAAGAGAGATGGGGGAAGGAGAGTTTGCGCCATTGGATGGACTGGTGTGGGAAATCGTGGAGGACAGTTGCGAAGGAAAAGATAAGACAAATGTTTGAACTGCTGCATCCCTGTCGGATTTGAGCTACTTACTTAGTCATCTTTCTGAAGGCACTACTGGATACCAATTACCTACCTGTGTTTGGACTCATTTAAATAACTTTGCAGACGTATCCTATTCAATTATCTAACCGGACGCCGATCCAAGTAACTGCCGTTCATGCTCGCAAACGAGAAACGCCGAGAAAGATTCCAATTTGAGAAACCCGGAAAACTTTGAAGCAGCGGAGACGACGATGGCATGTCGTCTCAGTGCCTTCCCATAGCGGATTGTCTATCTAGTAGGTATGAAAGATATTCCATCTCGGTGTTCAAGGCATCTAGGTAACAGCTGAATATATCTGATATCGACCTCATCTAAACGCTAGCCGAATTCCGACAAATACTTGTATGCGGGGCTATCGGATGTTGTAGTTCAAGTTACGGTATTGGGAGACTTAGCCAGAAGCCTCTGTACCCCTACTTGAGTAAAGACGGCTCGATAAGTATACGGGACATGGTAACTCGGCGGGAATAATCATGCCCGCAAGAATGAGTCTTTAGGCCGTCGACTTACGCATCTTGCAGTAAGATGAGTTTTGGTGAGGGCAATCTGAGGTCCTTACGTAGTGCACGAGCAGGGCATAGGTACAAACGAAAATAGGCTGTCGATTGAGCGTAGTAAAAGGATAAAACATGACAAAACTAAAGTGATCATTTACACCATCACAGTCGCAATAGCTTCAACATTCTAAGGCCGCTCATTGCAATGCCTGATTAGGAAGGTGAATTGACGCACTGATCCTCCAGGGGATTTGAGCTGCCGACACCGCACCGGGCGGGTGCCTGATACCCGGGCTTATCGGCGGCCTATGCACGTCGATTCCCCTCACCGATCAACTCACTCTCAAACATCAACTCGACAACGCGTAACATATAGTGCTGGTCCCTTTGATGACCGCGAATGAGGCCGAACAACCCAATTGATTCAATGACACTCCGCAAAGCCCCCGTCATGATCGGGCCCGCGCCCGGCGTTTCCACCCGGCGACCGGAAGCCGAAACCGCGATTCCGGAGAAGCTTATCAAACCCTGGAAGCTCCCCCGGCAACAAACCTACCTCTTCTTAAATGCCAACGTTGTCGACACCGCGCAGGGTACTATCATCGAGAATGCGACCGTCAAGATATCAGATGGACTTGTCGAGAGTGTCAGTGCCGGAGATGCGGATTACGCTAAATGGCACGGCGCAATTGTGGTCGATTTGAAGGGGAAGTATCTCTCCCCTGGGCTGATTGACTGCCATGTGCACGTCAGCTCTGTCCCCGGGGAGGCTGGTCTCAACGGGGGCTTCAACATGGATGACACGGTCTCTCATCTACGGCAATCCTTCGTCGTCGGCCGCATCCTCAGTAAGGGCTTCACAACAGTCCGCGATACGGGTGGCGCGACTCTGGCGTTGAAGGAAGCTATTCAGGATGGCGTGTTTCCTGGCCCGAGGCTCTTCATCGCCAATCAAGCTCTCTCTCAGACAGGAGGTCATGGCGATCGCCGAGGCGCCCACGATCATTCGCAGTTATGCTGCGGGAGCACTGCCGGTCTGTCCAGCGTGGTTGACGGAGTACCGGAATGCATCAGAGCGACAAGGGAGCAACTCCGAACCGGCGCAGACTTTATCAAAATCATGGTTGGTGGAGGCGTGGCCTCTCCTACAGATAGGATCGAGAATACGCAATTTACCGCCGACGAGATCAAGGCTATCAGCGAAGTAGCAAGGAGTTACGGAACTTGGGTGACGGCCCATGCCTATACACCCCGCGCGATTCGCCATGCAGTCGAGAACGGCGTCACTGGCATCGAACACGGCAACTTTATCGACCAGGAGACGGCAGAGTTCATGGCTGAGAACAAGGTCTGGCTGACCCCTACCCTGATCACATATGACGCTATGGCATCCGACAAGTATGCCGGCTTCCTACCCCCCGAGAACCAGCGCAAGAATCAGGAAGTACTCGAGAAAGGTTTGCAGTCTCTGCGCATTGCTGCCGAAGCTGGGGTCACCATCTGCCACGGGTCGGATCTTCTCGGCCCCTTGCAGGCTGAGCAGAGCAGGGAGTTTGGTATTCGACAACAAGCACTTAGCGACAAGCAAGTGCTACAGTCTGCAACTGTCAATTCAGCTAGGATGCTTCGGCAGGAGAACTTCCTGGGTCAGGTTAAGGAAGGGTTTGCTGCGGACCTTTTGATCTTGAATGAGAACCCATTAGATGATGTATCCATTCTGGATGAGCCCGAGAAAAATGTCTTGGCTGTTATCAAAGATGGAAGAGTCTACACTAGCAGGTGGAGCAAGTTGCCGGAGGACGTCACTGAGCCAGTTGCTTTGATTGAATAGTTATCATTACATTTCATCATGTTGCTTTTATCATCAATCGTACATCAGTGGAGGCTGTGAACTCCCTGAAACTCATCTAGATCAATAACGATCTTGGATGCTGCTGCCCATGCATGTGTGCGCCTTGCTGGGCATTGAGGGCATGGAGTCCCCTTGCCCGTACTGTTGAAGTTGGTATGATGATGAGTTTTCAGCATCAGTTACGAGCGCGAAACCATCCCTGCCCGAAATACGTCTCGAAGTGGGATCCGATCCTCCTGCCGTGGTGTAGTACTGTGCGGTCCCCTTTGGTGAATATTGCGACCGGCCGAGCAACGGCCTCAGGAATGGTATGCAAGCCAAAGTGATACCGACGCCGGGCTCAAGAGCACTGAAGATGAGTGCATTGGGAATGCCGAAAGTGACGTCGGTGTACTTTAGGTGTGCAAGGTAATACAAGCGAAGAGCTGATACAATGCACGTGCTGTGAAGGCGGGATTTGGTCAGCTCATGAGCATGGGAGATTTCCATCAACGACAAGACTCACAAAACTCCTAGCGAGAAGGTCGCAATGAGAGCAACCTTTCGGTACGTCTCCAGTTTGAGTCGCCACAGGTAAGACACAGGCATGATCAGGACGATGATATCCGTCATCAAGTTCACTACCCCCAGGGTTCCATCTGCCGCAGGTTGGTTGCCGCAGTTTCGATTCTTGAGGTCGAGAAGCCAATTATCGGATAAGGGTCGGCAGATGAAGAAGGCCACCAATACAGCCACGGCGGTCCAGATGAAGGTGAATCCTGCCATGATCCTCGCGGCTAAGATCATGCGTCGTGTGGAGAAGAGTTTGGTGTAGAGAAGAAGGATGGCAATCTTGCACAGACTGAGGCTGACAGCCCATAGGATTTGCTGAACAACAAGGAGCTGAAGAAGAAAAGCAAAGACGTTAGTGAAGGGACCTTCTCATGGACGTGCTCTGGGCCTGTGCGACGTACTTGGAGAAACTTGATGATGGGACCCCGTCCATATTTGGGGATGATCTCTCGGAAGAGGTACCCAACTCCACCCTGGGTGACACTGAATATCGAGACGAGTTGCAGCGCGTGTGAGAAGACCTATCATATCAACCCCCAAGTCAGCTCCAGGAAAGCTCCATCAAGCACCCAGAAACACGTACACATGCCACGATTATGCAGTAATCGCTCGCATCCAAAGCCCTGTGTGCCATGCGCCTCGCCATCAGCCGCAAGATCAGGGCCATCGTAGGCACGATGATGAACACAATGGATACCGCGACGACACTGATCTGGCTCTGCCTCTCCAGCGGAATCGTCGCGGTTCCGTCCCCAATCGTCGCGTTGGTCGAGACCGATGCCAACGGCACCGCTGTCGTTGTTGTTGCCGCCGCCATATTGTCGAGTCCGCGGCGTCGATGGATGAGGATCACGGTTCACGACCCTGATGTGGATGTCGCGGGAGGACGGTGGAACGGCTCTTTCCAGAAGCCCATGGGAAAATCAGGCAACGCGGTTCCATTTTCAATCTCGCAGAGATGCCAACAGGCCCTGGTTCGACCATGTTTGCTTATTCGCGGTTTCCCAGGGCAAATGCTCGCCTAAAGAGGTCTCTGACCGGTGCAGCTCGTGGGCAGTGCGTCCTGTATGTTTGTTGCTTTTTCCATTGCGAGTTTGCACTGCTTATCGACTCAGCGTGCAGGCGACGTGCATGCTCGACAGGGGGACTGCGGGCTACGCGATTGTTCCAGAAAGGGAATAGGGAAGATTGTTTGCGCCGCAGCAGCCGACCGGCGCCCAGCCTGGACTCGGAGGCTAAGGTGTGACGGCTGGACTACGTCGTGCTTTAGTCGGATGGGAAGTATGAGCAGATGCAAGGAACGCAGTGTGATATGTCAATTAGTTAGAAATCAGATCCGCATCGTCATTTGGGGGTTGCATTGATGAAGCTCGGTTCGCGGAACTCGCATCACGATGCCATCGGGAATGTTCTGATCGGATGAACGTGGGATTTGCCGCAAGGATTCCCATCTTGGCCTACCTGAGGATGCTACCATGTCTCCTTCAGTTGACCCTGTCCTGTCTGTTTTCAAGGTTCCCCAGAATCAGAGGCATTCACAGCCATTGACCATGTTATCGAGAGGAGTCGACTTGCATGAGAAATGGGTCTCCGGGCAAAATGGTGGCGAAATGCCATGGGTAAGCTGCAGGGGAGCCAAACATGCACAAGCATGGCCATCAGAGGGGAAACCCTTTCTTATTCTTCCCTTACCATTCGAAATTGCTTTTTCCACACATGTTTCCCGTTCGATGTTCCTGCCTGGTGTTCCAGACCAATCACCACAGCTGATTATCTCACCTCGCTTGCATTTAGCATGTCTAGGGCCATGTTGTCATCAACTTCTGGACGACTGGCGACTTATCTAACCCCTCACTTAGAAGTTCAGCTGGCCCCCTCCTTCGAGCCACCGGGAGCTAAAAGCCGGGATGCCCTCCCGGCTGCACAACATAACCGGTCGAGTCCTTGTTCCCGCTGGCAGTTGTGTGGTACACCATCCAAAAGAGGGTCGAGGTCCGGCCGCCAGCCAACTCAATTCCGACGTCTCAGGCAGGTTGGAGGCTGAGAAGCATTAGTGTTGGAAGAGTTTTAACGCCACTGACCATCAGTCGCAATCCGAGTCGCCGGCCACCTCGCGACGACGCGATATCATGCGCGTGCATGGTGATGCCCAGATGATAAGCTGGCATTAGTTCTGTGGCCTGCCACTCCACGTCATGAACAATTTTTGGACACTCAAAGACCTCGTGGGATTGATGAGAGATTTTTCGACTGGGACTACTCGGATGTGAGCGTGTTACCGCGAAGCCACCGTCGAAGTCACATCGGACGGCAGCCTGCATAGCCGCGTCGCGGCTAGGAACGCCATGAGGTGGTTGAATGCAAGACTGTAAAACTTTTCAAGACAAAAACGTCGGCGCCCGCTGCGGACAATTGGAGAACATGTGTCAAATTCTAGCCATCTCAGACAGGACTTGTTTCCCTGGCTCTGCCATCGCCAAAATCTACGTTGCGGATCTAGCCAGCTCTACGGCCTTCTGCGCTGCCTTGCCGAAATCTGCCTCCGTGTGCAGTCCCAGTTTCGCGTCTTCCAGCTGCAGGAATTTGTTAGGAACGCAGCGATCGCTTTGGAATTTCTTCTGACTTACCATCTTCAGGCCCAGCTCGGAGTTGGTACCCTGAAGCCGCACGACCATGGGCACCTTCAATGGACCCAACTCGGTCGCGGCGCCAATGATCGACTCCGCAATCATGTCACCTCGAGTGATTCCTTGGGGAGTCTTGATTAGTCACATGAACGCTCGACAAGAATTTGCTTCAATTTACCGCCGTAAATGTTGACCAGAATCGTCTTGACTCTGGTATCCCGCAGGATGATCTCAAATGCCTTCACCATCGTCTCCTTAGTCGCTTGGCCACCGGCGTCCAGGAAGTTTGCGCTGGCACCGCCATGAAGAGCGATGGCGTCGTTGGTGGCCATCGCGAGCCCAGCACCGTTTACCACGTTGCCGATGTTACCGTCCATCTTGACGTATACCAAGCCGTATTTCTCGGCCTCCGCCTCTTCAGGAACGTCATGCGCCCGATCTCTCAGAGCAAATATGTCCTCCTGTCTCTTACTAGCTGCATCGTCTATGGTAATCTTGGTGTCGACACAGGTAATCGTCTCATCGATGGCGTTGATGATAGGGTAAACTTCGAGCGAAGTTACGTCTTTGCTCTTGAAAACCTGGCACAACCCCCGAAGGACGCTTCTCAGGTTCTCCTTCTCTGCGGGACTTGCATGGAGGACTTTAGAGACTTCGTCGACAACTTCTGAAGTGATCCCTTCAGTCAGTCCGAACTTGGTTGTACGCAATCTCTCGGGCTGTTCTTGATCTAAGGCTTCCCCGCCAGTTCGCGATGCGATAATGACTGGACAGTACCTTTCTCGGTCAAATGTGATTGTCAGGTGCCATTTACAACGGCTTTTAATCATCTCGGTGACGTAAACCTTTTCAACAAGGAGACCGTCGCCCGTCTCTGTTGTCCTGAAACGGCGCCCGAGCATGCTTTTGGACATGTCTATTGCCTCCTCAGAACTCCGGGCTCTCTTGAATCTCCCTGTAAGGCCATCTTCAAAGACACCCTGAGCCTGATAGGTCTGGGGGAGTTGGGCCTTGATGATGCATGGTACACCTTAAACAGTCAAGTCAGCTCAGTCACCGAAATAATGCTTGTGAATGTTACCTAGCTCTGAGTATATTGATTCCACTTCAGCTGGAGTTGTTGCGAGTCTGCCTCTTGGTACCGGTACGTCAAACTGAAATGAATGTATGAGCAGTAAACTTTGAATGGTGTGCACTTTGGTTTACTACGAACCTCCGCCAGAATGCTCCGAGCTTGGGGTTCATGTAAAGTCAGACGTCTCAATTGCTGCCGTGAGAGAACCTAAGAGGGAGAAGGAACGTCAGCCTCGGATTCTCCCAAAGCCCAGCAAATGATGCACGCTTCAAAAGCACCGTACACTCACCTGGACTTGGCTTCTCCAGAGCTTCGATGTCAAGCTCGGGGAAAACATGGCCACAAAAAGCGCCAATCTGTTGCGCTGTAAAACACTCAAGCACGGCTGCGATTGACAAAGTAGCCTTGGGTTGCCGATTGGGGGATACTGGACGAGTGCTATTGTTGACCGAAGTAGTGCAGGTAAGATAACCGACAGCAATGGAGGTGGCATGATCTCGTGCGTCATCGAGGGGGGGCCGCTAATAGGTCAAGGGGAAGATAACCGAACGGTCGCTAGGCCCGTCCGGCTCCAGCCGGGCTCGGCTAACTATGACGGCTACATGCACGCATCACGAATGAATTTCCGACCCTTCCGATCAAAATTACAGACATATCGCAGCGCTTAAAGGAAGAAAAAAAAACCTCACAGACGAAGTAAGATAAAAAACCCACCCACAACGATCTCAACTTCTCCATAAATGACCAATGAGATCTTGCTGGGGAATTCATAAAAAGGGCGTTTGCAGGTTCGCGGTACTCCTTGGTTCAGGGTCAACCTAGTGACAACCAAGACCAACGGTTTGCAGAGCAATCAAAGAAGAATAGTAGATAAGACACACCGACTAAAACGAGAGAGAAATTGCCAAAATCAGACGTTGGAAGACTATAAGTTTCGTTCCAGGGAAGTTTGCAGCGTCTCTTAGTGCTTTGTCCTTGGTGAATGCATAAAGGTGGGGACAAATCAAGTTGAATACAGGACATTTGTTGCCTTCTCATGACTTCTAATGCGCGCGACCCTAAGCTCTTCGTATAAATGATTGACATAACATCTCTGAATACCGTTTCTCCTGCTTCTAAATCTATCACAAGATGGGTGAGCCCATGCCCTCATGCCCCCATCCTATCCATCGCGACAGCTTCCAATTCAGTTGTTGGATGGCACATCAACCGATATTCAATACCGTGACAGGGAAGATCTAATTTGTGGGCAAAGGCCACTCATTCGCGACTGCAGAGCCTTGTGCGGCAGGAGTGGGTGTGGCGTTACCTTGCCCCGCAGGAGTTGCCTCTGCTTCCGTCCTCTGAGGCGTAGTCCTCGAAGCCAGCTCAAAATGAGCCCTCCTCAGAAGACGTTCGTACTCTTTCCAATTCTCCCATTCTTCGAATGCATCTTCATCTTCATCTCTGTCAAAAGGCTCATCATCCTGCTCAAAGTCGGTCCCATTGTCTCGGCGACTCTCTTCGAACAATATCCTCCGTTTCTTAGGTTTGGGGTTTCCGGGAAGCACGCCACGGTATTCTTTCGGAATTTCGCCCTCCTTATCGCCCATCTTGATCTTTTTCTTCGTGTCCCACACGTTGAGGTCGACCGCGCTGAACGGGTGTGGGGGACTTCCGCCATGTTTTGCTAAGGCATTCTTCAACACCTGAACGACTTCCCTCCTACATACAACCCCACCGGCACCCACTGTTAGTGCCGCGCCGGGTCCGCCACATCAACACTAACACTACCAAATCCATCCCATACAACTAGAACCCTCGCCCGCGATGGCCTCGCAGCCAGCCGCGGGCCCTTCGCAGGCCCCTAGAGGCCTCTCATCCTCTATACATAGCCTCCCCCGGACCCCCCCTCCCCCTACCTCCCTACCTCCACGACCGAGGGGCCTCACGCCCCCCCCTATCCGGCCCTTGGGAAGGGGGCCACGATCGGCCGCCGCCGCCCTCCAGCAGGCTCGAGAGGGTCGGGCCCTCCGAGATGAGGCCCTAGACCTCCTCGCCAAAGGCCTAGATGCCCTCATTGGGACGGCCCCAGCACGACTAAAGGCTACAGCCCAGGACCTCATCGATACCTTTACCCGGTTTGCGACCGCAGAAATCTCTGGACCCACCCCCGGCCCCGGCACGGGAAAAACGTATGCCCAGGCAGCTAGTGACTCTACCGCTAGCGGCCCCGGCCCCGGCCCCGGCCCCGGCTCCGGCTCCGGCCCCAGGCCGAACCCAGTAACAGGCCGGCGGGCCACCAGCTGCATACGCCAGCCTAAACAGACCCAGGACCTCCGCCTACTAGTTCGGCTCCCGGCAGAACATATACCTACCTCCAGAACCCTAGCCCCTCACTCAGTTAAGATGGTGGTAACAAAGGAGCTTAACTTACAGCCGCAAGACCTAGTTGAGGTCCGCCATACTGCTACAGGCTTCTCACTTCAGCCCCAAAACAAGGAGATCCAAACCTTACTTCTTCAGAGAGCCCTTAAGATCAAAAACTGCCTTACAGCTGAGAAGGTTGAGATACCTACTAAGTGGCATCAGTATATCGTCCCATTCTGCCCCCTCTACTTTACCAGCCTTGATGGCAGTAGGGTTAGCATAGAATCTGAAATAGAGGAAGAGGTTTTCCTAAAGACAAAGCAAAGACTCCTCTCCTGGCGCCCAACCCGAGATAGCCCCGATCTAGCCACAGCTACACAAAGCCTGATTATCGCCCTCCCTCAAGGGGTTAAGGGAGGCTTCCGCCTGTTTGGACAGTCAGGCCCTGCCCGTCTGCTTCCCCCGAGGAAGCAGACCCCCAAACAACACTCCCCTGGCTGCCAGGGCTTTCACTCAAACCGCTACTGCACCCGGAAACCCCTCTGCGAGAACTGCAGCAAACCGCTAGATACTCATGAGGCTGGGAGCTGCTTAGCTAGGTCTAAGTGTGCTAACTGCTATGGTCCCTTCCCAGCAAGCCATGCAGACTGCCCAGCTAGGCCTCTGCTGGTTAATGGAAACCTAATTATCCCAACCCGGAAGGAACTGCGAGGTATCCGGATAGCTGGAGAGAAGGCGTCTGATGATCTCCTAGCTAGCCAGGCCTGCGCCCCAGGCAGCACACAGCAAGCCAGGGCTAAGCCAAGCGCTACACAAGAGCAACAACTGGCATCCAAGCGCCCTCGACCCCTCAATTGTTGTTGCAGATACTGCTAGTGTAGCTGGGAGAAACAATATGGATGAGGATGAGGCTGAAGACTCTGAAGCCCTCCCCCCCCTAACTAACCGCCCTATCCATCCACTCCCAAGCAGCAGCAGGAGCCAGAGGGTAGCCCAGAAGCCTGACTATAATGTTGTTAATGCCTACACCCACCTCGACCTCGACTCAGAGCTATAGGCTCAGGCCAGCTACCCCACAGGTACTACGAGTTGCCCAGTGTAATGTGGGGAAGAGGAGCCCAGCCCATACAGCTCTCTTGGAGCTCTGCTGGGCAGATCAGATCGACATAGTCCTGATACAGGAACCCTGGGTAGGCTATAGAGATAAGATGCAGATTAACACACACCCAGGCTTTAACTCCTATGTACCAGTCGACTTCTGGAACAGCAGAGACACAAGGCCTAGGGTTATGACCTACACACGTAAAGGTCTAAGGCTGCAGATACAGCAACAAAGACCTACCCAATCAAGAGATATCTTATGGGTGAAAGCTGGCGACCTCACTATTATGAATATATATAGGCCGCCAGATGAGCCTATAAACCAAGCAACCAGCCTCCTTTTAGATTATCAACCGCCAGAGAGAGCCCTTATCGCTGGGGACCTTAATGCCCGCCACTCCTCTTGGGAACCTGGGACCCCTAGCCGGAACCAGGGCGACGATATTGCAGAGTGGGCTGAAGTCTATGATCTGTCGTTTATTGGAGAAGTTGGGGCCCCTACCCATACTCATGGGCATACCCTCGACCTGACCTTCTCAAATATCCCCTTTGCCGAAGCTTATATTAGCCCACACCTACACCCAGGGGCTGACCACCAAGCTATTACAACAATTATCCCTATAGGCAAGGCCCAGGAACAGGGACGCCAGACTAGCCACCTCTCAGTCCCAGAGTCAGCCCTACCCCGATTTATCGACCTAGTAAAGGCTGGGGCTGCAGCCCTGCCTACCCCAGGGGAACACCTAAGCCCAGCGGAGCTGGACACTCTAGCTGCCCAACTGGTTAGTCTCTTCCACACAGCCGTTCAAGCTGTAGGTAAGAGACGGACTAACCAGGGCAGGGGAGCCCCCTGGTGGACAGAAGACTGCTCAGAAGCCCACCGAGCTGCTATTAAGGCTAGGCGCCAACAGGCCCAAGAACCAGGGCTAGTTATACCTCCCCCTGTCCTAGAGGAGCAGAAAGTCTTCCTGACAACCGTCAGAAGGGCAAAACGCGCCTACTGGATAGCTAAGATTGAAGAGGTTAAGACAGACCAAGACCTGTATAAAATCTTAGGCTGGCGGAAGTCTAGCTTAGCAGTTAAAGCCCCACCTCTCATAGTAGAAGGACGGACGATCAGCAATAGCCTCGATAAGGCTCAGGCCCTTCGAAAGGCCTTATTAGAGCGATTTAGTGCTGCAGACGACTTACCTGGGAACCCCTTTGCTATTCCAGTAGTCGCAAGGCGTCTTATACCCTGGCAGGATACAGTTAGTATGGAGGAAGTACGCCAGGCTACTCTAACAGAGACTACAACCCCTGGGACTGATAGGATTACTACAAAGTTACTACAATGCACCTGGGGTTTAGTAGCTAGGCCTATACAGCAGCTCTTCCAGGCCTGCGTACAGGTAGGCTACTTCCCTAGACCCTTCCGCAAAGCAGAGGTTGTTATGATCCAGAAGCCGGGGAAAACAGACTTCTCTAAGACTGGGTCTTGGCGCCCGATATCCCTGTTATCCTGCTTAGGCAAAGGCTTAGAGCGGCTGATAGCAAAAAGGATGGCCTACCTTACTATCCTAGAAGGGGCTGCCAGCCCACAGCAGGTTGGAGCCCTACCAGGGAGGGCTGCAGTTGACCTCACAACCTGTCTAACCCATGAGATTGAGAGGGCTCTAGATACAGGGCTTACTGCGACGCTAGCAACAATGGACGTCAAGGGGGCGTTTGATTCCGTCTTACGAAACCGACTTATTGTCAGGCTACGACAGCAGGGCTGGCCTAGCAGCCTGATCAGACTGGTCTACACCTTCACCTCCAGCCGAACAGCCTGCGTCAGGCTAGAGGATACTACTACTGAGGACTTCCCTCTTTCCTGTGGACTACCGCAAGGCTCTCCGCTGTCACCTATCCTCTTCCTGCTCTATATAGCTGATATCCTAGCTGACGATCAGAAGCTACGGTTTGGCTATGCAGACGATATAGGCTTAGTAGCTACTAGCCCCTCGCTAGAAGGGAATGCTACAGCCCTAGGCCAGGAGATCACTAGTATCCTCAGCTGGGGAACGGAAAATAAAGTCGCCTTTGACCCAGCTAAGTGTGAGGCAATCCACTTCAGCAGAAAACATAAACAGACAACAGACCTACCAGATATCCAAGCGAGAGGCCTAACTATTAAGGCCTCAACTAAGCCTATAAGATGGCTAGGGGTCTGGTTTGATAGGAGACTCACCTTCCAACACCATGTAGCAATAAAGGTAGCAGCAGCAAAGAAGGTAGCCTATTTCCTACGGCACCTAACAAACACTAAAGGGGGGCTCCCAGCAGTTGCAGTTCGAAAAGCAGTTCTTGCTTGCGCCCTCCCAATAGCCCTATATGGAGCGGAGACCTGGTATGCAGGCCTGACCAGACCAGCCCTGAACAGCAGCACCAATACTAGCAGTAGCATTACTCTACAGATAGCTACAGTTGGCACAGGACAGAAGGGCCTAGCCTGTAGAGTTGGAAAAGTTATCACAGCAGCAGCAAGGGCTATCCTACCTGTCTGGAGGACCACACCAACCAGTGCCCTCATCCGAGATGCTGGCCTACCTACAGCAGAGGTAGCCCTAGAGGCAGCGCGACTACGCTTTGCTACACGCCTACAGAAGGTTGACCAACAACATCCCTTAGTCCCAAGGCTTCTGCAGCCAGGGCGGCAGCAGACCAGGCTCCAAAGAACAGCTGGCCTCTTACCCAAGTGTCCAAGGCCAGCACTCCTACAGCCGCAATACCTCCCAGGGTCCTATAACCCTATAGCCACAAAGACGAAGGAAATAGCAGCGAGGATCTTCCAGGCCTGGCTTAAGACTGTACCAGAGAAGCATACTATTATCTACTCAGACGGCTCTAAAGCCCCTAATGGCGCCACAGGGTTTGGCTTTGTTATATACCGTAAGAACAAGCGTATAGCCCAGGGCTGCGGCCGCCTCGGCTTAGCAGAAGTGTTTGATGGGGAGGCTGAGGGGGCGAGGGCAGGGCTCCGACGAGCCCTCCTTACCTCCCAGGGCCAGCCTATACACATCTGTATCGATAATACCAGCGTTATCCAGGGGATCCGAGGCAGGGTCCCAGACTCCTCACAAGCTGCCTTCCTTGAGATCCAAGAGGCAGCTAGGATGTATGACATACGAACCCATTGGTCCCCAGGGCACCAAGGCATCAAAGGGAACGAGGAAGCAGACAGCCTAGCCAAGGAGGGCACAACCCTGCCAGCCCCTAGGGGCCAACTAGCCACCCTGTCAGGGATCAAACGGCTAGCTAGAGAACGCATATGCCGCCAGTATAGAAAATGGTGGAAGCAAGAGGCAACACCCCGCTACACCCAACTAGGGCTTAAGGCTTCCCTCGCCTGCCCTCCTGAACTAGCCCTACCACGGGCTATACTCCATCATCTCCTAGCAGCCCGGTCAGGCCATGGAGACTTCGAACAATACCATCAACGCTTTAACCATACAGAAGCACTGCTTACCTGCTCCTGTGGGGAGGCAAAGGAGGTAGACCACCTAGTCTACTGCCGAAAGACCTTAGTGAGGAGGCTTCAGTGGCCCACCCTCCACCCTTCTAGTCCACAGGAGCCTATAGGACCAATAGGATCTCTTGATCGGTACTACAAGGGGCTAACCACTGATCATGAAGGCTTCTGGGCCTTTCTCTGCGTGACAGACTTCTTCCAGAAGATCTGCCCGCGGTACTAGGGCCTAGGCCTGAACCTAGGCCTTAGTAACGAACCCCCTCCTCGTAGAGGAACTGACGAGTATAATGGAACTAGGGAACCAGCGGGAACTAGGGACGGATAGAACACGTAGCAGCCTATAGGCAAGATTTGGAGGACGTTTGGAAGAGGCGTGTACTGTAGAGTATATAGCTTGAGCCTGTGGCCCTCCACGCCATATACCCCTCGGGAGGTCGGCCGCAAGGGCGGCTGCGCCTTTGCCGCCACGGCGTTAAATAGAACAACAACAACAACAACAACAAAATCTTCAACACCTGAAGGTCGGGCAACCCCCTGTAACTTTTGGTGTGTTTTGCCAAGTCGGGGTGCTGGCCTTGGCTGTAAAACTCATCCGCTGTGTTAAGGACCCAGCCTGGGTCATCTGGAACCAGGTCCTTTGGCCAACAAGGGTTCTCCTTCAAACCGTACCAGTCCGTGTCCATTTTCAATCCATCCCAGTCGTCTATGGAGAAAATCGCTCTGGGAGTCTGGACAGACACTGTCGTAATGCGAGCTACCAAGAAGAATGAATTAGAGAAGCCACTAAAAGAATTGTTGATAGTGGAAGAACTTACTCATTGTCTTGTCCTTTCCAGTGATAACTTACACCTTTTCCTTGACAGTACTGATGAGGTTGTCTCTCACGTAGTATGTTTTCTTGCCCTTTCTGTTGCCTTTTGTAGATACCGCATCATGCTTGGGACAAAAGTTACCCCACAGATTGCCGGCTCCTCTGTTGTGTTGGAAGGGGTTGAACCGAACTCTTTGCGTCATGCCTTTGGGATGGGCTACATCGTCACCGGGCCAAAAGTTGCGAGGAGGCCACTCGTCTCTGTCGCACCCATCGGCCATCTCGTGTCCATATTTGTCCCGCTTGGGCTTACCTTTGGCATCTACTCGAAGGACCCGCGGAACCCATCCATTTGCCCAAGGCCAAACCCAGTGTTCTTCCTTCTTTTCAAGGCTCTTGATCGCCGCCACACCCCAAGTTGCAGTAGCTCCACCATCGAAACCAGTGTTGGCTATTGCTCCGCAGGTCCACTCAGTCACGGACTTGGTCGCTTTGTGGATGTCCATCATTGATCTGTTGTCCGAAATTAGCTGAATTCTCTGGCAATAAGTCTCCAAGACCAGGGGGCCCCACGAATAGTGATAGCATGCTTGCTCCCATTCCTTTTTGCATTTGATACCAGTTATTTTCGTTTCATAATAACCAATATCCTTCTCCGTTGTCGTTATCAAAACCTGCTTTCGCTGCCCGCAATCTTCTGTTGTAGTCCGAGGATCGCCGAGCTTGCCCTCCCAAACCCCCTGATTTGTGTTCGCCTGTCTCGCCCTGAGCTGACATGCTTCGTTCGAGGTACTCGTTGGGGCCTGTGTCGTCTTTTCTGCTGGCGTAGCCGACACCTTCTCTGTGGGTTTAACTGGTTTGGGTGGGTCTGGCTTGTGCTGCGGTTTCTTACAATCCGCCTTCACTTTCTTGTGGCAGCCGGTGCTTGTCCCCATAGAGTCAGGCATGTTCAGTAAAGCACCGAACATATCAAAGCTCCAATCTTGCTTGCCGCAGGCAGGGCCAACCCAGTTGCCGAAGAATGAGCCTACTTCTAGCCCGTTCTCAGAGAACGTTTTTGCGCCCTGCACTGCCGCCTTTGCTGCTTTCAGAAAATTACCAGTCGGAGCGAAGTCGATACCGACGTCCAGGATCGATTTGAGAACCGAGAGCATGACGAGACATATTGGCTGTTCCAGCTCTGCTAAACCCTCCATTACCACGTCTAGAAGGGCTTTTGCAATTTCAAGATCACAGAAACACTTTCCCGGGGCCCAAGGGTTTCCATCGTCGTCTCGGTATTGCGGCTGTATCTTGTCCGGAGCCACGCCTTGGAAGGCGGTTCCATTACTCAGATGTCAAAAAATGACGATACCGAATTTCGAACAAAAACGTGGAGAAAGAGAGGAACGTGTTGGAGAAACTGTGTTGATAGGTGACGTTTTCAGGACAGAATATTGCTTACTCCATAATTGCCATCCGTACCTCCATGGCTCTTGCAATATACCTTACAAGGAGCTTTGGATTTATCCAGATTCTTGTTACGACCCGTAAACAAGGATAACAGTTGAACGACCCACTCGGGCATCGGGCGGCTAGAACAGGACATTTGTACCGCAGGATCACGGGAACAACAGGGACTCACTCGGAACAGAAGAACTATGGTACAAGTCACGTGACGATAAGATAAGAAAACGATCAGTGGAGTACAGGAGGGAACGCTCAGTGATCAGTTGGTCTTGCCAACTGATCGCAATCACCTTAAGCACTTAGGTGATCACTCTGGGATAGACAAAGAACACTATTTGGAACTTATATATAGTATGACCCTAAGCCTAGCTTATGGTCAGACTTCTATAGCTCTTCAGCAATCAACTTAGTATTCATCCTCACAGATACTCTCAGCTTACCTTCACTGCGAATCACTTGTTGAGTCTAAGACTGATCACCTTAGCCTCTGAAGAACCGATCTACTACAGCCTACGAACTACAACCTACGACCACGACCCAGTATACTGTTAGAACGTATCAATCCCCAGCTTCTGTTAGCAGACCCTACTGTCGGATAGCTGACCGTAACAATTCTGTTTCTCGGTGAAGTAATGGAAACATTGGCCGTTCGTTTCGTATGCTGCTAAGTACGTTTTGTCGTTCTCGTCACGGCGAACGAGATCCAGTCTGGGAGTCGCCACAGTAGCAATACTGAGACAACTGACAAAAATAAACAAAACAGGGAGAAATGTCTTCATCTTCAACTAGGTGGCTTTGCAAAGCTCGTTTTGACAGATTCTAACAATAGATTTTAAAATATTGACAAGAGAGAGTAGAATGTAGAAGAGGTCGTTCCTTGGATAATTCATGAGATACCATCATCATAGCAGGGCCATCAATTGAACATTTATGTCATTGCATCTGTTCACTTCACATATCGTGTTCATGCAGAAGGAAAGCATTCAGGGTAAGGTGAAGTGCCAACAACATTAATGAATCTTCGGGCCCCCAAAAGCCACTCCTCGTCAGCATTGGGGGCTTATCACATCAGCTTTCTTGATTGCAGTCTTGGCCTTACCCAACATCACGAAAAGTAGATGTGCGTTGGCTTGACGCCGGAGTGCAAACCTTACCGGTTGGGCGGTCGCGAATGGTGAGGCGGATGTTTCCAGGATTCGCTGACGCCCAAAATGACAACGGAAAGCAGTCTTCCCCGAAGACACAGCGAAATCTAGTGAGCAGGATTCAACGACGTGCGCCAATGACTGTGGTCAAGTTTTCGGGATTCGGGCTTGACATATTTTAGATAGTGCAGAGGTTATGCCATACTACCTGCTCTTAACTGATACAGGGATAGACGAGGGATCTTTCTTAAAGCGCAAAGAGAACTGCGCAGAGGCACTTTTGTGCCATGTACCATTAGTCATTAGACGCCAACGGATCGGAGATTCCCACCGATCGGTCGCGATCATCTTTTACTTGGACATGCCATGTCTGCAACGGGTGAAGTCATAAGCAAGTCACAGACCTCACCCAACACGTACTTGGCAAACATTCTCCGGAATGATAAGTGATTAAAGTCGCCATGAGAATTCTGTTGCTGATTACAATTACGACTGCCCTCAATAAAGATCAGTTCATCCTGTGTTTGGGCTATCTAAAATTAGTGTTCATTTCAACACGTCGCATTTCCGGCCTTGCGATGAAAGCTGAACCGACCATGCAACTCTACGTTGGCCGAGAGAACTTTTCGCTATTCATAGCCTAACCGCCGGCGTTTCTTTCTTTTATTGCTCAAACTGCTGCGCCGTGCAAAAATTGAAGCGCCAACGTTGGGTAAACCCATTCCCCAACTGGGAACCATCACCTCGCTGGCGGCTGTCTATTGCGTCCACTCTAACCCCCACGTCGTTGGTTGGGTGACTAGAATGGAGAAAAGGGGACAATCGGTGTGGTAATTGGGGTCGACGGATATCCATTTCACCGACATATGCAGGTCAATGACGCTCTGCCCCCTGCCTAGAGGTCCGCATCTACCCCTAGCCGCGCAGAAGTCTCAGCCCGCATCCTGCTCTTCCGTGCCAACAGTGTGCCAAAAAGATGAGCAAAATATTGGACTCGCGCTCAAAGCCTTAAGACGTTCAGAAGTTTACAGAGCACCTCACAGTCCCATTACATATGCATTGCATGAAGTTTACTCTATCTCTCTCAATTTCATTGTAAGAAACCCCCTCCAAAGCAAAGGTTTATCAATGCTTCCCATCAGACCCGCGTCCCAGGTAGAGCCTGCAACCTCTCCTAGTGAGACCTACTCTTACTCACACCGCGCGGCTGTAGCTGCCATTACATCCTATTATGAGTTGATCGCAAGACTACACAGAGATGAAACATCATTGGAGTATCCGCCGCCTGGCGGGTGGCCTCAAATTACTCGGGAATCGTTCGCTAGTCTTGGCAAAACCGATGCCGTCATCGACCTCATGCGTCATATTCCATACTTCACCGACGACACCATTGAAATCTTGAACATCACCAATCCACGGTGCTTCATCAACTCGTTTCTGTACGAAATGATCCATGCAGACAGCGAAGAGCAGCGTCGCGAGTCGCAAGATTTGAAGGAAGTCGAACAGAACAAGATCCCAGACACTGCCGTTGATGAGGACGGATTCCCTCGTGGGATGATACTCTTCGCCATAGGCGAAGAGTATGGGTTCAAGGTTTATCTTGACACCACCTACGGGCTCATCATTCTGACTATGAATGGTGGAAACTTTCCACGCTGTGAGCCCGATTTTGAGGGTGATGTGTCAAATCCTTATGTCGACTGGGATGCGGAGGAGGTTCACGAACAAGGGACATTAGGAGATCACGAGAACAGTGATGACGAGGAAGAGGCAGAGGACATTTTCGGCGACAACGATTGGAGAAGTGGCGCCAAGTCTGAAGCCTTCAGAATCCAAACCTTCTTCGATCTGTGCAAAGAGCAATGGAGACGAATGAACCTGATGCCCAGGCTGGAACGCCCAGGCCGGATTGATATGCTCCAGCATCCCGAGCCTTCTCCAGATCAAGCTGTGCGTCAACGAATTCTTAGAAATGCGGGATGGCCAGGCACTGGGCCGGAAGTTGGAATGGAATGGGACAAGAAGAAGGCAAAGAAGGATATAATTGAATACTTTGGTGCCTGGGATTCCGAAGAGAGCGACTGAGATCCAACCTGGTATCGTGGATGTTAGCAGATCCATGGATACCATCAACTAACGCCATTCCGACGCGCATCTGTGCATGGTTCATTTGCCAATAACTTGCCAATTGGTGCCAGCTGCAAAGCACGGAAGACGCGGGAGCGTGAGGGGGTTGTTATGATCACGCGCTCTTCGATTAAACACCTTCACACGGATAGTCCCATGTCGTCGCATAACTCTTCCATCAACGTAAAGCACATGTTGAAATTAATTGGGCTTCTTGTATCTCATCTACTCTACACGAAGACATGCCGCCGGCTGCTCGCGCCACTCAAAGAGCCCCGAGGTCGTGCACAGCTTGCGCCAAACGAAAAGTCAGGTGTGATAAGAGACTTCCTTGCCAGCAATGCGTGGACAGGGGGCAAGCAGCCGGTTGCAAACGCGAGATTGTTCGAGTAAAGGGTGCTTTAGTCGAGAACACAGGGTCTGACCGCCCGGGAAATCGGAGTTATGCTGACCTGCAGCGAGAGAACGCGGTGCTCCGCGCTTTACTCGGCAGCGAAGGTCCACAGACAAAAGTCAACTACTTTCAAGGCGGAAACGCCCATTCATCAATGAGATTCCAGCTGAACGGAAGAAATCGTATCGAGGAAGTAGAGCGGCGCTTGTTCGACGAGATTGGGATGTCTTCACAGCCACGAACTGTGTTCGACTTGAAAGAAATCATTCTACCTTCTGAAACTTTCAGTCGGAGCATGGTAGAGAATGCGTTTCAGTGGACATTTTGGCTTCATTTTGCACTGTTCATCCCCAAGTTCCGGCGCGAACATGAAGAGCTTTTCGATCGGTTGCGAGCCAACCAGTCTCTTTCAGACATGGATCCTGCGTGGATGGCAATCTACTTTAGCGTCCTGGCCTCCACGCTCATGTTTACGGATGAAAACGAAACCATCAACCAGCGACCGGCTGGTGTAACTTTCACTGGCCTTCTCCGAAACTGGTATGATTCGGCGTTGCTGTTCCTCGATAGGGCCGACTACACGAAAAGACAAGACGTGCGCACTCCTCAGGCGATTGCCATTCTTCACATTGTATTCAATAACGTGGGGGACGTGCACCGTCATCAAAATATGTGGGCAGTTGCGATACGTCAAGCCGAACAGCTGGGACTGGGCTCAGACGAAAGCAATCCAGACGAATCCTTTTGCGAGCAGCAGATACGGCGGAGGCTTTGGTGGACCTTGGCGATATGTGAATGGTTACCAATCCCCCATCGAGTTCCCTGTTTGCACGAGATGGACTTTACATGTAAGCTACCAGACGAGGTTGATGATGAAGAGCTTGAAACCGCATCTGGAGGGTCGAGACTTTCGAGATCCAAGCCCCGACCTGTGAGATACCATATCGCCATGGCACAAGTCTCCAAAATCTATTACCAACTTCGCTATATGCTCAGACTACGCGAGTGGGGAACAGAAGATGTGGCACGGTTCGTCTTCGATGCGGATGAGCAGCTGGCAAACCTCATCACCGACCTACCCTCCTATCTCCAATTCGATGAGAAACCGACGACTTTGACCGAAGAACGAGATCGCCAATATCCCTTCATCCCGTGGCAGAAGAAGAGCTTGGCAAAGGTTCTTCTTTACTATCGAATGGCAATCAGCAGTCAGCTTCAAGAACATTGGCTAGACGGTTCGACTGACGGGGCTCGGACGCGAGCTATCTGCATGTCCTCGGCTCGAGGGCTGATTCACTCGACACTTAGGGAGACTGTGGATGCATCCAAACTGCGACCCTGGTCAGATTTCAAGAAAGTCCAAGTTCAAAAGAAAGTGCTGACATCTTCAAGGGCAATCACCATGAATATCTTCGCTGCATCAGCGGTCCTAGCGCTCGAATCTCTGCATACGGAGGAGGACTTCTCCACTGAAATACAACAAGGTCTGGATTTCCTGGAGAGAGTCCAGGCCCAGAACCTCGTCGCCGAGAAAGCAGTAAAGTTCTTAAAGGAGATGACTCAGCATCATTAACTTATTGTTTGTTGAACTTCATGGCACTGTACTTAGCGCCTACAATGTTGGTCCTGTCATAGCATTCACCTCAAACTCATGATCGGTGTGCTGCCCAACCTCGCTGGCATGGCCGAGTCCGGGACAAGACGACCAGTGCCATGCGCAAGCTTTCAGACATATCCTCAGGTACATGAATATGAATGCCGAATTTTCCAGCTTTCAAAACTTCAGGCAAAAGCATCTTCTATAACTACATCTCGACTCACGATGAAAAGCCATTAATAGGATTAATTGATCTCCAAATCCAACCTCGCTACAAGTCTGTGATTTTGAATTTCATCAGGAGGCATAGGGCAGAACTCCCGCAAGCTTCAGTAATTTCTCAGTTTCCACAGGCTCCTGAGAAGGTCTGTCTCTTTTGTAGGTTTCTTGCTCCCCAAGTCTGATCACCTTTCTCTCGTCCCGGAAGATGTTCGCGTGAGGCCAATGAGTCTGGTAAAACTTCTGTTAGACAAAACTTCTCGAAATTGGGTTGCTCGATGTGACTCACGGTCCCCTTACGGTCCTTGAACAGTTTCGCTTTCATCTTCAAGTCTTCGGTACTCGCATACGAAGCGGGAGAGTAGCACATGTCTATTAGAGCGGAGGTCAGTAAGTTAAATACCGATAGAGCTGGCTCAAACTTTGGGTCTTACACAAAACAGAGCGGACTGCTTCACTCTCTGGGAGGCAATTGTAGTGAACGGTTCTGGAGTCCCACAGGATCAGATCGCCGGGCTCGGCGCATACTTTGATCGCCTCGCAACCTCTTTCCTTGAACCAGTCAACCTCTTTCGGGGTAAAGCCGAACCAGTCGGCCGGGCCCCAAGTCTCTCGCTCCGTGTCGTGGGTCTTGAAGAAGGCCTCGCTGAGTGCACTGGACCCCTTCAGGACAATTAGACCTCCGTCCTTGGGACCATTCGGGGCAAGATTGAGTATCCCTTGGACGCACTGTAGTCCCTTACGGAGAGGACTTTGATCGACGTGTGGCCAAGCACCGATGGGTTCTCGATCTTTCGCAGGAAGAGTCAAGTTTGCACCGTCGAAGGAGACGAGAAGGTCTTTGGTCTGCCAGAGCTTGGCGTAGGCATCGAGAATGGTAGGCTCCCTACAGTGACGAGTCAGTCATTAGCAATTTTCCCCAGCGATGATTCACTTTAGCTTACATGCGAGCTTCCCAGAAGAACTTCTCGTGGGCCACTGAATACGCATGATACATTCCACCCCTGTATTTGAATCAGCACTAGCCTCCAGTCAATGGCTTATGTTAGGAACAAACTTGATATGTGCCGGAAGATTTTGCGGACCCCAGGTGGAGGGGTCGTCTTTCCGGAAGCCGTAAGGAAACGTTTCGAGCCAGTCGAAGAGACCATCAAGATAGTATCCTGTTCTTTCTGGTGAGATAACGCCCTTCAATACGACATAGCCGTCGTTGATCAGCTGGTCTCTCCAGTCCCCAAAATTCGGAGAGGTATCGAGTTGAGGCTCGGTTTCGTAACTAATGCTGCCCATTTTGACGATGTTAGGGTGGACCCGGAATTGGAGAGGTAGGTAAGGTAGCTAGCTGATGGTAGACACAGACTTGCGGGGTTGGAGCAGAATGCCACTGCCGGCCGCTTTATGTATCCCCAACAGATTGAAGATACGCATCGCATCCATTCAACCAATCTTGTGTGTCATATGAAAGACCGGGTAGCATTTTCCATAGCCTGAATTGGGAATAGATTGTCTCCAGGCCGGACGACTCACGGGCGAAATCCCATGTTCTTTGGGGTTCTTTCCACGCGACGTTATCGCAGAGGCCGGGCGAGTCACGGGCGAGTTCTCGACAGACTGACCAATTGGAGCTCTGCAGATGATAATGCATCTCCATCAATAATTACCTGAGCTTCGTAACGATCTATAAAGATGGTCCTTGTGCGGCATCTACCAGCCAAATCAATGATATTGTCACGCCATCTCAAGTATTCCCCATTTCTTCTCCGCATTCATGGCAAACCTTCCGACGGCCACAGCCGAGCCTGGCTTGCTAGATCTCACGAACACCCACACATTGCCCTGGTGGAAGGACCAAGGCCTCAGAAAGCTCATCTTCTGGCAGACATGTATTTTGGCCGCGCAGATCACTGTCGGCTACGATGAGGTTATTGTCGGCTCTTTCCAGGCGCTGCAGCCCTGGCAAGATGGTAAGCTGCCGCTTCGCTGTTCATCGTCTCTCATGTTGCTAAACACAGATGCACAGCCATGGGCAACCCATCTGCTGAGATTTTGGGCCTCATCACATGCGTGGTCTTTATAGGCGGCTTCTTCGGTGCGCTCCTTGCAGCGGCACCGGCAGACCGCTACGGCCGGCGTTTTGCCATTCAAATTGGATCGTTCCTGGGAGTTGTCGGATCAATCATGCAAGCTGCCTCGCCCAACCGAAGCGTGTTTATCGGAGGTCGCGCTGTGCTTGGCGTTGGTCTGTCTTTCACCACCACGGCTGGACCCAATCTGTTGACTGAGTTGGCCCACCCGCGGTTGCGTGGAAAGATGGCATCGATGGTAAGCGGATCTTCTGATGCATGGCTACTGATCATGCTGACGAGATCAGTTCAACGTGCTCTGGTATCTAGGATCCATCATCGCATCATGGTTAACATTCGGAACCGGTCATCTGTCTTCGGAATGGTCATGGCGGATCCCTTCGATTGTTCAGAGTACCTTCCCGTTTCTCCTCATGATTGCCACCATCTTCATTCCAGAGTCGCCTCGTTGGCTTTGCTCTCGAGGGCGCCAAAATGAGGCGAAGGAGTTTCTGATCAAGTACCATGCCAACGGCAACGAGAGAGACCCTGTGATCGAGCTCGAGATGCACGAGATTGCAACAGCTCTGAATCTAGAGGAGCAAAGCAAGATGTACACCTGGTCTAACCTTCTCAAGTCTAAGGCCAACAGACGACGCCTCGGAATCTGTCTCTCAGTGTCAGTTCTCACACTTTGGAACGGTCAAGGTGTCATTTCGTACTACTTCTCTCCCATACTGGACTCTGTCGGCATCACAAATACAACCCAGCAGACCGGCATTAACGGTGGCATGGCCATATGGAATCTTATCTGCTCTGTTACCGGAGCGTTTCTGGCGGACAAAATCGGCCGTCGAAAGCTATGGCTTATCTCATTCATTGGAATGATCTTTGCCAACGTGCCCCTGACCATTACAAGCGCCATGTATGCGAACCACGGCTCTCAGGCCGCAGCCTACGGGACGGTTGTATTTCTCTTCTTATACAATGCCGCTTTCAACATTGCATGCAACCCGTTGCTGTACTGCTACACTCCAGAAATTCTTCCGTACAGTATCCGCAGCAAGGGCCTGGCGCTGCAAGTGCTGTCAAGCCAGGTCATGCTGACGGTCAATCAGTACGTCAACCCTGTTGCGTTAGAAAGAATCGGGTACTACTACTTCATTTTCTACCTTGGCATGTTATTTCTTGGCTTGGCTCTCATTTACTTCACTTTCCCCGAGACCAAAGGATACTCTCTGGAAGAGTTGGGTATGCTTTTCGACGATGGCTTCGACGTGCGACCATCGATACTCCATGGAAAGGATGTTGAAAATACCAGCCATATGGCCCAAGACGATGTGAGGAAAGATAATGTCAAGATCATAGAGAGTTGATGAAGGCATAAATCAGGATACCATAATGGTTGTTTACCCAGAGTTACTGCGATGTCTGTCTTGTATGCACGTGCGACTGCCTCCATCTGTTCTGGTGCGTCTCAGCTCGATTCTTCTCTCCGCCACAACTCACTGCAATCCCACTCCTCATCAACTTCAAGTTCATTGATGCTTACTGCCAAGCTTTCAGGCCGAGGTTCTACAGCCACACTGAGACATCCGAACCCCCTTTCCCGTGTGCTAGCTGCACGATGCAGCTTCTGGGACCTAACTGTGCACTAAGACGTCGATCTGCAGCAAAACGGTAAGTTTTCGCAACTCCAATCTCCAATAAAACGCCAAGCTCCAAGTCGCCGAGGCGCATGTAGCCGAACTGTAACGCGGAATTCGTTGCCCGGGCTGCAAGTCCCCCGCACTCCCCCGCCTCGGTATGATGCAATGACACACAGCGTGTGGCAGTCAAAGCACTAGGAATGACCGGCAAAAGACCCTTAAATAGTGATGAGCAAACGCGTCGTGACGGGCATGGTGCGAGTGCTAACTTTCTTCGGATGACCAGTCGATAACCCTGAATATCCAAACTTCACATCAGCTACGTGATCGAGAACATAGCGCGGCACCGACAGCATTCCATCGTCACAAACACTTGGCATAGACATCATGTCGTCTTCGAAAGGGCCAAGACTAGCTGGCAAGGTTGCAGTCATCACTGGTACGCCGTTCGCTTCGGGCTCAAGGGTTTGACTGACAACTTTCCATAGGAGGTGGGCATGGATTCGGTGAAGCAATTGCTCGCAGATTCGCATTGGAGGGCGCCAAGGTTCTCATTTCGGATATCAACGAGGCCGACGGACAGAGAGTAGCAAGCGACGCGCCTGACGCGATATCCTTCTGCAAGGCAAACGTCACGGATGCCGGGGAGTGGGAGAAGTTGTTGGACACCGCGCAGGAACGATACGGACGTATCGACATCTTGGTCAACAACGCAGGCACCACTTACAAAAACAAGGTGGGTGGTTATCGGCTGCGTCTCATTTCCCCCTCTGAAAGTAGCTTGGGTGAAACAGAATATGCTAAATCTAATCCTTGTGTAGCCAACGGCAGAGGTAACCGAGGCCGAATTCGACAGGGTTTTCAACGTCAACGTCAAGGGCATCTTCCTGGGTACGAATGCCCTGATGCCCCGACTTATCAAGCAGGGCAGTGGCGGCGTCGTGCTCAACATCTCTTCAATTGGGTCGGTCAGACCTCGACCTGGATTGGTGTGGTATAATGCTTCCAAGGGCGCGGTGTCAAACGTACGTTGGTGTTGGTCTTTGTTGAGATCCACAGGGTTGCTAATTTACATGTTGCTCATCAGGCCACGAAAGGACTTGCGGCCGAGTACGGCCCTCATCAAATCCGCGTCAATTCCATTTGTCCTCTTCTGAGCGGCACTGGATTGTGAGTTTCTTTTTCTCTTCCCTTTTTTCTTTCCTTATTCGATTTCGATGGACGGGATGCTGACACGACCAGGTTCGAGCACTTCGCAGGGATGCCGGATACACCGGAGAATAGGAAGAACTTTATTGGCAACGTCCCACTAGGGCGTCTATGCGAATCTGAAGACGTCGCGAACACCTGCTTATTCTTGGCTTCTGACGAAGGCAAGTTCATCACTGGCATTAACATGGAGGTTGATGGAGGCAGGGCGGTTTGATTCTATGGGCATGGATGTACGCATGAGTTCATAACAGTCATAGCTCGTGATACCTGTAGCAGCCCTGAATCATCAAAGAATCATCCTCAATAAAGCGCCTCTGATCTTCGCACTAGCACTGAGCCCCTTTCTTGTACCTTGGACAGCGCATACATACTGAGGATGAACAGTTTTCTGAAATTGGTTGCATTATTCTAGGCCTCGATCCGTATTACCGAAGTCAATTCCTTTGAAGTTGATTTACTCCCTTTAATATACAGGAACAGTGACCATCACCCGAAGCTCTGATACAATTTCTTCAATCTCGTGTCCGGGCTGAGTGGTATACCCTAAGAAGAGCAGCATTGCCACTAAGTAGCTATGTAAGCCGACGACGTGAACTATGGGCGACACCTGTACTTACTTTCTGGTATCCTTTGCATTCGAATTGGTTGTTGCCCAGACCTGTGGCGCTTAACATCGTATTTTTCTCTACGACGAGATTCTTGAGATCGGTTCTCATATCACAAGCTATAGCGGGGCCTCCATCGATAGAGCATGTCCCAGTCATGGTAGCTGTCCAAGTATTCTCGTTCAGCGAACACACAGTCTGCCGGGCGTCAAGTTGCTCAGTGGGCAACCCTAGGGCAGGCTGGGTCATAGCTGCCAAAGCAGCGGCTAAGCAAATAAGAGTTTGAGAAATCATGGTTCAGAATGTATTGTGGTCGGCTGGAGGCGATATGTCAATTGCGGTGGGTGAATGAAGATGCTCCTTGAAGAAGACGGTACATATTCCCTCCTTTAAATAGTCTATGCAGCTTGCGGCTGTCTGGTGTTGGCAACAGAGCCGCCTGGATTTTATTTCTTGCTAGCGTTAACTGCGAGTCATAATAAACCTTACATAGATTCAGATTTATTAGAGACCGAGTACGCGGTATTTTTGAAGGTTTCAACCGAATTAAAGTATAATAAGGTAGTTCTTGGAACCGGGAACATACTGACTCAGGTGGCGATCTTCCGCCGAGGACTCCGGGACCACAATCACCTACACACCAACGGATGTACTTTTATTGACCCTTAGTGACTTCAGTACAGCGACTCTAATTATTATTACGACCACAATAGTTCACGAGAGCCGCAGCTTATGATATCTATAGCAGCCCTGAATCATGAAAGAATTATCTTAATGAATGAGTACGGTATTGGATCTTCATATTGGTAGCGAGCCTCGGCCTTGAAACTTGGGAAGCGCATGTCAAGATGACGCCCATAGTATTAATTCAATTGCATGTTGCTTGTAGGATGTTGAGAAGTATCACAATTTTCAGTAAGAAGTTACGTTACAACGCTCCGAGCAACGGGTTTGAAAATGTTTTCTTAAGCTCACAAAGGACTAACTACTAATCTTTACATACACTCCTTCTCAAACTGATTGCAAAGACTTGTGATAGCCTGAGCTTTGAAGTGCATAAGCCTACCGCAGGGGTTGACTGAAGTGGAAAATGCGTAACCTGTTGTAGGCACGGGACTCTTCAGATCGGCGAGCCAACAAAGGTAACAAAGAACCATTTTTCTGTTGTGGGACTTTTTTTGCCAAACTGCAGCCGTCGTCGACAGGTATCATTTACCAAAACGTGATGTATCAGTAAATTCCCGGTACTCGATCTCCTGTGAAGAACTCGTACAGAGAGCGTCTTCTACGATATACCAACGTCATTGGCCACAAACAAATTCATGAGAGGGTAGCACAAGAGTTCGTATCTTGACCTCAGCTCGAAATCGAGAGGATGCTGTGTCCATTCCGTAAATATAAACCGCCCTCCGTAGTCGTTCGGGACGAAGACGCTCGCGCCTCCTGAAATGTACTACACGCATCAGATAAGGCACGTACAAAAATAATTGACATCGTCATTTTGCGCTTGTAAAATAAGCAGCGATATTTTCTCACAGTTCAAATCAATTATCACGATCTTCGGACTGTTCTTCGCCCTTGCTCAGATTTTGGTGCTAGCGGAGGCTTCTCGAAATACAACAGGCAGTCCCGATTTTGGTCACTTACAAAATTCATCGACCCTGTTGTCTCAAACGACTTTAACGAACAGTCCCCACTTCCAAACTCCATCGAAGTTTCTCTCCGAGACTACTTGGGCGAACACTTCGCACTTCCAGACTCCATCGAGGCTCCTCTCTCAGACGGCTTGGACGAACAGTTCTCGTACGCAATGGACATCTCCTTTGATGACAGCTCCGTCGTCGTCCACCAGTAACGTTACTACCGGTTTCCAAAGCTCATCATCTCCACCAGTGTCGCTCAGTACTTCTAGCTATCCTCGGACGGTCCCATTGGCGACATCCTTGCCGTCATCTACAAAAGACATTATTAGTCTTCCCCAGAATTCATCATCTCCCTTATCTCCACATATATCAACAGAAAGTTCTGAGTATATGTGGACTGTGCCATGGGTCTCAACTCGCTCATCTTCCATGGAAGACGCTGGGATCACAATAACGCAAACACCGACGGGTGCCTCTTTCGTGACCCTTAGCGACTTCAGTATAACCACTCCAACTATCATCACGACTACCAAAGCCGGAAGCAGCAACCAAGAGATCGTGCCAGGTATAATGCTACAACTTAATGAACGCCTTCCTCGCTAATATCCGCAGTCCTTCTTGTGAAGCCGAAGAAGAAGAACCCCACAGACCCGGATCCAATTCCAGTGCCGGTCGTCTGCTTTGGGTGCTTTCCGGGCATCCAATTCCCACCAAAGATCAAAGTGACACTTAACTTACCCGACATTTGCATTCAGATCCTATGGTTCAAGATTGGAAACTGCCCCTCGGGCGAAGACAAAAAGGGCGGAGGTGGTGGTGGTGGAGGCGACGGCAACGACGATGACAAACCCGACGACGAACCCGACGACCCGGAGAGCACACAAAAGTCAACAGAAAAGACCTCGTCAACGTCTTCGTCTTCGTCATCTTCTTCATGCACCGTTACTGCGACTGCTACTCACCAGACGGTGTATTGCTCTGTGATCCAGGGTAAGTCTGCATCCCTTAAACCCCCATTGAGAGATCTGATTTTGATATCATCATTACTTTCCAGACGTTCGTGGAGACAGGGCCGCCCTCCTGACGACGGCTCAAACTACATGTCTTAGCAGCACCTACACAACGATCACCGGCTGCAGCGTCACAAACACAGCGACGACAGTGACCACGACCGTTGCCAGCGCTCAGATACCATATTATCCGCCTTGCTCTCCACAGGTTTGCGGTGGCGGTGTCTGCCAATCCACTCCGAATCGGGCATTGTCTCGAGAGAAGGAAAGCGCGGAAACCCAGCTCATGGCGAGTGGGTTGATCCCGACGACTATCCCAACGGATATGCCGAGTTTATGCCTGCTCAGCTCCGAGAGGCAAGAAGTCAGCCGCGAGGTGAAGGCTTCGCACCGAAGCTCCTCAAGCAAGGCCCGGGTCCTGCTCGAGGGCCCTATCCCATATTCAACGATACCGATGAAGGTGAAGAAGCAGCGCAAGAGTATTATTACTCGGAGCTGCCTGTATCGACCGAATTTCTTATTTTTGAGGACGAGGTACAATCGCTGGCCATTGACCAGATGGTCGGCTGCGATGCGATCATCCTGGTCTCACGCCTGGGCGCCTTCGTTTGCCATTTCTATCAAGGATCCTGGAACAGCGATAGACACATGGACGACCTTATGAGATTCTGTTACTACGGGCGCCCGGAAGGCGACCCAATGCATGAATGGGCTCAATACGGCATTGACAATGTCAGAGACCATCCCGAAGAGGGCAAGCGAGGCATCATACTCGGGGACCAGGACTCCGACGCAGAGGAAGACGACTTCGAGGATATTGTCGCCTTCATCATAACGCCCAGAGTGCGGCCGAACATTTGGATAATCGACCGTGACGGGCCCAGAGTCATACCAGATGAAGAGATTCTGGCCCCTGACGTCATGGCGGGCCGTCTTAGATATGCGCCAGACAGAGTCAACAGAGTCAAACAGATCTTGACGGGAATCTTCGTCGACATTCCTATCAAGACGATCGATTATCCTCCTGCAATGCTGCCGTATGCCGAATGGAGCAGGCTCGAGGCTCTTGGTGATGCGTTTGCTTTTGCCGAGGGGCTTCAGGACAGCATTGTCGATACGCCCCGCGGTAAGATTCTTCTCCAATACAAACCAGCGCCTTCCTGTGACCAAGAGGCTCAGGTTCGGTTATTTGTTGATGTTCTCGGGCATCAGGGGGAAAAGAAATGGCGTCCGGAGAGTGACCAGGTGTTTCAAGGCTCCCCGGCCACTGGCGCTCGATTACGCAGACAAGCATGTCGCCGACCGAGCCGGAATGATACAAATTCAGTCGGTGGCAGCGCATCAGCGACTTCTCATCCAACTACCTCGATGCCGCCGGTACTATCTACCACATCTCGGAGAAATGAGTCGGTGCCGCTCTCAACGACATCATTGTCTCTGAATGTCACGACTCTGGCACCTTTTACGGCGAATGCTACGACAGTGGCAACCAGCGAAACGACATTGACGCAGTTTCAGTCATCTTCAGCGTCTTCGAAGATTTCCTCACCCTCTTCAAAATCTTTCTCGGTCATGTCGAAATCGTCCAAGACCACGTCGAAGCCAATCTCGTCGACAGGAACTCCCCGCCACTCCGTGACATCCTCCGCTTCGCCAACATCAAAGAACCCGCCAGCAACCAGCAGCGGACCCACGACGTCTGACGGCTCAGGCATCACACCCATCACTAAACCAGGAGTCCCCGCCCCGTCCAAATTCAGAGCATCAATGCACAGGACTGCGGTCACCACGGCGCGAACCCTGGACCGGTTACCAGCCACGCTGCCATTGGAGAGCGTGCAAATCTACCTCAAAGAATGGACGAGCGGCGAGGGAGGAGCCGTGGGCTGGATACCCTTTTGGGAGATGTTCGCGGTGCCGATATACTCCGATTTTAACGTCTGCAAGGCGACGAAGGTGGGCGATGAGGTCCAGAGCTGGTTCCGTGCGTCCGAGCAGGGGGAGGACGGGCGGCCGCCCAGCTTCAAGGCCGATAAAGACATTTTTGGAAAGAAGAATTGCAAGTACACGGACGACGGCATCGAAGAAGTGGTGGGTTGGCTTTCGTGTGATGGAGTTCCAGAGTTCAAATGCCGCCGGAGCGAGCAGCTGAAAATCGAATGCGACGATATGGACATCAAGGTTTTCAGGACCAGAGTTAAGTGTGTGTTTCCTGTGGAGTAGCACAAGCAAGTAAGCCTGTCTGTTGTTTTGCAGTGGGATGCTATGTTCAAATGGTGCTGCGGGTAGATGCTATGTTCTCTTGGTGATGTCAGAAAGATCATTACTGGGCCGCCGTGATAAGTGCCGGAGTCTCTATCAGCAATATATGTGTGTGATCCGAAGCTGGACTCCGATTCTAGGCCTCTTAGCCCTTAAACGATAAGCCTAAGGGAGTTCACCTTCAACTACAAGATGGCAAAAAGATTTAGGGCCAGCTCAGGCTTACGAGAGCTCACTCAGATGCAGATCTCGAGGGATCTCGACTTACGTCAACTTTTCCGTTAAAACTCTACAGACAACTAACCCAGCAATTGGACCAAAAGGTTTTAGCGCTTTCAGCGTAGATAAGTGAAAAGAAACATGACACAAATGAGAACCAGAAATACTGTAATGGGGATCAGGAGTTGGGTCTGCACTTCGCGGGGTAGACTTTGAAGTGCTGATGTGGGGTGGTGTTTGATTGTGTGGGGTGCGGTCTTGATGTGGGGGAAGAGGTTGGCCATCCACGAACGATGGAATGTACTGCGCAATTGGGCTCGAAACAATGTGGGAGTGCGAAACAGTCTTCAGACGACATCAGTAGGGACCGATGAGCAATGGAGTACAAGCACCACCAAATTCCCTCTCTAGCTTGCCATCTCTCGCGGGTTACTCCTTGTGGGGGCTCGTACGTGTCAGGCTGTCCCGACTCACTCAGATGCATGTTGATCGCACCTGATTATAGACAGCATGTAGTTCGTATTGTTCCAGATTTCCTTTTGGACCTAATTCCAAACAACTTGTTACTCTTCTACACCTAGAGTCATCCTTAGGTACTTTATCCATTACAGAACGAAGCACACGAGACGATCCCGGAAATTCGCCAACATGGCATCGAACGACCCATATGTCATCGTGGTTGGCGCAGGGCCGTCAGGTCTTCTTCTGAGCTTACTCCTTGCTCGCAACAACGTATCGGTCACACTGGTTGAGAAGACAAAGACGCTGGACAAGCAGCCGAGAGCCACCCATTATGCCGGACCTGCGGTTGAGGTCCTGCATCGCGCAGGCGTCATGGAAGATGTGGCCCATCAAGGCTTCTACCCGAACAAACTCACGTACAGGACCTTCGGAAACAAGGTGCTCGGTGCTCTGGACCACACCGTATTGCCAGAGGATCCCAACAGACTCGTCTGCCTACCACTAGATCAGCTTGGTCGTATCCTGCTTTCGCATCTGGAGAAACAACCCAATGCTAAGATACTGTGGGACTATGAAGTTGTTGACATCCGCGACGACAGTGGCGTAGGCGTCATCACCGCGAAGACTTCGAGCGGTAACAAAGACCTCCGAGCCAAATACGTGGTCGGGTGCGACGGTGCCAATAGCATAATTAGAAGGAAACTGTTCGGCGACTGGGAATTCCCGGGCAAAACTTGGGATACACAGGTCGTGGCAACAAATGTTAGTCTTTGGGGGGAGGTTTCCATGTGAAGTGAAAGTGAGCTAATTATGGCTTACGAGGTGTACTACGACTTCCACAAATTTGGCTACGAGGACGCGAACTTTATCGTAGACCCAGAGCACTGGTACATGGCATCGAGAATCTCCAAGGATGGAATCTGGCGCGTCAGCTATGGTGTATCCGCTGCACTTAGCAAAGACGAGCTGCTTGCCGCACAAGAGGAAAAATGGAGAAAGATGCTGCCTGGCAACCCCTCCCCGCAGGATTACCGCATCGTCAATTTCAGCCCCTACAAAGTTCATCAACGCCTTGCAGAATCAATGCGAGTCGGACCTTTCGTGCTCGCTGCAGACGCTGCTCATCGTAAGTGCTTCTTGTCCAATGATACTTCGGGTCGCAATGCTAACATGCCACACAGTATGCAATCCTTTCGGCGGCCTAGGTCTTACCGGTGGCATTGTAGACGTGGGCGGCCTGGTAGACTGTTTGGTCGGCGTTCATGAGGGCAAAGCCAATGACAGCATCCTGGACATCTACTCCCAGGTTCGGCGCGAGAAGTACCTGCAGTTCATTGACCCTGTGTCGAGCTCGAACTTGGTACGCATGTACGACAGTGATCCAAATTCGCTGGTGGGGAGGGATGAGTTCCTCAGAGCTATGAACGCGGCTGGCAACGACCCTGACAAGATCAAGGCGCTCGTTGGTGGCATCAACACTATCACTCACGACTTTTCGAAGCATTTCAATGCCAACGGCGCGGTAGAGCCTTAGGCTGGAGCGGACCTGTGTTATTCATGGTTTAATGATATATGAAGAACCTGGCATGCAACTTTTCGCATTTGAAAGCAAATATCTGCCTGTCATGATGGTTGTAGGAATTTCAGTGGCCATTCTGCTTTTCATAGGGATATCTCACGACTGGTAGCAGTTCCCTTCCCCTCTAAGTTGCCATTGATGCTTTTGCACATCAGGCTTTCGACCCATTGCATCGCAGTGGCCATGATGACCGAAGGTAGTGTCCATTGCCACAGCTTGAGCTCACATCACGACGAGTACCTATAGGAAGTGAAGGGACTCACAGATTTAGGTCAAGAGGCAGATTTTCCAATGGTTGGGATAGAAATAAGGATTAAGTTCATGCATTCGTGATGGTGCTGATAACTGGGGTAATGTATTTACGTCGAATCAATAGACTACATTCACCGATTCCGAGCACTCCATCCTCATGAGATCGGCGTGCGTCTGACTTCTCGCACTGACTTTGACACTGAATGGTGCCTTGTTCTTCGTAATTTGTGGAATAGCCATGGTGTCGATACTCTGCCCTGGAATCTGCTCAAAGTCGAAGCAGTACAGCAACCGCGCGGCCGCAATCCACACGTTCATCTCGCCAACCTTCCAACCAGCACATACTCTGCGACCTAAGTGAAAGTTACTCAGCATATACTACAGCCATCAAAGAGCAGAACTTCACTAACCTGGCCCGAAGCTCCAATGTCCCTTTAGGACGTTCTCGACGTCATCGTCCAAGAATCTTTCGGGGTAAAAGCGCTCCGGGTCCTTGTATTCTTTCTCGTTCAGTGCAATCGCCCATGCATTCCACGTGAAGACCGTCCCAGCTGGAAATTTGTAGCCTTCGTATTCATCATCTCTGGTCAGCATATGAGGGGCGCCTATCTCTGCGATGTTCGGCCTCCATCGGAATCCTTCCTTGACCACGGCAGATATGTACTTTAGATCTTGCATATCGTTCCACTCTGGAAGACGCTCTGCATTGGCCCCACAAACTTTGTCGAGGTGCTCGCGCGCTTTAACGACCCAGTCGGGATATGTGGCCGCCGCAGCTATGATTTGACCAATGCTAACACGTGAAGTGTCGCTGCCAGCTTCCATGAGGGAGCCAAAGGTGAAGAGCTGCTGTTTTTGTGACATGTTACGGTATTCCTCGCTCTTGATAAAATCGGTGGCGAAGCATTGGCGTTGCGTTCCGTCTTGAAGTTTCGCTTTCGTCTTTGCAAGTTGTCTCTCATAAACCCTGGCGACACAAGCTAGTCAGTCACCTCGCGCTAGTCATTCAACAAGCATAGAGACTTACTTGTACGTCTTGCGAAAGATTGCATCACCACGTGGACGCCACCACTGCAAGAACTGGGGGAGCTTCTTGAAAATGGGGAAACCGTCGACGAGATTTACACCAGGCTGCTGGTTCTCCAGGAATAGCTCAATCGTCTCAAAGAGCTCTTCAACCTCGGGATCACCCAGTACAGTTCGCCGACCGAACACGACACTCATGATAACAGAGCTTGCGTATCGAGCATTAGCCGACCACCATCTTTCCGGTTTCTCCAGATAGTCCCACAAGAGATGCTTCGATTCCAAGTCTTGAAAAGGCTTAAAGACGTCTTCTTGACGTGCCATCAGGACATTGTGCATGATCTTCCTGAGGGTCCGCCATTGGCCATTGTACGGCATCAGGACTATGCGGGATCCCCGAGATATAATGTCTTGGGTCATGGGAAAGTCCGGCCGAGAGCTGTAGATTGCCGCGCGACGCTCTAGCAGATCATGTACTGTTCGCGAGGAATTGAGGAACACCCAAGTCGAACCTCCAAACTTGCAGGTAAACCTATCACGAAGTGTCAGTCATCCGCTGTGGTGCTTTCTATGGATCAACCACTTTGGATATCCCAGTAACAGACTCACATCTCGCCGTATTGTTCTGCTTTTTCCTTCGCCCATGGTCCTTGCTGTATGGCAGGGATTTGGAAAGAATTTCCAAAGATAGGAATGCCAGGTATGCGGCCAGGGAACTTGTACTTTTGGTCCAGTCTTATCCGCTCGTATATTTGCACTGCTATCACAAGCGCGACCGCAGTGATAGCAACCGCCAGGACTACCGTACCTGGCTTGGCTGACACAGACACGGAAGACATGTTGAAATCTGGTGGGTGAAAGGACTGCCTGGTCTGATCAAACGAGGAATGAAAAGATTTTGTTTTTTAGAGCGAATGTTTCTATGTTTATCTTTACCCGGAGATGCTAGCACTGAAGTTATCATTGTCATCATTACTATAGGCAAACCACCCGGACGACCGAAGTTCATCAAGCCGCACGTGGAGTATGTGGGGTAGACGGGGACGTAGTACTACTTCCCCAGACGATCCGCATAACGATCGATCTGACAGGTTGCCGCAAGTATCCGTTAGCCCCTCACTTAATTATCACGTACTTTGTATCTTACGCGCAATCGCTCGCCTTCAACTTCCGGAAATTTGCACTCGAGCTGTCATGTGGGCGCCTTAAGCCTCGAGTCAATAGAGTCCAGAGTCTTCTTTCCATGTAAGCACAGGCGAGATGAGCATTCGAGACAAAGCACAAAGTGTCTTGTTTGTGGTGACATTTAGCCCTCAAATCAATCAATATCGATGATCTTCGACCCGTTTTCGAGTTGCTATTTTAGATGAAGTCTACATCTTCAGGTAATCGGATTGCTTCTAAGTTTCCAACCATTTTCGAACCATGTTGGTCGTTACCCCTTTGCCTCGTGCTACCTTAGATGATTCAAACTGTATCCCTTCACCGTTTCCACCCCCTTCGGCCATAGCTTGGAAGAACCCGAGGAGTTTCAACGCCGGTATATCGTGCCCGTTGGAGGTTGAGGAATCGGCCACTGCTTCCAACCTGGAGACCCATTCCTTCATTTCGATTCGCTCGAGACTCCGCCCAGAAGCTTCATCCAAACAGGAGAGCAACCCTTCCCAAGAGATAGTGCTCGGATTTGTCAGGTTGGTGACAACATAAGATCCTTCAGCCGTCGACGAGAGAACAACTTCCTTGATAGCTTCCGCACATACGTCCACCGGAAGCCAGTCCACCGTCGTCTGCAAGACCGGCATCGCTGACAGCAGATCGAGCGCAGTCATCATCATGATTGGCCACATCTCAGTATGGTTCCAGGTTCCCAGCTGGGAATGCCCGCTCAGCTGACCTACCCGAAGAATTTGAACGGGTACGTTGAATGCAGACGCATAGTTCTGGGTAATCTGCTCGATGATGAATTTGGATTGTGCGTAGCCTGTCTGGAGTGCGCTCTCGGGATCCGGCCCCAATGGTAGTTCTGGGATCACTCCAGTGGTCTTGCTGCCCATGGCCGCGGCGACGCTACTCATGAATGCAAACATTTTCTTCGGTCCTTTTAGGCAGAAAGCCATCAAATGCATGGTACCTGGTAAGCTGTCAGCATAATTCGCGTTCCTGGGCAGACTGAGTCGTACCTCGTAAACAGTCATCGTCAAATTGCTGCACCGGCTGGTTAAAGTCGAGTTTCCAGGCGTTGTGCATCACCACCGTTACCTCAGCCTCAACTTTCTCGTATGTTTCTGGATCCAAACCCAGCCTTGCGTCCTTCATATCGTAGTTGACAACATGGATCTTTGTGCTCTTCCATACTTCTTCGGTGTAACCTCTCGATTTTAACGACTGGACAACCTTTTCTTGTGGACCGCGACCTCGCACTGCACAGTACACCTTCTTGATGGAGGGAATTTGCACCAGTACTTCCAACAGCGCGCTACCCAAAGACCCATTGGCCCCTGTAAGATAGATCACATCCTGGCCCCCGGGTGCTGCTCCACGGCCTTCGGCATTTTGTATCGTCCACCCGTTCATCTCCTGGTTCATCCGGTTGATGGCAGATCGAATCCAATCATGATGTTGGGTCGTGACCATGGCTTTAGTGTCCAAGCCGTCGTCTTTAGGACGCTGAAGAAAGCCCAACAGACTCTTTGCCGTCGGGTATTCGAATATGAACATGAGTGGGAAGCTTCCGAAGGACTTGACCAGCCTAGTACGTAACGACACTGCCTGGATGGAATCGAGCCCGAGTTCGTACCAGTTCCGGTTCTCTTCGATTTCCTCCAGTGGAAGCCCAAACACCTCAGATGCTGCCTTCTGGATTGTCTCTATCGTTGGAGAACCAGCAACACCGTTGGGGTCGGTTGTCGAGCCGGAGTCGTCGCCAAAGAGTTTGCTGTACAGATTTTCGACCCGATCCCCATACAAATCCCAAGCGTTTTTTCGTCGGACGTTCCCTTTGGGTGTGACCGGCAAAGTCTCTCGTTTGTCGAGAACGAGAACCAGCTCCCGAGGAATTTTGGAGAAGGCTGCGGACTTTTCGTTACACCCTGCGACCACTTTCCATACCTCGTTCTCTATGTCGACGCTAGACCCTCTACTATCGACAGCTTGCCAGTCTACCTCGACAATAACAGAAGGGCAGGACTTTCCAGTCCCGTAAACCGCCGTCTTTGCGATGATGCTTGTCTTGTCTTCTTCAAGAGCCATAGCCAGAGCAGAGGCATGAGTCTTCTCGCCGTTGGAATGGATAAGAATATCATCCCGGCGTCCCTGGAGGACAAAATACCCGCTTGCCGGCGGATCTTCGAGGAACATGTCTCCTGTGCGATAAGGATTCGATGCCGCATTATCTAACCAGAGCTCTGCCGCGAGCGGAAAGCCTTTGTAAACAACACACTCGAAAAGTCCGTCGCCGAGAGGTTCCATGCGCACCAGAGGAGAGCCTGGGTAGAGATTACGGAAGCGATATACGTCTGGATTTTCTCTTGTATGTGGGATGGTGCGCATTGGTGGTCCGATTTCCGTGGTTCCGTAGGTGGTCTTCACATTGACTCCGAGCGCCTGTAGTTTCGCAACCATGCTGGGCGACAGCGGGGCGCCACCAGGCTGCAAGACCTTGAGCTTTACAAGTGGTGTAAAGTCTTTGGTGGTAAGGTTGATGTACTCGTACAGATCATCGATGACCGAGGGTGCGCAATGGGTGCAGTCCACAGGATAACCCAGGGATTCGAGAATTCTCCACGCTGCTAGGATAGAACTTGGAGCCGGTGGCCATTTTTCAGGCGGCATGGTCGTTGGAAGTCCGTAAGGAATACCCGACAGAACGGTCGACAAACCAGCGACATGAAATCTAAGGACTGTGTTAGAGGTTCCGTGGCATATCGGGCAAAATGAAGGACTCACAGTGGAAAGCAGAGATACCAGTTCTCGATGAAGTATTCCGGGAGGCGGCGGTATATTCTCGCGATCTGGCATAGACTTCTGTTTGTGTGGATAATTGGCTTTGGCACCCCGGTAGAACCCGACGAATGGATGATCATCGATTGCAAGTTCCACTCGTCGCTCGTCTCAAACACCATAAAGTCTTCTGAGATCGCTCCATCGCTTTGCTGCAACTCAGCAAGGGTGATCAATTCAACGACTGTCGATGTGCAGCCTGGGTCGCCGAAGAGTGACGCCTCATTCGCCTTGTCGGTGATGACTGCCACCGCATCGCATACTCGCAGCAAATAGTCTCTGGTATCCGGCGCATTCTTGTTGCTGAGAAGCAAAGATCGTATGTGCAGATAATTCAATGCGACTTGCGTGATCAGGTACTCAATTGAATTACCGGTTCCTAGAAGCGCTATCGTGGGCTGCTGGCGCGTGTCGTTCGAGGCTTCCAGCTCTTTACGGAAGCGTCGTGAATATTGCGCCGCTGCTTGGCGACAGAGCTGGTGGACCTGAGACCAGTCAAGTACACTGAAAGTGTCTTTGATAGGGTAGATGAAGGCTGGCTGAGAGGGCTGGGTGGCGGCGTTGTGCTCGACCAACTTGGCAATACTCGTCAAGTTTGGATTTGAGAACCTGGTTTCAGTACCGTCAGCCTTCACTTTGTGGAAGTCGAGATGAATCGATTGATTCATACTTGGTGCTGTGCGGATCTCCGTGCATGTACCAAAGTTGCCGCAGTCTCTCGTCTGAATCAGGGGCGGGAAACACGGTCGGGTCAGCCAGGATCGGCATCGATGTCTTCAGGTCGGACGTCGCGATTGGCGCCATGTTGGATTGGTGTGAATTGATGCTAAACCTGTCGTCCTCACGCAGACGAGAGGAGCTTCCTTAGGAACATCGAGGTCATGATGAAGCTTCCCATTTGACTTTCTGCTGAGTAAACCACATGTTTCGTGATCCCCTGCGGAATCCCCGCGTGCAGCACGACCGCGGAAACCACCCGATTGATAAGATTATGTCCGGGCTATCAACGTTTGCTGGGTTGCAGCAAGGAACACCAAGATAGGCCAATGGCTGAGGCGATAATTTTCAGGCATGCTGATAGCGCCCCGGCACTTATCAAGCCTATCTTCATGTCATGGTATGACATGACCGGGGAACACAAAGCTGCCACGGGCGATAGCCGAGACCAGTTTCGATAAGCAGTTCTGTAGAAATGAACAAAGAACGCCGGAATGTAACGAGCAGAAAAAAAAGAATCGAATAACTGCCGCGAGTATCCGCACGCTTAGACACGTCGCTTCTGCTCCTGCCCCAATTTGACTTTCTCTTAGCAATTTCAATTGAGCAGGATCAACGTCACATCATGGGGATCCGGCAGCGTTTGGAGCTCCGCTCCGAGAGCGCCGAACTCGGCACGGAGGGCGGCCGGCTGTCCAACAAGGACATGGACCCGATCCCGATGGGTTCGCCGGAGCGCACCTGGGGCTGGCCTAGCTTGTTGGGTTTCTGGATTGCTGAAGCCTTCTCCATTTCCATGTACCAAGGTATGTCAAACGTCATTTTACGCCAGCACTTCCTCCTGTCTGTCACTAACGGCGCCGTGTCGGATACAGTGTCTTCGACATCGGTCACGAAGGGCCTCAACCCAGGCCTCGCTATTCTCGCGGTGTTCATCGGCCATGTCTTGGTATGCATCCCCGCGATGCTGGATGGATACGTCGGCTGTGTCTTCGGTATCAACTTCCCCGTCTTCACTCGAGCATCATTCGGTCTGCGAGGTGCGCACGCTGCTGTATTCGTCCGTGGTGTCGTCGCTTGTATTTGGTTCGGAACACAGTCTTTCCAGGGCGGTCAGTGCCTTCAAGTTATGATCGCTGCGATCTGGCCCTCCTTCAACAACTTCCCCAACCACCTGCCGGCGAGCGCCCACGTTACTAGCGCTGAGCTATTGTGCTTCTTCCTCTTCATCATCGTCCAACTCCCGCTGCTTTGGCTTCATGTGAGCAGCTTGAGATACATGTTCATGGCGAAGACGGTCATCATGCCGATCTTCGGATTGACTCTTTTCATTTGGGCTCTCGTTGCTGGTAAGTTTCTATGAGCCTCGCTCCTGTATACTCTATCTTGTTAAAACACCACAGCAAAGGGCTTCGGCCCGACATTCTCAAAGCCAACCGTGATCAAAGACGGCACGCCTGCCATCGTGGTCTTCTTCCAGTGCGTCACAAGCGCGATCGGCCCCAAGGCGACCCTTGCATTGAACATGCCCGATTTCACACGATACGCCAAGGAACCCCGCCAGGTGTTCTGGACCCAGGCTGTCGGGCTCATCGTGCTTGTCACCATGTGTGGCGTCTTGGGAGCTACCGTTAGCAGTGCTTCTGAAGTCATCTACGGCGAGGTCACTTGGAACCCGTTGGAGGTTGCCCGTCTCTGGAACAACCGCGCTGCGCAGTTCTTCGCAGGACTTTGCTGGGCTTTTGCCGTGATTGGTACAAACATCAGCGCCAACAGTGTGTCATTCAGCAACGACTTGTCGCTTTGGTTCCCGAAATACGTGAACAACCGACGTGGGGCGTATGTATGCGCTATCCTTGGAGTGTGTGCTGTGCCGTGGAACATTCAGTACAGGTAAGCAGTAACATCCCCCAGTAGCAGGACTGTTCTGACTTCGAGTCCAGCGCAAAGTCTTTCTCTTCGTTCCTTGGTGGCTACTCCCTCTTCCTGGGGGCCATTGCAGGAGTTATCGTCACCGACTTCTGGATCTGCCGCGGTCGCCAGATGAAAGTCTCATCTCTGTACGATCCACGGGGAACCCACTTCTACACCTTTGGAGTTAACCCGCGTGCTATCATTGCCTTCGTCTTTGCCATTGTGCCCAATATGCCGGGCCTGGCGGCTGCTTGTGGTGCCAAGGGGGTTCCGAAAGGAGCGACCTACTTGTATAGCCTGAGTTGGCTGGTGAGCACACTTATCGCTGGTTTCACGTATTGGGCGTGCTGGAAGATTCGGCCCTTCAAGGTTGACGAGAAGGTGGATGAGCTGTCCATCGAGGGACAACCTCCAAAGGAGGAGCCTACGGAGCCGGAGAAGAGCATGGAAGCCAAGCAGTATAGTGTCTGAGACGGCATGATGCTGTGTTCAAGCGACTTTTTGCTGAGTTGATTAGAAATAAATACACGCTTTACACGCTATTTGAAGATGACATTGTTTTAGCAAAACTGGGCGGAGAGATAGTGCCCGTATGCGCATTGTCGCCTTCCTCAAAGCTTCCGGTTCAGGACTGCCTCAGCAGCCGCAGGAGTCAATTCAATGAGCTTCCCCAGTCCTGCAACAAACGTTGCGTCTAGTCGTAGCAGACTGAGGTTCAGCAAATCGCAGCTTCTCGATTTGATGCGCAACAAACTTCGCCATTGAGTCAAAAGCGTGAGAGCGTCTTCAGCATCTGCCAACGTCGGCGATAGGGCGAAGAGGAGAACTATGAAATTGCTGGCAATGGCGAAGTTGACACGCGAGTCTACCCGGGTCAGCACGAATCATTGACTGCCAACGAGGGAGTAGACTGCTTACACGAATGCCAGAAGGCTTCCAGGTGATGAGGCCCCAGCTTGGCAAGGAAATCGTACATCTCCTTGGCGACGGCCATAGCGCCGGTACGCAACGCAGCGCGGGCTTCTGCAGGGGCCTCGTGACTCTTTGGTCGCAATAACGCCTTGAAAACGGCAACCTTTGCCGTGATATATGCAAGTCTGAGGCTGCCGTTGCCGTCGAGCCCATAATGAGGTAAAGCTGGCGAGGGCTGTTCACCCACATCAGGATGGTCCTGGGACCACTGAGCGAGCTCAATTCGCAGCGGCCTAGCAACTTCGAAACTTGCTTCCAGTGACTTTGATAAGGCCCTTGTGGCTTTGACGGAGCTTGTAAAGTCAGCACTAACTACATCCTGGTTGTGGGGGATGAAACAGACGTACAACATGTTCAGCTGAATCTTTGATACAATCTCGGTCAACGACGCCAGGTGTAGAAAGTGCTTGGATATCGCAGGTTCATCTTCAATCCCCGAGAGGCTTCCAAAGTCCTCAGGCCCCAGAGAAGAAACATCCCAGTCGCAGTCTTGGATGTGTGAACTGCGACCAAAGTTCAGACTTAACCACCGGTCTTGCACGTACACCGCCCATGCCAGCCGTCGACGGAGGCGCTTCTCCCACGGCGGTATTGACCACTCACTTGGGTCCAGGTTGAGACCAAGCCATTGCGCAAGAGCTACTGTGTCAGCGAGCATAACCCATTTGAACGGCGTATCAGCCACATGTCTGTTTGTTGGGCGTCGTTGTATAAGAAGAAGCATGGTCTGCACGGTGGCAAGCGATGGTGTGTGGAACTGAGAGAGCGCAGCCATCCATGCAAGCTTGAACAGACGGTCGGCCGAAGGGGGCGTGTATACGTCGACGCAGAGTTTGTCGTCGAAAACACAAAAGGGAAGTGCATGTCCGTAGATGGCTGCTGCCAGGGATGTAGGCAACGTTGATGGGTCCCCGTTGTTATCATGCATGATGTATTCCACCGACAGGATGGGGAAATATGGCTGCACATAGCGCCAGAACCTGCAGTTTTTGGTTAATGAAGAAGAACAATGAAGAAAATGTCCTCAGGGAAACTTACAAGTTTAGAAGTCTCCTACCGACGTCCTCAGAAACCATGTTGAGGACCTCATTTCTGATATCTGATTCGCTGGCTCCAAAATCTCCTGGCTGTGCTCTGCTTGCTAACGAATTATTCTGCAGCATGAACTGAACAGGGACCCCATCATCCATACCCATGTTCCGGATGCGCAATTGCTGAAATTCGCACTCATCCTTCTCGTCAAACTGGTAAAGCTGAAGTAAGTACGGGTCCGATTCGCCGCTGAGGCCGATGACTTGCGCGTTATGGTTGAGTTTAGCGTCAAGTGATGCCGGTAACAACACATCTGGACACTCCCGTTGGGACCCGGTCAGGGAGACCAGACTCGTTGATTCTGCCCCATCGGCGATGAAGTGCATCTCATTTAACGGCGAACTCATCTCCCCAGATTGAGACCTCATATCCGTGTCCGACGGAGCCCGGATGTGGTACGTCGGACTCTCCAGGCCATCGTCGGAAGGACTGTGAGCCCGCTCCGCAACGCGCCGCCTCTTGTTCGGCCCTTCGACAAATGTGCACTCTTTGCCCTGCCGCCGGCAGAGCTCGCAGGGCGGGGGCCCGGGCAGCAGACAGGCCGCGCGCTTGTATCGGCAGAAGTCGCAGGGGTGGCGGTTGCGGTTACCGAACGACCTTGTACGGGTGTGAGCGGCGGTCTCCATGATGTGCTTGTTGAAGAAAGTTACGGCACGTCTAGGTGAATCGGTTCATGCGCGTAGCTATCGTGTCGCTTGAGTTCCCCGCGCGGCCGGGGAAGCTGGATCCAAGAGCTCTGTTTGCTGATAACGGGCCGTTTGCCGATTGGCCGCCGGTGAACCAACCCCCGTAGTAAGTTGAATGACTAGAGAAATTATCGCTTTTCGGTTGTCCAGATCTTGCTTATTATTCAATTGCACTCGAAAAGAAGGGTTAGTCAAGTTATTGTGCTATTTTACGTGTGACGATTTAATCAATAGATTGGATGTTTCTCGCAACCCGGCTGACTAGGCGCCCAGAGACCTCAATTGTGACGAAGAGGGCGGGATGTTGGGACTTGGCAGATGATTGCTGGGTATTCTAACCAAGCCAGGAATCTCTAGTGTTGCCTCGGTATAGCTCTACCCAGTCTGATGCACTTTGTTCCGTTCTGTAGTCTGAGTGTTGCC